GTAGCCTTGAGGGTCCAAGATGTAGTTGCGTACTACATCCTTGGACCTTCCCATGGTCTTGGCGATGGCGCGGTTGGACATTCCGACCAAGTGAAAGGCCGCAATGGACCCTTTCTCTTCGTCGGTGAGTTGAGCTTCTTTTGCCATGCTGTAAAGGTTGTTAGTGGTTACGTGGCATTCAGAGTAGTCTTACTTAGAAGTTGACAGAAGCTTTTAACGTTACGTCGTGTGTGCCGTTCAATAGAGCGGAAATTTGGAAGTGGCTTTAAGTACTTGTCGCGGGGCAAAAGTACAATTTTGGCGGCAAATTGGTTGATTGAACCGCAGAGGACACCACATTATACCAGAAAATCTCGCCAATCAAGCTGCATCAAGTGAGCCAAACAGGTAATCGTGAACTCTAATTGGCGGGATTTTAACTGCCAAAAACTGGGTGGCTTTAAGTACATGGCGCGCACTGTAGTTGCAAGCTTATCACTTTACACTTAGCCCGAAGTTTCCACCAGATCGCAACCTTGGCCTCCGGCGAAGACGTAGCATGCAGTGGCATCAAACATGGACATGACTGTGGAGGTGACAGACACGCAGAGAATGACAAAGCAGCTGATAAGCACTGCAGCTCCAACGCGAGGGTAGTTCCCGCCGTTCTTCTTGAGCTCTGCGCATTCTGCCTTTTGCCTCGGAAACAGCACCACCCAGCAACACGAGAACGCGGCCGCGCCATACTTGACCATGTAACTGTACGCGACATCTCGCCGCACGTCCGGGGTATCGGACGCGATGTCGGTGGACTTGAGCTGGAGCTCGGCGCAATAGATGTTGGTGACCATGGCACCGAGGATCATCGGCATGGCCATGACGGTCGTGAGGAGGCCGTACATGACGCCTTCGCTGCCGTCCTCGGCCAATTCGACAATCACATACATGGTCACGGCCCAATTGATGGCCAGCGGCACTTGCTCTGCCAGAGGCATGCCCAGGTACACCCACTGGTTGCGGAACACGTCAAAGATGGTGCAATACTGCACGATGGCGTCGAGGCCGTTGGCGATCAGCGTCGTGACGACGAACGTGACGCGCCAGTTCCAATGGAGTCCGTACGACGCCATGAGCATGAGCACACCCGCTGAGACACAGTTGCTGATGGTCATGATGAGCGCCGAGTTGAACGACTCGACCTTGGCCCAGTAGAACTTGACGTACGGACTGGCGGTGGTGGTGATGCTGCAATAGAAAACAGTAGACCAAAAGAGGTAGAGCACGATCTGCCACACGGCGCGCTTCTGCGCGAGGGCCCAGCATTGACCGAGATACGTTTGAAACGACACCGCTTCCGTGCGTTTTGCTTCCTTCACCCCAAAGATGGTCACGGGCACGGCCAACGTGCTCGTGATGCTGACTAAGATGAACATGCCATTCACGCCAATGTCCCACGAGTACGTTCCGCCGAACCGCGGCGAGTTGTTGCAGATGCCAAACATGAGCCCAGTCACGCCCTGCGCGCACAGTCGGATCGCGTACGTCAGCGACTGCATGCGACCTCGACAATGCAGCGGTTCTCTCTGGGCGTATTCCACCACGAGGGCATCGCACGCCGCTTCAGCCACCACTTGGCCGAACGCCGCGATGGTGCACATGATGACCATGAACGCACCCCGGCTCGGCGCGGAGGCGTCGACGCCCCGCGACTCGTCCGCGGTCAAGTTGCTCAGCGGACGACCTTCGAGGGACGGATCGATGTAGAGCGGCAGGCCATGGTCCACGGACGCCAGCACGAGCATGCAAATGGCATTGATGGTCCATCCCACGAACATGTACGGCTTCCGTCGAAGCCCAAACACGGGCACGCAGTCGGAGAGCATACCGATAAAGACCTTGAACGACCACGCGAGCGTCATGAGCGCGTTCGCAGAGGTTAGCTGCGTCCCCTCCATGTGGAAGTACACTGTCAGAAACGGATAGCTGAGGTTGTACGTGACTCCGTACAGCAGCCCCATGGACGCGTACTGACTCATAAGAGCGAGGACGTCCAGTGAGCTGTACGAAGGCGGAGGCCCCGCGCGCAACGCACCGCCAGCTTCAATCGTGTCGGGGGTTTTGAAGCCGTCGTACAACTTGTCGTCTGACTGACTGAATCGTTCAATCAGGTCGAGCGACTGATGCGATGGAAGGGTCGACATGGTGCTTGGGTGTATGTAGGGTGAATTGCGCAATGGGTATATACTATGTACAAATACGGGGTAACAGTGTCATATCACCTTTGTTCGCACAGCGACGTCAAGGGAACTTGAAGCCACGGAATCCGTTCAAGTTGCATTTCGCCCGTGGAAAAGGTAAAACTGGCGACAACATGGTATATTCACGGTACGAATGATGCCAAGCCTCAGAAATATCAACTTTTGTACTGGCAATGTCGGACCAGATTGCATTTACGCACTCCAAGCCTCAACGTTTTCGGTCGTGTTGAAGTGCTACCTCTCACTGAATCACGATATGTACTGTATGTAAGGTTTGCAAGTTTTCCAACTTGATTCCATGTGTGTACACCCAACGAGTACATGGGTTCATACCCGATGGTGAGTGACTTGACATCACTGTCACCACATTGCGCCACGTATGCAAATCTTGGTCGAGTCCAACGACAACGAGAATTGAAAGGCAACTTGCCTACCGGTAGAGTGGCGTACACCACAGTGTACCGTATAACGTTACCTTTACTACTGTAACCATGATATTCAGCAAAGTATCAGGCAGAACACCAACTCTAAGCTACTGTACTTTAGCCAAAGAATGTGGAGAGCCCCACAAACATTTGCATTCAACTTGAGTGCAAAGGCAATCTCGTAACACAATTATTGCGTGGGGGGGTCCTTTTGATAGTCAAAACCACTGATACGGTTGGCCACGCCCAGCAATGTTGCCACGTCATCGTGGGTAAACACGACTGGGTGCTGCTCCATGAACGTCAGCACTTGATGCGCGGCATCCAGCGCCTGGCACACGGTCGGGGCTACGACTGCGTCCTCAGACTCATCGGGAGGCGACTCTGCCCACGAGGAAGGCGACGGCGGCGGCGCATGGTCCTCGTCATCCTCCTTCAAAGACGCGCCATGATACAACGCATGAAGTTCCTTATATGTCGACTGTGCCTGGGCCATCAGCGACTCGGCCATCGGTTCGACTTCGCCGTCGACATCGTCATGCTCCCACGCTTGAACCCACGACGGAGGCAGCCACTGGGACTGCCTCCAGCTGGTCTTGGCGATGGACGGTGGAATGGTCTTCCACAGCTGCGCGACCCACAGCATGGTTTGGACTTGTTGCTGCGACACTGTCATGGTTCGACGTTCCGACGTTGACGGAGACGTGGTATCAGACAACAGCCACTTGAGCAACGTAATCTTGAACTGAAGGTGAAAGTACGTGGTCAGTCCGGCGCCAAGCGGGGTCAGATGTGGCGGCACCCGCGGAGGAAGGAACGCCAGCAGCATGTGAGACAGCTCGACGGTGCGCATGCCGCATATGGTGCTCATGTGTCCCTCCATGGAGATGGCGTGGCACGGCGACGCGTCCAGGAAGCAGAGGATGCGGCGCGGGGGCTCTTGGACGGCCAGCACGGTGTTGATATGTAGGATGAACTTGGTGAAGATGGCTTTGGTCATGTGGGCATGGGGATGGGTGTCCACAAAGTCGGCGGCGTACAACATGTCTGCAAACACATGTGATGTGACAACGTCTTGGACGCATGATACCATGGGCCAGTCTCCGACGACGTTGGTAAGGAGTCCAAGGAGCATGCGGCGGCGCGGGCGATGGCGCGATGGGGCCAGCTCCATCGATTTTGCCAAAGAAGACGCGGGGGTTCCATAGTATAACACATGCTCGTCGTAATGAAACACATCGGAGGGCTTGAACCCTCCGTCCACAATGAGCTGGTGGATGCCGCTGAGGTGGCTAGGCGTAGCGGACGGCGAAGACGGCGTGTCTGTGGTGTCGATGGAAGACGCAAGCTTGAGAAATGACAGGTCTCCAACCTTGGCGTCGTCTGGATCTCCATGATTGACATGCATGCCGCCGTGATGGGCGGAGTGCATGCGGATGCTGTGTCGGCGTTTGAAGTTCTGGACCCATCCGTTCGAGATCTTAAACTCGCTGTCCTTGATGTTGTGTTCCGCGCGCAGCCGTTCTGCGTGGGCCGTGAGGAGGCTGTCGGACAAACGAGCACCCTGGGCACGGGCTTCTTGCAGATACAGACTCAACGCGTGCTCGAGCGCTTCGAATTTGCCGCCGCGCATGCGCTTCCGACCCAACTGTGACTCGTCCATGGCAAGCCATTTGTCCTTCTCCCGCAATGTCTTGGTCACCATGAGACGCTGTACACTCCGCTCTGCCGTCTTGTTGAACTCATCGGCCACCTGTTGATGCGTGGACTTGACCAGCAACTGCGAGATCTCGCAGATTCGCTTCTTGTCTGCCAACGACAACGCCTGTCGAGTATGCTTTTTCGATGCCAGCATTTCCTGATTGTTACAAGAACTTTGTCCTCGTTCTACTAACCAGGGGATTATCCGGTTGTTTATTAGTTATATAAATATTTGCAAACTGACCCTTTTTTTCACCTCATTTTCATCGTGAAAATGGAGCTGACAAAATCAAAGCTACAACTGGTGAAACAAAATGCAGCCCTAACGTGCAATGGAAGTGTCAGTGCTGACACTGCAATGCGCATAACGTTATCTAACTTAATGTTAGTAGCCCCATAAAAGGAGCTCATGTGCACTCGTAGGATTAATAGCAGGCGGCGCGGGGCTTCAAGTAATGCCATCACGCTATAATTAGCCTTTACTAGTATGTCCTTTCGTGATGTTCCGTAGCATCTACGAGAGCGGCGGCAGGCCGACGACGCCATACAGTGAAATCGCCGCCACGATTCAGAAGCTCAAGGACAAGGGCCGCCAAGGTGATGAAACAAACACATTCCTCCAACGTGTGCTCACGTACTCGGAGCTTTCAACCAAGCGGGATGCCCTGCTAGATGCCAATGCTGTCGTGGTCGTGGCAAGTCATCTCCGCGCCCACGACTCTGCGTCCACCCAACAATACGCCGCAGGGTTAGTTCGGCAGTAATACCATGCTGTGATATCAACCACATCACCCTGTAGAATTCTCTTGAACCTAAGCCAATTCGATCGAGGTCGCCTAGCCATGGCTTCGTGTGGCAGCTGGGACTGCGTGTCATATCGCCACGCCTGTCCGCTCTTCTACCTCCTCCAACTCGCCCACACCAGCGCCGACGTGATGGTCAAGCGCGTGTGCACCGCCGCCGTCCTCAACTGCTCGTTCCATGCCGCGTGCCAGAGCCACATTGAGGACATTGGCGGCGTGAACCTCCTCCTCAAACTCGTGCATGTGAACGACGAAGGTTCGTTCACTGAGAGCTGTGCAATGTCTGATGACTCAAGTATAGACGTGTGCGTGTTCTCGGCCGCGACGTGCTGGAACTTGACCAAGTCGCCGACGTTTGTGCTCAAGCTGGAGACGATCCATTCGATCCCCAAAGATAATTTCGCCCGCACATTGTCGCAGTTGCTCTGGACGCGGTGTTCCAACTACGGCTTGACCATCACAACCCACACGGCTCAGACGTCGGACCAAGCGGGGGTGCTCGAGAGGTACGTGATACTACTTACTATATACCTCGAAGTACATGCCACGAACAAATGAATGGATGACAGCGATGCAACTGTAGTGGCGGCTCGAATTTGAACCTCGTGTTTGCTTGTGCGATCAACTCCAAGCTGGCCATCGCGCTCCGGGTCGAACAGCACAACGTCACAGCCAACCAATCGCAAGTCGAAGCGCGGGCCACCAAGTACAAAAGCATGCAAAAGTTCGACGACCACGGCAAGCGGGTTGCGGTGACGTGCAGCACGTGTGCAAAATCCATCAAGGAAAAGGACAAAGCCAAGTGTTTAAGCTGTGCCTCCCACGGGTGCGTCGAGATTTACCACGTTCGCTGCAGTCGATGGGCCAAGCTCGAACATGTGCACGTCCTCCGCGACCACACGTTCTACTGCGAAGGGTGTTTGCCCAGTCTGCCGCTGCAGTACTTGGACTTTTGCGCATCCGAAATGACCAGTAACGCTACCGTCTTGACCAAATTGGACTTTGACATTTTGAACGTCGCGAGAATGGACAAAGTCGAGCTCGTCATGTTGCGGGCGCCGTCGACGAATGCCGTCGTGGCGGTTGGCGACTGCAAGTACGTGTGCCGCGGGGCCAAGGAAGGCTGCACGATGATCGTGCAAGTCAAGTTCATTCTAAGACACTCGTCCAGCATGTGCTACGCCAATGTCTCTGCCACCAACAACAACGTCGTGACAAGCGTCATCCCCATGCCGCCGTTTTCGTTTCCGTTTTTGAAGTCGACTGTTGTCGCGACCTCGGTGCCCCTACACGCCCTCGCCCTGTGGCCGACGTCCCACGTACTGGCCGTGGACGACGCCATGTACTTGACCAAGTCCGTCGCCGATTTGGACCAAGCGTTCTGCTACGAGTTCGACGGACAACGGGACGAGCGTTTTGCAGTCGGCAGTTGCGACGGCACCGAGCTCTGGTGTGCGCTCCAACCTAGTCGTGCGAAATGCATGAAACTCATATCGGAAGCCACGGCCAAGGCAAAGCCAATGCGAAAGAATCAACGAGAAAAGAAACCCCACGTCGAACGAAAGTTGGCGAAATAGAGCGACGACATGTGTTTGTTCGAGAAGTGTAAACTAACTCAATTGAATGCGTCGGGTGATGGGATATATACAGAAAGGCTGCTACGACGATGCAACTGCTGTTGCAGGGCCTATAATCTTGATTTGTCTGGAATCCACATGACATACTATCAAACAAGCTTGAGGTATATGGTGAGTCTATTCACCCTACTGGTCTGCGGCATACTCTTGTTCAAAATCTTGGTAATGAAACAACTTGGTCGTGCCTTCGTGGTCGTATTCGTCGACCTCACCAGGCTCACCTCCGTCGGCATTGTCGGAATCATCGTGGGTGGGGTTGAAGTGGGGGTGGTTGAGCTTGGCAATGCGATTCACTTCACGCGCCACCAGGTTCTGCCGCACTTGGACGCGCAATGCTTTGTAAATGGCCGCATCGGACCGGCGCACCTTGGCATAGCGTCGGCAGTGTGTGATGGGGGCGAACGCCTCGTGAAACACGTTTTTACCTACAAAATGTCACTGCTGAGTGAGCTATCATACATTTCAATGGATTATTGATCCGTACGAGCATACACTGCCCCGCCAGTGTCAGTCCACCGTTCTTCGAGAGGGTCCTGCAGTGGGGTTGAGAAGGTTGGGTATATTACTTGAAAAGACGACAATACCTCCAGCACGGGCGTCAACGCTGCGGTTGGGAACGAATAATCCTTGTGGTGCTGGCTGAAACTGCTTGTCCGCGTGAGTCGATGCTTGTGGATATCTTGGACACACGACTTCACGAGTCGAGCCATTTCTTGAGTTTCTAATCGCCCATTAGTGTTGGCAACATACACCCGAGAATGAACAAGCCTACCATGAGAATCGTCGCTCGTACGGACCACTGACAATATTAGCGAAGGTAACGGAGTCAGGCTTTGCATAAGGGTACAGGTCGTGCCATATATGCCAAACATGGAGGTCCAAGGCTTGTCGAACGACAAGGCGATGCACATTGCATGCACCGTGAGCGCAACTTCGTTACTCGTAGGCGGGATCAAGTGAACCACTTCAATGCATTGGAGCATGCACTCCACCGCCTGCATTACAGCCGCCGCGGTGTCGACATTCGTCGCCATCGGCAGACGGTTTCGTGGCAGGAGTGTCAATTGACAACTGGTAGTTGAAGCATTAATATCCGGAAGTATTGTTTTCCGGATAACCTTCGAACGAACTGATGACATTTGCCCGTTGGCGGCGTGATGAACGCTTGGAACGATTGGGATTGTCCTCGCTGCTCCTTGATCAATGAGCCCCAGAGTCTGTTCTGCGATGCGTGTGCATTCATCAAACCCGATAGCCCACCTGCAACTGATGGTACGTGGCACAGTCTTGACGCTAGCTAACAGTACCCCACCCAGATGATGACCACGCGGTCCCTCCACCAAAGCGGATGAAGTTTAGCATCGAAGACTTGGTGGATCTGGTTAGCGACGAAGACGACGACATGGAATTCAAAGCTGCCATTGCAGCATCTGCGCTGGAGCACATGCATGCAACAGGAACTGCATACAATGCGACCCGCAATGTCGACGCAACGGTGTCAAATAACTCATCGTCAGAAATGCAGCCACCGACGACATCAAACTCGTTTCTTCACGACTTGCACGCCGAACGCATGCAACGTCAACAGCTACGGCAAGGACCGCCCTCTGCCATCACGTCCCCGCTCGAGGGGTCGGTCACCATGGCAGCCCCACAGTCACCGACGACTCTCTTGGTGGCGTCTCTGAACGTCTGGTTCGACGAAGTCCTTGTGGAAGAGCGCATCAACGCCATGTGCAATCTTTTCTCCACCTTGGCGCCCCACGTGATCTTCCTCCAGGAAGTCACACCGGACATGGGGGCGCTCTTGTCGTCGACTTTGCGCACCCTCGGATACGCGGCCGCGAACGCCGTGACGGACCAAGCGTACAGCGAGCTCATTCTCGTCAAGGGCCTGCCGATCCTCCAGTACACCCGCCACCCGTTTGAACGATCGGCCATGGGCCGCCATTTGCATGTGGTCGAAACAGAGTTCAACGGGAAACCTCTGCGACTGGCCACGGCCCACCTGGAAAGCCTCGCTCAGAACCGCACCACGAGGCTTGCGCAGCTCAAGTGGTCGTTCAGCCACCTCCTGGACAACTCCACGAACCAGTCGTGGGTGTTTGGCGGGGACATGAACTTGGGCAGCAAGGACGTGGTCGCCGTGCCTGCGTCGGTAGGTCCGGCCTGTGTCGGAGATGTCATGACGTGGCTGGCGTGATGTAGGTGGAGGACGCGTGGGTGGCAAGTGGGCGCCCGGCCGACCACCAGCACACATGGGACACGACCATCAACAAGAACCTGCCAAATGTGCACTTTGCCGCCAAGTGCCGGTTTGACCGGCTGTACAGCCACGGCCTGCGGTGCGATGGCTTTGCCACGTTTGGCAAGGAACCGTTGAGTAACCACTCGAACATGTATCCGTCGGACCATTGGGGAGTCGTGGCCTCGTATAGCTCAAGCCACAATCCCCACCAGTAGTAGTAGTAGCATGAATGGGATGGTGGAACTCGAAGGAATCCATTGCATTATGGCATGAACATAACAACGCTGGCAGACAAACGGCTGGAAACGGCTGGCTCGAATGGTGGGTTGAAGTGTGTTGTTGCAACTGAATTGACAAGCATGACGTCATGGAAAGGCACCCACCAGCCACACTCACCCAGTTTGCCTTGACATGAGCACTACTGCATACTGAATCCTGTACTAGCAATGGATTATTCCTGTTCTTTGTCTTCGAGCAGCAAGCTGCGCTCGAGGTCAACCGACAAACTGCCGAGAAACGAAAACGAGTTGGTTCTGTTGGTCGCGCGGTGGGCCCGCCTCGTGCCTTCGTCCGAGCTGAGGCTGTCACGGTACTCGTCCGAGTCGACGGGGCTGTTGAGACTGCTCACGTCGCTGGCTTTGCGCTGAAGATACGACACCACATGGGCGCGCTCCCGGATGAGCCGGGCATTGTCAAGGTTGAGCTGGGCGAGGTTGGAGGACGGGCCATGCGCGTGTTTGGCTCGGCTTCGGGCAGGCATGGACGTGTGCCGTCGCATGTCTGGGGGCGCCAAGTCGTCCGGGATCGCCATCAGCGCGACGGACGAGGGCTTTTTCGGGTCGCGCTGGTGGCGCGGCGGTCGAACCACCGACGACGACGTGCTGCGGAGCCTGTGCCGTCTCGACGATTCGTCCGCGTCGTCAAAGCTGCCGCCGTCGACGCTGTCGCCGCTGTCGTCATGGTACGACTTGTCCAGAGACACGAGCGACGGCGTCGAGTGCGAGCTGACGATGCGCTTGACCAAACTTTCCGACGAGACTGGCGAAGCTGGAAGAGGTGCCGCGACGACGGCAAACGACACTTCGGCAGTGGTCGGCGACGGCGGGTGGCTCTCGGCAACGTATGGGGGTAAGTCCATGATGGCCGCGTCCGGCGTGGTCACATGGCAATGCGAAGCTTGTGAAGCCGCTGCCCTTGACGACGGCGGCGGCATCATCCCGCTGTCCCACCCGACAACGCCCGCGGAAGCCCCGCGGGGGGCGCTGAGGAAACTCGCCTGGCCTGCCAAGGCCGACCCAAAGAAGTCGAAGTTCAGGGTGCTGTGCCTCCTGCTTTGTTTGAGTGTCTTGTTGGTCCATTGCTCGATCTTTTTGAAAATGCCGTGGGAAAACAGCGGCGGCCTGGTCACGTCTTCCGAAGGAGGAGACGGATCGGGGGCATGCGACAGAGAGGCTCGATGCGCGCGCAGGCCGTCCGCGGTGCTCTTGCTGCGGGCTTCTCGATACAGGGCCGAGTTCCGCTCCGAGAACGTGTGCCGGTACGTCGTGTCGGAAAAATGTCGAGGGCGACTGGCTAGCGATGCGTCGCTTGGGCTTGTGATGAGTTTGAACTGCGCCACTTGCGTGGGACCCACCTCGGTTTGTCCCCAATAGTCGTCCACAATCTACCCCAAATCACGTCACCCAACCCATGCAGTTGTTGATTCAGGGGGATATACATATATAAATGTATATCGAAATATATATATATATATATTATGGGGCAAAGTACCTCGGGTGCCGTCGCATCGGCAAAGTACTTGGCCTCGGCCGAGTCGTCGACGTCGGCATCGATGGTCTCGTGCGATAGATGCCGCGAGAGTGTCCTATTATCCGTCACATGCCAGTATTAGATGAGCATATTCACGAGAACATCAACATGTGGTCGAATGTTGCCGTACCTGGACGTAATTTTTCGATTCGACAGCGGGTGCTTTCGTTTTTTAGCCGATTCGATCGAGAGCGGGGGATCGCCGTCGTCTGCCGTCGCCACGGTTGCAAACGTACGGTCGTTGGAAAGCGCTATGCCCGACGCCAGCTCCAGCCGATGGTACGCCCTTAGGTCTTCGATACGCGACGACGTGACGATCTCTTGGCTGTTGGCAACGTGCACCAGCAGTTTCGGGTCCAGCAGCGCATCTCGGCCAATCTACGATTGGTTGTACTTTGTCAAGTCGATTCGAAATTAGAGTAAGTGGGGTGCTCAATCGAAATACGACCAATCCAAAACCACAACACGAATCAAGTGGCCAATCAAGTCAACTCTTGGACCAAGTCAACATCGAATTAGTGTGTGATTGAAATTAGTGTGATACTGACCGATCTGTACATACAAAAGTCAGGACAAAGAATCGATATATCGATAGAATTTGGCAATGAATAAAAGTAATCCAAATTTTGGGTAAAACGACAATCTCTCCCTTGTTGACACACACTCTCTATATAAAACAAACATTTCGCACCTGATTGAGACACACAAGGACGTCGCCGTACGTTTCACACGACATAATGTGCGGGTATTCCAGTTGAGTGAACGCCAGCGCCATACGAAACAAGGCCTGTGCATACATTTATCAGTATGATCCCAATATATAAATAATATATATATATATATATATTATTTGTACGACGTACTTCGTTTCCGTTGATGAAAAAGAGATCCCACACCCGAATCGTAGTCTCCTTTCGACAAGGACTGCCAAAGAGGGTGCAAAACCATTCCGTGCACGCCAACGACAGCTCGGCCCCAAACCCCCCGAGTTGCTACAGTTGCATATTCTGTTCAAGAAATCACCACATATATATGATATATATATATCAAGATATAAAACTATATCTCAATATATATATAACACATGTGTCAATTTATATATATATATATACCTCAATGTGCTGCACAATCTGGGGGGTTTGAAGTGCGACGAGCTCTGCAAACACGTGCTGGTCGATGGCGAGGCCGAGCATGGTCGTGTAGTAATCATCAGGCAGCAGCGCAATCATGCGCTCGAGCAGCCAGAACGCACTCTCGTCGTCGTCGACGCACTGGAGCAAGCGGGCGACGACGTAGTTGAGGCCTTGGCAGTACCCGAGCTTTGGATTGTGCACGGCATACGCTACCAAGACCCGCCGCAGCTGGTCGCTTCGTTCTACCGACCAATCAGCGTCGTCAGGCGACACGGTGCGGGTTAGATCGGCTTCGATTTGACGCACAGACTCGGCACTAGGAGATGCGATGGGCGCCACGAACAAATATGATATGATGCAGAGAAGGGTTGATCGTTACTTGACAGAGCTGTGGCCCACCAAGGTCGAGTAATGGCCTTTCCGCAAGTCCATTTCCGTGTTGGCGCCGGACAAGAGCATCCACAGCTTCCCGTGCATCTGCGGCGTCAAGTGCCGACAGGATGCTTCGTCCAGCACGAGCATCCGCACGCGCTCTTCCGTGCGCCACAGCTCGTATGAGAGCTTTTCGTCGCTTTGGACTCCTCCATCTTGTGCGTTGGTTGCGTTATTCATATCGGTTTGCTGGGTTTCATAGAGTTCCAACAGCACAGTCCAGGCGGTGACACTGGAGGCCGCGTCAGTGAACATTGAAGTGTCTCCCCACGAAAAGGCAGTCGGATGCTGTTGGGAGGAGGAAGGTTGATCGTCTCGCAACGTGCTGTCCGTGAAATCCTAGTTGTGCGTGATATGGCGGCGTACATGTGTGTGATAGAAATGATACCTGACACGAACTCGCCGCAGCAAATGTCCCCATGGAAGCTCTTTCATATGGAGTTCTTTGACGGGCCGTCCGCAACACCTCTGCCTGTAGCGCCAATATGCACAAGTACACTATGCATCCCGCATAATGCACACCATCACGAGCAAGGGCACCATACCTCGTTGGGGGTTCGATCCCTTGAGCAAGTCGTTCGGTCGAAAGATGGCGTCGTCGGGCACTCCGAAGGCTCGACACGACCTGTGTTGCAGTTATGGTCAACGATCCACAGGATATCCCTTACTCGATGAACGTGCGGATGTTTTGCCGCCTGCAACTGGTACTGAACAGCGTATTCGACGTCGATGTCTGCATCGTCTCGATGGGAACGCGCTTGTGCTTCATGCCCACAGCACGGTACAGATGGTTCACCAATAAGCACAAGATCGTTCCATCCTGCAACGCATGCAACAAGTCGCCGTGGATCTTGTCCGACAGCACCATTTCAATCCATCGCTTGGACACTTCCTCATGGTTGTGCATCGCCCGCCCACTGCGCAATTCCAATTGCTAGTAAAATCAATCCCTCCGGCCCTTTTTGCCCGTCAGTAATATAATCCAAAGCCACAACATTTCACTTGATTCAACTATACCGTATAAAAAATTGATTTAAAACACGTTGTCCGCGTACAAGGCGTCTCGAACAAATCCGGCATCCATGATGACGAGGTGGAGGAGGGGATGAATGACTTGAGCGGCACACGAGCTATACTCCAGTACCTCATGCACCCCTGGCATCAAGCAGGCGCTGTCCATTCTGCGGAACACTCGTCGCAACATCGCCTGCGTTGGCCAACTGATGCATCTAATTGCAAAGAGACAAACGACTTGCTTTTTTCTCCCACGATCGTTCGCTGTTTACAGCTCAAGAGTTGTCCCAGCTGTCGACAGTTTGCTCTAGCACATGCTGCGTTCATGGATATGTAGCTCTTGCTGGAGCCTGTCGGCATACTTATGTGCAAGGCTTCTCGCAACATCTTCGTACTGCAGACACCCCGTACATATTCCATCATGTGTCCTTTCTGGAGTTTATTTTTGATTTTTGAAATGGTTTGGAATCGTTTTTTATTGGCGGCATCTGATTGGTTATTGGACCACGCCCATCCATTGGGTGGTTGAAACGTAGATTGGATCGTTGGTTCAAGCAGATATTGGCCATGAGCGACCACAGCGACACCGAGCAGACAGACGCGCGCCGCGCGCCCAAGCGCTTGGGCGAAGATCCCAATGATGCCAGTCGAAAGGGTGCAAAGAAGCCAAAGACGAAGAATGTCGGCAAGTACCTTCGCCCGGCGCCTGAAGGCCAAGTCATTCGGGTACGACACAATTGACGAGTTGTCATCACGGCAGCGACTTATGTGCTGCTTGCTTGCATCTAGTCTACCAAGGACAAGAAACTAAAAGGAGAACTGGCTCGCTACAACAAAAAAGTACAGGACGCGGCAGCCTCGGCCGCCAAGGCCGAAATCTTGCTCCCAGAAGAAGCAGGGTATGAATTTACCACCATCGTCGTCGTCGTCGTCATCACGTTCACACACGGCGCCGATTTTGATGTAGTGTGTTGACAGCGGAAGGCATGGAGAAGACATTCAGGTTCACACAGGAGCAATTGGCGGAGCACGTGGATCGCAACACGGCGCAGAAGATGTTTCACTTGGACTTGCCCACGTTTGGGCCATACAACATCGACTACACCAAGAACGGCCGGAACCTCATCTTGGGCGGCCAAAAGGGCCACGTGGCAGTGTTCGATACGCTCCGCATGAACCTCAGCTGCGAGTTCCACGTCAAAGAGTCGGTGCGCGACGTCAAGTTCTTGCACAACAACTCGCTGTTTGCCGTCGCCCAAAAGAAATACGTGTACGTCAGTCCTTGTTGTTATCGTGGTCTATATGCAAGAGTGTTTGTGTATTGTGCTTTCGAGTGAAATTTCATTGTGTTGTGGTGTGGTTTCTCGTTGGAATTTAAATGGATTTGATTGGTTACTTCAGAAGAGCTCAAAATTAATAGCCAATCAAAACCTTATCAATGAAATTTAACCAATCAGATCGATTGAGGATCGGTTTGGTCGGCGCGATTCGATTGCACCCCCTCCCCAAATTTGTATATCAAATCGACAATAATAGATACATATACGACAACACGGGCGCCGAAGCCCACTGCATCCGGACAATGGCTGACCCAAAGCGCCTGGCGTTCCTTCCGTACCACTTTTTGCTGTCGTGTGTGAGCGGCAACGGCCTCTTGAGCTACAACGACATCACCACGGGCGCCCAAATCTCGACACACAAGACCAAGCTTGGGCTGTGCGATACCATGGCCTTGGTATTAGAACAATCTATCTATCTATCACTGAGTGCTGACACACCTCGATTGTAGAACCCGTGGAATGCCGTTGTGAACCTTGGTCACGCCAACGGCCTCGTGACGCTGTGGACACCCAACATGCCCGACCCCGTCATCAAAATGCAGGCCCATCAAGGCCCGAGTACGTGATGCTTCATTTATGAATATAAATGAGGATATTTGATATATAACCAACAGCAGTTTTAACGATGATCGTTGTGTAGTTCGTGGCATGGCCGTGCATGTGGATGGGCGGTACTTGGCCACCACAGGCAGCGACCGCAAGCTCAAGGTACGTCGTGTACCCCTTGTTTGCCATGTATTTTGAATATGATTTGGTAGATTTTCGACCTGCGGACGTACAAAGAGCTCCATCAGTACTACCTGAGCTCGGGCGCGACCACAGTGGACATCAGTCATCGGGGCATGGTGGCCGTGGGGTTTGGGCCGAATGTGGAGGTGTGGAAGGATGCATTGACGACCAAGGCCGCGAGTCCGTACATGACGCACCGCATGCCGGGGACGCAGGCCACGAGCGTGCGCTTCCGGCCGTTCGAAGACGTTCTGAGCATCGGCCACGCCTTGGGCTTTGCCAACATCGTCGTACCCGGCGCCGGGGAAGCCAACTTTGACTCGTTTGAGGCCAACCCGTTCGAGAACCTCAAGCAGCGGCGCGAGACTGAAGTCAAGTCGCTGCTGGAGAAGTTGCGTCCGGAAATGATCACGCTCAACCCGATGGTGATTGGTCGGGTGGACGTCAACCCGAACGACGAGTACGAAGAGAAGGTGGCGACGCAGTACCGAGCCAACAACCAAGGCCGCGACATCCCCAAGAAGAAGATGCGCGGCAAGAACAGGCCGTCCCGCCGCCTGCGGAAAAAGCAGCAGAACGTCGTGGACATTGAAAAGCAAAAGTACAGAGACATGCTCGAAAGCAAGTCCAAGGACGACGCGCGGGCCAAGCAAGCGACCGAGTGGAAGCAAAAGATGGACTCGGTGCCCACCGCGCTCAACCGGTTTTATAAAAAGTAATTATAATCCATGTGTACGAGGCTGGGATTATAATTAGTACTTATTATCGGTACGTCAAGTATTACTTCGAAGTAATAAGTAATGGTAGGGTGGGTGTGTTTTTTAAGACAGTATTACTTCGAAGTAATATGTACTACTACGTAGAAGTATACAATATTAAAATAGTATTAATACTGTCTAAAATATTAAAATAGTATTAATACTGTACATGTATTTTAATACATGTACCAGTGTATTATTAAAATTATACTACCGGTAGTACTTAAGACTTACGGGAAAGCATTGAATATTAATACCAACCTTGGATACTATGGTTAATATAATATAATTGTTGAATTAAAAGCATGGATGACATGTGGATGAAATTTGGATGACATTGGATGAAATTGGATGAAGTTGTGGGATGAAACCTAAAGTAGTGACCAAGCCTTACGTTGGCCCCGAGCGCCCGGGAGGCCGTCTGCGCAAGCGCGGCCGTACGAGAGCGCGGATCTAAGCTTCTCACTTCACCGAATGATCTATCTTTTCTTCTTGTCGGGCAGCGGCAGGTAGGCCGTAGGCCGTGCCGCTCCCGGACGAGGCCTGTATACAATGACCTAGCATTATCCTAATTTACTCTCATCTATACTAATTAGGATATGACCTAATATTAATGGTGGATGACGTTGGGATGACGTTTGCATGACACATGATACTATCACGGATATTTGAAATCCATATAAATAATTCGAAGTACTACATGTATTAATAGTACTCCGGAGTACTACGGTAACGTTAACGATATTACTGTAATAGTGTTGGGTTTGCCCATTTTTTATGAATTCTTTAATTTGAGAATAAATGAAGAACATGCCAACGACACTTTCTTCGACCTACCTGATGGATCGCGGATCACATTTGAAAGCGGCCACCATGCAGAAGTTCACGGTTGCAGCCATCCAAATGGTGTCTCGGGCCACCCTATCTCCAAACATTGACACCGTACGACGCCTGGTGGGAGAAGCAGCGGCATCAGGTGCGTCTGTGGTTCTCCTGCCCGAGTATTGGGGTCTGCTCGGCCGCAAGGACACGGACAAGGTGGCATTGCGCGAACCCTTTCAGGACGTGTCCAGGCCCATGCAGCAGTGCATGCAGTCTCTGGCCAAAGAGCACAAGATTTGGCTCGTCGGGGGAACCATTCCGCTCGAAAGCCCCACGGACGCCACCAAGGTGTACAACACCACGCTTGTGTACAACCCCGCCGGCGACGTCGTCCACCGCTACGACAAGGTCCATCTCTTCGGGTACATTCCTGGCAATGGCCAACCGACGTACGACGAGGCCGCGACGAACTTTCGCGGCGATCCCGCGCAGCATGCGGTCGTAGACACACATCTCGGTCCCATTGGTCTGTCCGTGTGCTACGACCTCCGCTTCCCCGAATACTACCGCGCGTTGGGTCCGTGCTCGCTGGTGGTCGTTCCTGCCGCCTTCACCCACACGACCGGCAAGGCGCACTGGGAAATCCTCTTGAAGGCCCGCGCCATCGAGAACCAGTGCTACGTGCTGGCGGCGGCGCAGGGTGGTGTCCACGAGAATGGTCGGCACACGTGGGGCCAATCCATGCTCATCGATCCATGGGGCGTCATCGTCAGTCAACTTGGACAAGGCGAGGGGGTCGTTGTGGGGGACGTCGACCTCGCCCACCTCTCGACCATCCGCCAGCAACTCCCTGCCCTCCAACACAGATGCCTTCCCTAGGTTATCCTAGATCCCTTAATTGCTTTATAAAAAACTGTCTTGCTTTGATGCAACCAAAAGTCGTCTAGCTTTTCCTGCAATACTGTACCATCCTATTCACTCTACACTGCATGTAGGGTATAAATTAAATATATATCTGTCCAAATATGATGTATTTACGACAGGATTGATTTCGCCGTGGGCTGTCTGTCGACCATCTATCGATACGCCAAGCATGCCAAGCTGCCACGCCAGCTTCCATGTACATCGGCTCCCGTAAGTGTCCGTATAGCGTCGACTCGTAGATTCGGCCGTGAATGCATGCTATGATGCAACATTCGATATATTATCCACGTATACATGTTTGTTGTGCTTACTCCTTTCACGTTCCTACTCGTTCTCCTAGACTTCGAGTTGACACAACCACATCGTTGGCGTCGTCTCGTCCGCTTTTTCCTTCGCGGTGGCTTTGGCTTCGGCAATGATGGCCGCGTTGTTCTCGCGCTTCTGGCCGCGGACCGTGGACAATCGGCGCAGGTTGATGTTGGTCTTCTTGTTGGCTTCCATGATGGCTTCTTCAATCTCACGCATCCACTCGGCCTTCATGGACGCGGACTCGGCAATGACCGTGAATGTCTTGACGGGGTTCAGGATCTGGAACGCATGACGTACGAGCAGGCTGTCGGGGATGTCCGCGAGCCGCGTGAGGCGCAGGCGCAGCGACTGGTGGGCGTTAAAGTTGCCCGAGATGCTGCCCTTGTCGGCGTACAGCAGCTGGTCGTTAAAGAGGAAGAACCGATAGAGGCGGTGGCGGCCCGTGCGGCACTTCTTGGTCAAGTCGCCTTCTTTGATAAACTGCGTCGAGTCATGCAGGTACACATGCGATCGGTTGATTCGCTTGGTGACGCTCTTGAGGGTTTCAACTGTCTGGCGCTTCTGGATCGAATCCTTTAGCTTGTTGACGTACACGTGGATATCTCCAATGACGCCCCACGGGTCTGCGTCCGACGTCTTGTACCCTGTCAGCCACTCTAGCTGATGACAACCAGTCTGCTTGTCGTCCGTCGCCGCTGGTTCCGTAGCCGGCTCCTTCCCGAACGAGTCGGACGTTTGGAGCTTGGTGAGCTGGTTCGAGAACGCTTGGCGCTCCACGTGCATTTCCAAAAATACGCAGATCGAAATACAGTATCGCAGCATGTCGAGACACTGCAGCACCAAGCTCAAGTCGCTCTGGTTGTTGCTCAGGATGGTCGTGGAGAGCGCGAGGAAGTGAAACCACACGCGCTCAAAGAGGATCTTGACCAGGTCGGGGCTGATGCTTGCGTCGACACCGAAGAAGTTGAACGTAAACTTGGATCGCGCGAGGTCCTTCATCAAGTCCTCCGACTGTGTCACAGACTTGGACAGCCCCATGCGGAACTTTTCGCAGTCGGCAGTGTCTGCGTGGCTCCCATGTTCTTGCTTGTTGCTTGGCAACGTGTACGCGAGCCCCTTCAACTGGATCGGGTTGACCAAAATGTCGTCATAAATGTCCTCGAGGATCGCCTTGGGCACGTCGTTGCCGTTGTCAATCCCGCGGTTGTTCTTGACAAACTGGTCCTTGGACATCTTGTTCTTCTTCACTTGGGGGTTGTGCAGGTCCGTGTTAAGCATGATGATCGAATACGCCAAGATCATGATCGTGTCCGAGCTCGAAAACGACGTCGCGCCCGCCAAGTCCTCAAAGTAGCACTGCGCAAACGCCTCCACCATCCGCGCGATCTTTTGCGCTTCCCCCGGCAGTTTGAATCCGCCGTGGGTCAAGTAGTGCCGCAGCGCCTCCACCAACGTCATTCCCGTGAATGAAATCGCGCGCGCATACGTGAGTCGAATGTGCAGTTTGAACTCTTCGTCGCCTTCGCCCAAGTAGTCGCCAATGTCGCCTTCGTCAAAGAACGTGTGGTAGATGCGCAGGAACGACGTAATGTCCCGCGGAGACTCCTTGATCAGCCCCATGGCCACGAGGTACTCGAGCGCTTTCTTGAAGCTCTTGGTCTCGGCGATCTCCATCCCGCGTTTGAGCAGCTGCTGGCTCTTCTTTTGCACCTCGTTGCGCTCGCGAACGGTGCCGTAGATCGACCCGAGCTTTGAATTTACACTCGTCACGTCGTGATCGTCGGGGTGGGAAAGGAGACCTTCACTCGATGACGTGGCCGCCTGGTCGTACTGCAAGCCGCCGCTGGTGGTGGTGGTGCTGGTGCTGCTGCCCACGGGACTCGTGGGGCTGCTGCTAAACGCGTCGAGTTCCCACCCTCCCTTTTCCATCGACAGAATCCGCGTCCGGTCGTTGCGAAGAATCAAATGCGCATGCCCACTGGCGTCCATGAGACTCCTCAAAATGGCCAAGATAGTCGTCAGGGATTGCTCCTACAAGGCAACCACGCACGTGTGATTCTTCCGCATGTTGTACATCCAACAACACTCGTACCCCAATGTCCACGGCAGACGAACACGAGGCTTCGTCGTCGTCGGCGGCACTCGACGCACCGCCGCCATTCACGCAGCTCGTCTCGGCGATGCTGCACAACGCGGCGCAGAACTGCTCAAACACTTTCCACTGCTGGACAAACTGGCGGTCCATGTCAAAGTTGAGGAAGATCTCGACCACGTTGTGCGGGAGCTGGAACCACGGCCTGAGCTCATGGAGCACCAGCGACTGAAACGTCATGGCCGTCGGCCCCGGGCTCCGCAAGATGCGCAGAAACACGTTTTCAAACAGCAGCGCCAGCTCCACCTTCAAGTGGCGCCGGTATTGGTTCCACAGCGTCGTCACCAGACTCAGCGCGCCGCAAAGGACAGCCTCGGACCACATCACGCACGCCGAATTCACGACGCTGCACACGAACCGCCGGATCTGCTGCCCAAAGATCGGGTGGTCCTTGAACGTCGGCGGGCCGCTCAGCAGCGCCACGTCCAGCATGTGCAACGTGTTCTTGATGGACGCGCAGTCCTTCTCGTACGCTTGATCCACAGTCGAACAGTTGCGCTTGGTCGCGTACTTGCTCAAGGTCGCAATCAGCTGGTACGCATTGCACTCAGCCTACCCATACATGTTTAGAAAGTACTCATATATACTAGTATATATTTGTATTGACGTATATATGTATAACTCTATAGATATACCAGTACAACGTAAACATATATATATGTGAATGTGGAGAGTTTGGTCATCGCACCGTGGTTTGCAGCAATCCTTTAATACATTGCTGGATCTCGTGGCAAAACCCTGCAGAATAGATGGACGAATGGCCCTACTCCCCCCAGAGAGGTATCACAACATCAGTCTCAAACACATCTAGAAGTGCAGGGTACCTTGATGATGTTGAGTGCATTTTCGTTCATGCGCGCGATTTCCACGGCTGTCACGGCTTCGCTGGCCACGCCGTACACGATGTTCGCGAGGGGGCCATAGTTGTCTTGTCCGAAGGAGGGATTCGACGCAAACAGCTTGGCCAAGTTGGCTTGGGCCACATCCTTGTCCACGTCCACACGACGCATGACCGAGTGGATCAGGTCTTCCAGCGCCGCCCGCGCCACGCCGTCATCAAAATCATTCGCAAACAACAGCGCTTTTGTCACTTCGTGCAGAATCACCGACGAAAACTCGTGCGCGTACTGCTTGATCACCTATACAACAACCATGTCACGTCCAAATCCATCGCAACCGCCGCCAAGAATCAAGGTTGGTACCTACTACCTAGTGCCTAATACCTAGTACCTAATACACACTAGTACCTAATACATACTAATACATACTAGTACCTAATATCTAGTACCAAAGTACCCAATACCTAGTACATAATATATACTGTACTAGTACGTTGAAGTACATCCGTACCTACCCATACTACTGTAGTACCTAGTACCTAATATCTAGTTCCTAAGTACCCAATACCTAGTACTACGTAGTACATAATATATACTAGTACGTTGAAGTACATCCGTACTACACCCTTACTACAAATATCCTCGTTACCTTGGCCAAGAGCGACATGACAATCGGCACGCGGTCGCGCATGCCTTGCTGGCACGACGTGTTGATGGTCTCCACGAGCGCCGTGAGCAGGTACGCGTCGTTTCTCATCACGTGGCTCTTCATCACGTTCGAGTCGAGGATTGTCTCGAGCCTAGCGATGGCCTGCACGGCGATCGTGCCCTGTCGCATGTGGCACGACACCAAAAGCGGGTACACAAACTTGATCAAAAGGGACAAGTCGTCGTCGCTGCAAGAGTCTTGCTTGGACAGCAGCGTCGGATGACGAGGACTTGTGGGGTCGTCGTCCAGAGAAGTCTCGACCGATTGGCGTTCGTCTACATATCGCAATGTCATCACACATCATCATCTCAACATGCCATGTACCGTCGACAAAGGTGGCGGCGTTGTGGCGGGTGCTGCCCTTTTGCGACGTCTGCGGCTTGGCCAGCGTGGCATGCCACCACAATGGCTTCAAGTACTCGACCAACCCAATCTACCACCATGATATAAACAAAACACCACCGAATACACGTACGTGTTTGCGGTAGCAAATGGACACTTCCATGTTGGTGTGGACGTCGACGGAGTGACCGTTTGGCGTCTTGTCGATCTTCATGTACCTACGCTGAAATGTGAGTCCCGTTGGTCAAGACATGGAGGCAACGTACCCGTACGGGACCTTGTCACCTTTCTTGGGAAACACCACCGCGATGTCCGTGATCGACGACGACGCCGACCGCTTGTAGCACATGTACAGCTTCTCGCCACTCACGCCCTACATGTCGTTTGGTTTCCTATGGAAGTCAACCGTCTAAAGCGGCCCCGTGTACCGAGTTCAAGTTGGCCGCGACGCCGCGGCGTTGGACAAACTCGTAATTCGGTGGCGGACACTCCCCCCGCTCGGGGTAGATCAAGATGATGTCGCTGATGGGGGGGCGCTTGTAGCCATACGAAGACGGAATCTCTCGCTTTTGGCACAGGTACACGAACTGGCCTCGCCGCCCGCGGTTCAGGTCGGCTTTGATGCCACTGGGAGACTTTTCAATCTACCAAGACATTAGAAAGACCGACATGGAGGGCTAGCTCGACGGCGGTGGAACCTTTTCAAAGTCCTCGGGGGTGACGTCGCCGCTGAAGACGACGACGAGGTCCGTGATGGGGAGCGGCGTCGGCGGCGCGTCGTCATCGTCGGCATTCCCGTCCTCGTCGCTGTCTTTGGTTTTGAGAAACGTCGACTTCCACTGATGGTAGTTGGACTTCATCTTTTGCGCCATGGGGCTTTTCAACAGCGACACCGTTGTCCCTCCGCCAAGGATCACACTGCTTTCTTCGGACGCTTGGACGGCATTGGCGATCGCAGACGACGTCGCCGGCATGCAATGGAGCTGCTTGAGGAGCGGCGACGCGGTGTCCGTGCTCGGTTGGAGCGTCTGGAGGTAGATGTCGCGCAAGTGTTGAAACGCCGACGGGTCCGCATCGGTCTCCTTCAACAGGACGCGAATGTGTTCGGCGAATGGTTCCTCGACGGGACTCGTGGGGACGAGCATGTGCACTTCGCAGTTCACGGGAGCAAAACGCGTCGGCGATGGCGGGCCAGACGACAGATGGGACGACGATGTGCGCTCCAGGGGGTGGGTATTGCTCGACGTGGGGGACGCAACCGAGAAGGACGACGTGGAGCGGTCGTGTCCACCGTCCGTCGTCGCAACATGCAGCCGATCCAGCATGCGCTCGGACATTGTCAAGTTAAATTTGGACCTGCCCTGTAACAGCCACGTCAAAGTCGGAGAACAAACAACGATGGGGATCATGTAACTGCCGACAATGATAATACAATGAGACTATTTTATCTTGACTGGGATGGAGTATAGAGCGTCACGAAACTATTTTATTCCAAACTGTAACGGCTATTTTTCCCACCCTGCAATCTTTTTTCGCCAAGGCGAAGGCAACCATCTATTACGTACTACAGCGTCGCCGTCGCCATTGAGGGCACTACATGTATCTACAGGTCCTCCGACCCCAAGGACGCCAGGAGCGCCGCCACGTCATCCACGGACATTTCATGGTCCGGCTTGCGAAGCATCGCGGCATGTGCGTCGCTGATGCTTTCTGCAGAAGTATCGAGGAACTGCTGCATATTGCTGGATTGGTCCTTCAGTCTGTCGCCGTACTGGTCCCGATGTTGCGCCGCCCAGTGTTGGTATCGCACCACTTGTTCGGGGGTTAATATTGCATGGATCGAATCGGCATGCGTTTGCATCGCGGCTGTCTGCGCCGCCATGCTCTTTTGCAGCTGCTGAACGTTGGCCTAATACCCACATCATCATACATCCACCTTCAAACATGTCCAACTCTTCCTCGCACCAACGACGCAGCGATGCGCCGACGCTCGTTCTTGGTCTGCGCACTGTCCTGGTTGGCTCGGTAATGACCCTTGATCTTCTCTTCCTGATCGTACGACATGGCGATGTCCGCTGACAGCGACGCCCACAGTCCATCCTTTTTGCCGCCTACTTCCTTGCGCTCGGACACGTCCCCCGCCTTCTTGCCGGACGCGGGCGTCTGCGCCGTGCGCGCGTAAAACGCATCGTCCTAAGGATATAAGACATGTCATCGAGGTCGTCGGGGTGAGGAGGAGAGTCGGTCGAGACCTGCAAACTCATCCACAGCAGGAAGCATGTGTAGGGCGGCAAGAGCAGCCCGTCGAGTTGGTTGAAATGGTACTTGATCAGAGCTTGCCGTTCCTATGCACGGGTGGCATCATACACATGGAGGCGCCCGTGCACCTGCATTTAGTGACATACCTCCGAGTTGGGTCCGTATCGGTCCTTGAGCAATTGCGCCACCTGCTGCAGCTCGTCGTCGACGTCCGGCGGCAGGGGCGCGTTCGGCGGGAAAGGCGCGAGTTTCTCGTACAAGGACGTGACAAGCTGCGCCTTGACGGTCGTGATCGTCTTGTCGGCAGTGTCCAAGTGCTCCATGCGCGCCACGTCGATGTCTTCGGTCAACTGCGCGACCTTTTCTTCCAGCAGTTCCAAGTACTGCTTCTTGCGGCGCCGACTGTCCCGCGCGGAAATCCGATTCCGTTCCAGTCTAACATTCGGTAATTTGGTGAATGAAGGATCGATGTATAGTTCATTCATCATGTAGACCGTTTGCGGCGCTTTTCGTCCTCCGTGTCGAAGTCGTTGTCGCCGCCAAAGCGAGGCGAGTGAGGCCCGTCGCCACCGTCTGATGAAGCCGCACTCCCGCGATCCACAGACGACCCCCTTCGGTTGTATGATATCGCAGGACTTTCGTTCTTGGGCGTCCCAGACGATGGCATGTGGTTGAACGAAAAATCAATCGGCGTCGCCTTGGGCATGGCTAAGCCGAGGGACGTCGACACATGACGGAGCGATGCATCTTCGTACGGGCCTTTCGTGGACCCACCCGCGTTCTCCAGGAAGTATGTTGCCAGATCTCCGTCCTGAAGTCGCTGCGAAAACGAGGTCGAGCCATCCATTCCGTCAACGTGATTATTCATGTCGGTCATGTCTGCCGCGAAAGTTCATGCAATTCTGTAGGGACTCGATTGCAACCCCTAAACAAGAATCATTGATCATATTGCTTTCGAGTGAAATTTCGTTGGAATTTAAATCGATTTGATTGGCTACTTCAGTTGAGCTCAAAATAATTAACTAATCAAAACCTTCTCAATGAAATTCAACCAATCAGATCGATTGTGGATCGGTTTGGCCCAAATTTGTATCAAATCGACAATGTATTTCAACTTCCTATTATTATCGAAGGGCGTATATTTAAGGTATTCGAATATCCCTATTTATATGGGTGGTATAACCTCCATACACAAATCAAGTCAATCATCCAAAGTAACTTTACCTGTACATTGTCCAGTTGAAACCACACAAACGTACCTGTGAAGTGCAATCATATAGGTGCATGACGGGCTCTTCTGAAGCATGAATCTCCCTGTGGAATGGTGCGTACTACCGGTACTGTACCGGTAGTAGTGTCCACCTTGGACATGCGAAACTACTGTAACATCCAGACAACAGGACTTTTTGTCTGCCTCTCTACGGTATCCGGAACCCTTCCGGATGACGATGTCTCGTTCATTTTTCGTGCATTTGTGTTGTCGAGATGGCCGCTGCCGCCATCAACTTGGAAGAGATCGACGAGGCGATCAACTTTTGCCCCGAAGACGATGACCTATTGGACTACTTCTTGTCCGGACCGGGAGGGGCGGATGGGCTTCTTGATGAGCTCACATTAGGTGCCCCCAACGAAGCATTGGACGTCATCCCGACCGAGTTGTCGTCAGACCCCATTCCACACGACGACTATGGGTTCATTGTCTCACTGCCGCAATCCAGTGCCCCACATCCATCACAGAGTCATTCGCGTCACATTTCTGTGGATACTGCAAGCACAACGTCCTCGGTAGAATTCGACGCCCCAGACTCCCCGTCCAACTTGGCCGAGAACGACCACGACACGGAAGAAGAGAAGCGACGCAAACGGTAGGATTGTTTCCATCTTCACGGGTATATTAATGTCATGTCCAACAGACTCGAGCGCAATCGCATCTCCGCCCGCGAAAGTCGAGCCCGTAAGAAGCAGTACTTGGAACTCCTCAAGAAGAAAGTCGCGCAACTCACAGAAGACATCGGGTCGGCGCGCGGCCGGCACTTGGAGTCGGCAGATCGTACCCTATCGAGCCTCAAAGCTCAGCTCGTGTCGTCGCTGTACGACAAGATCGCGCACTTGAGTCCACATATGCCGGTCGATCCTTCCGTGCTGGACACCCTTCGCCGCGGCACCCAGCTGCTGCCGCTGCGCTTCGGTCCCAATTCCAACGTACGCCCTATACCTCGTACTTGAATAATCCATCGTCGAGCTAATACATGTATCGGTGCTGCCATGCTGTAGGAACGTCGGGCAGTGGTGACCTACCGCTTCAAGCAACTGGACAGCCTGCTCTTGCCGCCGTACACACGCTTTTTGTTATGGATGAGCAACCAGGTACAGCACACACACCCCACGTTGGTCAAGCATGTTCATAGGCCTTGTAGGATGATCGTTTCTACACAAAATCGACGTCGCCGCCCGCTCCTGCCAAAAAGCCCGACGAGCCGCGCAAGGACTCTGTGGCCAAGAAGGAGGGGCTATGGGCGGCGCTGTCAACTGAGCTCGGGCTCACGTATGAGCAAGAAGAGAAGATCAAGGGCCACTACCGGGCCAGCGACTCGCACACGGCCCAGTTGGAGCGCCGAAAGATCGCCACGGCCGTGGTACATCCCCCACCACGTTCAATGTGAACAAAATGTCACCATGTGTGGTGGTAGAACTACTTGCATCTACTCAAGCACAACATGGCCGAGCGCGCCCACGCCGTGCAGTCCCATGCCGACAAGATCCAGGGCATGCTTACCCCCGACCAAACCGTCCGGTTCCACAAGTGGGCCCTGGACCACCGAGCCAACCACACGGCGACTCTGAACGCCCGACGCGTCGCCCCAGCGCCGCACTTGTCGCCCGACATGAGCTCCATCTTGCAAACGACCGATGTGACCGCGCACGACGTGACGGCGATGCTGGCCGCCATGACCAACCCAGAACACGGCGCCGCTCGTCCGTGAGGGGGGCAGCAGCCGCAGTCGTTTACCACACCTCGCGATGCCAGAAGTCGACAATGTGTACACTTAATAAATAGATGAACCGTCGTGCGTTTTGACGAGATCAAGCCGAGTAACATTTGAAGAACCAACGTCAACTAGTATGACATACTATGTAGTAGTCCACTGGAAGTAATCATTATCGCGTGGAATCACTAGTCGACGGAACCGACGCCGCGCCTTCCTCCGAGGCTGACGGCTTCTTGGACAGCGTGGCCAGCAGCGAGGTCACATCCTCGACAGTCAAATCCCGATCCTGTTTGTGCAATATCGTGCTGATCTTGGCGCTTGGGTCCATCGCAGATGACGGCGCGAACTGTAGCCCGCGTTCCTTGAGCACGTCCGCATGGCCTGCTCGGTGCTGCATGGCCCACTGCTGGAACCGGATGGTCTGGTCGGGGGTCAAGATGCCCTGCATCGTGTCAGCGTACGTCTGCACGGCGTGGGCGCGCTCCAGCATGTTGGCTTTGAGCTGGTGCAGATACGTCTACCGCGACAGTATGCTCGTCAATCGTTGCTATGTACGAAGAATGTACGTACCACGGCCATGGCGATCTTTCGGCGCTCCAATTTGGCCGTCTTGGAGTCGCTGGCCCGGTAGTGGCCCTTGATCTTCTCTTCTTGCTCATACGTGAGCCCGAGCTCGGTTGACAGCGCCGCCCACAGCCCGTCCTTGTTGGCCACAGAGTCCTTGCGGTCGCTTTCCTTTGGTTTCGTGGACTTGCTTCCTCCTGGCGTAGGTGGGGCGCTCGTTTTGGTGTAAAATACCTCGTCCTAGGTTCCATCAGACAAACACTTGACGAAGAAGCTCCCGTTCGACCGTACTTGAATGCTCATCCAGAGCAAGAAGCGTGTGTATGGCGGCAGTAGCAAGCTGTCTAGCTGCGTAAAGTGGTAGTTGACCACAGCTTGCCTCTCCTACGACATGCACATGCTCGTCAAGGAAGGGAGATAGATGCCAGCATGCCAGATGGACAGCAGACCTTGGCATTCGGCCCAAACCGAGTTTGAATCGAATAAACTCCCTCGCGAAGTTCGTCCTCCAGGGGCGACGGGAGCGGTGCGCTCGGAGGGTGATTGTCCAGGAGTTTGTTTAATGACGTCACCAACTGGTTCTTGAGCGCATTGATCGTGCTATCGGCAGAGTCGAGATGCTCCTCGCGCGCTTCGTCGATCTCGTCCGTCAGCTGGGCCACCTTGCCCTCTAGCAGTTCCAGGTACTGTTTCTTGCGCCGACGGCTTTGCCGAGCAGATTCGCGATTGCGCTCGAGTCTACTATAGATGATGGGAACATGGACAAGCATGGTCGGTCGTAGCAGCGTACACACCGCTTGCGACGACGACCTTCGTCTGTGCCTTGTTCGTTGTCACCGCCGGTCGGGGACTCTGGACCATCTAGTTCTGACGACGCATTGCTCGCTGTCTCGATGGATCGCTTGTTACCAGCAACGGACAAGTCATGAGTCGACTCGACCCCGCCAGCACGTGGGGTCGCTCGTTTCGAGACGACATCACGCAAGAGTGGCACGTCTGTCTCGGCGGCGCAAAAGTAAGACAGTATGTCCTCGTCTTCAGGGAGTAAGTTGAGCTCGTCCACCGAAGCCACATGATCCAATTCTGCCGCCATGTCCACGTAGAAGACTGCGTCGGCGGTAATACGACGGCGTTGGAGCAGTGGTACAGTTGACAAGAGTCAAGGAGGAATTGACGCAGCACGCGGAGATCGACAAGGATATAAGCATCTTTGCTTTATTATTATGGGTTCGTCGTACGATGTGTAATTACTATAGTATCAAAATATCAACTTGTGTACAATATAAAATTTCTTCCATCCGACTTTGTTTGCCTGACGTAGATACCGAAGGTGAAAATACCAAGGTAATACCGGAAGTGTCAGATTGCTTCACGCGTTGAAACTATTACTTCATCAACTCACTCCCGAACCAAACTACCGGTATGCTTAGTACTAGTATTGTATACTATGTACTATTTGTTGTTCATCGGCACCATGAAATACAAAACGCGAATATAATTCCATAATTCAATACAATCTTGAATCAATTATTCAATTCGAATATTTAAATAAATTCTTCACAAATTTAATTCCATGGTGCAAAGGTACGACAAATACGGTAGTACTGTACTTAAGATATTTCTAATATTATTGATAGAATGATGGTCGAATTCTTCTTCCGGATGTGAATTATCCGGGCATCCATTGTTTGCGGTCGACTACACACCGCATATTCAACGATGGCGTCCAAACCGCTGATTGAGCTCGAAGATGGCTGGCAGAAGATCAAGCTGAAGGCCGTGGACGTGCTGCTTGAGATCCTGAACAAAGGATTCGACAAGGTGACGACATGTCCCTTCCCTCCATCGCAGTACATGCCGATTTACACGGTGTGCTACGATATGTGCACCCAACGCACGCCGTACAACTGGTCGGCGCAACTGTACACCCGCCACGGCGAAACGTTTGAGGTGTACTTGCAACAGAACGTGCTTCCAGCGCTACAGAACCAGCATGACGAGTTCTTGTTGAACGAACTGCACCATCGATGGCAAAACCACAAGCTCATGAACAAGTGGATGGCCAAGTTCTTCATGTACTTGGACCGGTACTACGTCAAGCACAACTCGTTGCCGACGTTGGTGAATTCAGGCTTGAACGCGTTCAAACTCGTGGCGTTCTCAGCGATCAAGAAGGACGTGGTGGACGCGATGTTGGAGCTGATAGAAAAGGAGCGCGAAGGGGAAATCGTCGACACGACGTTGTTGCGCAACTGCATCGAAGTGTTTGAGACGATGGGGATGGGGTCGCTGGACGTGTACACGTCGGACTTTGAGGAGCCGTTCATCAAGCGCAGCACGGCGTACTACGCGACCAAGTCGCAGGCGTGGCTTGAGGTGGACTCGACGCCCGCGTACATGAGCAAGACCGAGGAGAGTCTCAAGAACGAGTCGAGCCGCGTGGCGCGGTACATGCATTCGACCACGGAGGCCAAGTTGCTTCGCGCGCTCGAGATTGAGTTGCTGGAGAAGCACCAGAAGCAACTGCTCGAGCGCGAGAACTCGGGGTGCATTGCGTTGCTCCAAAACGACAAGTCCGAGGACCTGTCCCGCATGTATCGTCTCTTCTCGCGGGTGCCCGAAGGGCTGGCTCCGATCGCGGTGCTCGTGCGCCGTCACATCGAGGCGGTAGGCAACCAGATCGTGGACCTGCGCACCCAGGCCATCGTAAGCGACAACATCAAGGACCCGTCCGCCGACCCCGCGTTCATCAAGGAGATCCTAGCCCTCCACGACAAGTACGTGAAGGTGGTGCAGGACCAGTTTGGCGGCAACTCGCTGTTCCAGAAGGCGCTCAAGGAAGCTTTCGTCGAGTTTGTCAATAAGGACGTGGGCAAAGACTGCTCGGCCAAGCTCATGAGCACATTTTGCGACCGCATTCTGAAAAGCGGCGGCGAAAAGCTGAGCGACGTCCAAGTGGAGGAGTACCTGGAGAAGGTCGTGCACGTGTTCTCGTACCTGACGGACAAGGACTTGTTTGCCGAGATTTACCGCAACCAACTGGCGAAACGACTGCTCAACCAGCGGTCGAGCTCGGACGATGCTGAGATTTGCATGATTTCCAAGCTCAAGCTGCGCTGCGGCGCCCAGTTTACGGGCAAGATGGAGGGCATGCTGAACGACTTGGCCATCGGCGGCGACCACCAGGCCGAGTTTGACGTGTTCCAGAAGAGCCACAACCACGGTGCGATCGAGTTTGGCGTCCAAGTTCTCACCACAGGCCACTGGCCGTCGTACCAGCCTCTGCAAGTCCACCTCCCCCCTCGCATGGTCAAGTGCATGTCGCTGTTCAAGACGTACTACGACTCGAAGACGAGCCACCGCCGCCTCCAGTGGGTCCACTCGCTCGGGAACGCCACTGTCCGCGCCACGTACGCCAATAAAAAGTGGTACGACCTCCAAGTAACCACGTTGCAGGCCGTGGCGCTGGAGCTGTTCAACACGGACGCATCGCTCACATTTGACCAGCTGCAGGAAAGCCTGAATGTGTCACCAGACGTAGTCAAGCGCATTCTGCACTCGCTCTCGTGCGGCAAGTTCAAAGTGGTGAAAAAGACCCCCGAGAACAAGAGCATCGCGACAACAGACACGTTCCAGGCCAACGCCGCGTTTGCGTCGCCCGTGCGCAAGCTGCGCATCCCGATGGCGTCTCTGGAAGAGAGCCACAACCCCAAACACGTAGAGGAAGACCGGAGCATTGCGATTGAAGCCGCGATCGTACGCATCATGAAGGCACGCAAGACACTGAACCACCAGCAGTTGATCTCGGAAGTGCTCAGCCAACTGTCGTTCTTCACCCCCAACCCCAAGCTCATCAAGCGCCGCATTGAAGCGCTCATCGACCGAGAGTACTTGGAGCGCGACCCTGATTCCACGACCACGTACCGATACTTGGCGTAGTAACCTCGGGATGGACAATGAATAATATACCAAGTAGTACTACGTGGTGAGGTATTTGGGTTGTTGCACCGTGGTGGGATATGTGGATTATGGTTCAAAGCGTGTTTAAAACACCTCGAAAACGCACCAATCCACATCGAGTTTGCACCAAGCTAAGCCAATGAGATGCGACGAAATCGGCCATGATACCTCGTGGTTGGCACATAATTGGTCAGGAGGCACTGTTCCCGTCGCAAGTTCCACCGCGCTTTCTTCTACCTCGGTGATCATCATGGCTGGCGTGAAGACATCACAATCAGCTTCTAAAGGTACCGTAGACGAACATGGATCATCCCATCGTCTCACAGCAGGATGGTTTGTGCAGTCGAACTGGCGCTGAATGACCAGTTGTTCGGAGGCAAGGGCAAAGGATTCGCCGCATTGAAGCGACCACTCCTTAACCTGGACAATGCTGTCCAGCGTCAAGCTGCGTGGATAGATGAAGATGATGAAGATGTGACAGTCGACTTGGAGAACACGTCGCGCCTGCGCAAGTTGCGCAAGACAGGAGAGGAAACCCACGTGCAGGGTGATGTGTTCCAACAGCGTCTCAAGAAACAGTGCGTCATCCTGCTGCCGCCATGACCTACCACTCGTTCACCCTCCTGACCTCGTAGATTCGAATCCGGTCGGTCAGCTGCCTCCTGGGCCGACATCGATGCGATCGACGCTAAGAAACGCGCTGGTCGCCGCGCCGACCTGAGTGACGGCGAATCCGACGACGAAGAATTCGATCTGTTTGCCACGTCGGGGGCGTTGATGGAGCGGTCGCACGACGTGCTTCTCCCAGGGACGCTGGAAGTAGGTCGCGTGAAGGACGCCAACCAGCACGGCCAGTCGAATGCGGTCGTGCAGTCGGTGCAGTTCCACCCGAACGGCCAGCTGCTGCTCACTGCCGGGTTAGACAAGGCGCTGCGTCTGTTTCAGATCGACGGGAGCACCAACAGCAAGATCGAGAGCATCTTCCTCAAGGACATGCCCATCTCATGCGCCAAGTTCACAGCGGACGGCAAGCGCATCATCATGTCTGGCCCGCGGACGTACATCCACTCTTACGACATGGAGGCGGGCACGGTCCAGCGCATCCCCCGCGTGGGCAGTCGCAAGGAGCGCAAGTGGGACTCGTTCGCGGTCTCCCGCAGCCACGCGGCGTTCCTCGGTAAGGACGGCATCGTCGCGCTCTTGTCTGCGACATCGTTCGAGTGGATGGGTAACCTCAAGATGAACGGCGACGTGCGGTCCGCGTCCTTCTGCGACGACGACAACTATCTCCTCACGACCGGCAGCGACGGCGACGTGTACAAGTGGGACCTGCGCACCCGGCGCTGCGTCTACCGCGTGAACGACGAAGGCAGTCTCGGCAGCGGCGCCATCGCCGCCAAGGGCAAATACGTGGCAGTTGGAGCGGACTCGGGGGTCGTCAATGTGTACAACCACGAAACGCTCACGGGGGAAACGACGCCCAAGCCGTTGAAAGCGTTCTTGAACCTCACCACGTCCATCGACCAGCTCGTATTCAACCCGGACGCCCAGATCCTAGCCATGGCGTCCAAGGAAACCAAGGACGCATTGAAGTTGGTACGTTGATTCATAACCAATCATATTTTGGAGGGGAAACAACGAGAAGGATCAGGGTTGATTTTATATGGGGGGTGTATGTATGTTATGCATTATGTGTAGGTGCACTTGCCGTCCATGACAGTGTTTGCCAACTGGCCCACAGCCAAGTCGCCGCTGCACTACGTCACGAGTATGGACTTTAGTCCGACCGGAGGTGCGGTACCTATTTTGAAATGTTTATTATGAGGTACTTATGGGGCACGATGTTGTAGGGTACTTTGCATGTGGGAACGCCCGAGGCCGCGTGCTCCTGTATCGATTGAATCATTACGCGTCAACTTAAAAACTAAATGCGATCACACAACCCACTGTCGTACACTTTATAATCGTGTGTTTCTTGGTTAAGGCTACTACTACGTTGAGGACGAACGTAGCTAGGTAGCTACCCGTGCTGAACGAGTCGGTGCGCTTTGCGAAGGATGGCATTCACGCCGTCGCCTCTGTGTCGAGCCAAGTCTATCCATATGGCGATATGTCGTATGACGTAGGTTGTTGTCACCATAGGGTTGGTTTTCGTATGTACCTCGGTGGTGCAGCTTTGAGTTGACGTCGTCGATGGCGCGGTCAATGGTTGCGAGCACTAAAACGCGACGAGTGTTGTGCCTGTACTGTACATCCATAGTCGTACCTCCTCCGACGGCGACCTTGTCGTCGTGTCGCTTCGGTCGTTGCCGAATCTGGGCATCGCGCATGACACTGGTAACTAAGTGGACTTTCAAACGTACTTTGTGGATGGCGTTGGCTCCGACGGCGACCTTGTCGTCGTGTCGCTTCGGTCGTTGCCGAATCTGGGCATCGCGCATGACACTGGTAACTAAGTGGACTTTCAAACGTACTTTGTGGATGGCGTTGGGTCGGGACGCTTGGCAGTCGGCCATCACGTCCATGTCGTTGTGCGACGTGAGCGGGTGGTTGAGTTGGTACCGCAATGACGTCATGGCCGTCTTGAGCTTGTGCTGTTGCACCTACACCATCCAAATTACATATCAAGAACAACCTGCATCATGCAAGAGGACACACGTCGGTGGTTGGCGCCAGTGATCGTGCCAGAAAGTACGACGGCACATCGTTCTCCATGTGTCGTCGGTCCTAACCAAGTGCAAAGTCATCATGTATTCCATCAACCATACTTGTACGAATGATGTACCTTGACGTGTGGGAACTTATCCTGCCTGGCCACCAGCGCACTGGTGCTACATTCAAGTCTAAGGCCGGTCAAGAATGTCGAGTCCGGGCCGGGGGGGGTCGACACATCTATCGACCAACCATGGGACAATAGGTAGACAAGAAGGAGTACATACCAGAAGGTTTGGCATCTGACAGGTCCTTTTTCTAACAGGGTCACTGAAGAACGAGGTTGATGGGAACCAACCAACCTCGAGGCGTGGAAAGATGGTCGTGTGTTGGTGGTCTTGCGGAAGTGGTGAAAACAGCATGCGTTGGGCTCTGGCTTTGAACTCGAACGACGTCGGCAGCGCCGCCTGCGCCACCCGTGCGATCTGGACGTTCTTGTATGTGGACTTCTTCTTCTTGGTCGCAGGGTACGCCACGACGATGTTGAGCTCCACCTCTCGAACAATGTCGATGTGCACGTCCGTCATGTCTGGCACGGGGTTGTACAAGAGTTTGGTCTTGTCTAGATACAAACCATATCGTTATATAGCTGTTTAAAACGAGACCGAACCTTGAGTCTGCACTGCAGCGTGGGCGAGGGGGTTCCCGTAGAGCACCAATTGCTGCAGCGACCGCATCTTGACCAGCGGCAAAATGTCTGCATCATGCAAGCACACACGTGAGGGGCCACAATCGTTGAAATGTTCTGATTGCCATTTCATTGTACCGCATTCCCGACTGATCTTGTTGTGCGCGAGGTTGAGGTACGCGAGGGTAACAAATCCGCAGTTGCTTTGCTTATCGTGGAGGGCGAGGGCGCTCTAGATATATGGCCGTCATGGCGGCACATGAAGAATGAAATGACGACCCACCTCTGGGAATTCCACGATTTTGTTGTGGCTTAAGTTGAGGTTTCTCAGCCGAGGGGCGACAGCCAAGAGTGTAAACACCCCCATGCCTTGAATGTTGTTGCGCTCTAACGACAATGTTTCCAGGCGGCTAAAGCGATCCTAGCCATATATCAAATGAGGCCAAGCAATGACGAGCCATGGATACCATGATGGGGGGCAACGTTGCGATGGCATTGTTGGATAAATATAGTTCTCGTAGCTTGGGCAGCTTGGCCAGTTCTTCGACGTCGGGGCTCGTGAGGCAGTTGAACGACAGGTTGAGCCACTCGAGGGCGTCAAAACCAGTCAAATTTGTGATCTTATGCACTGCGTTGCACTGGAAGTCGAGTTCTTTCAGAGCTGGCAGCGTCCCCAGGGGCTCGAACGGTGACTGGGGCACAACATGATCATGATCCCATCACGCTATATCAGTGCGTACTTGGTTGTCGCTCATGTCCAGGAACACGAGGTTGCTAAAGAACAGCAAATCGTCCACGACCACGGACCGAATGTTGAGGCCATTCACGTCAGCTCTGGTGGCTTCTTCGGGGAACTCCACTACGCCCAAAGTGGTCGAATGCATGACGTGCTTGTCGCTACATGTACGTACGTACCTCGACATGTGTCCAGCAAGAGAAATCCGTCCAACGCCACTGCTTTGGCGACGTCGTCTGGGTGATGGGCGTTGTTTACTTGGTTCTCGGGGTCCATCACCGTCTTGCCGACTTGTGGAAACAACACCGTTCGGTCGTCCCCACGAAGGAGCTTAGCTTCGGGTGCGATGGCGCCTTTCCTGCCAGGTGAATCGCTCCTCCCGTCGTCTACCTGTGATGTGACCCTTGGCGTCCGCATAGGCCGCGCACGTTAAACTATGTCGAAACGGCACGACACGCTTATCACGGTTTCATATGTAACCGATGTCATTAATTGTAAGCATAATACTGCTATTTCACTTTTAACACATTTCCTAGTAACATCAACCAGACAACTACGCTTCGCTGCGAATTTTGGCGGCCGTAGCCAAGCGAGCCCACTGAATTCGCTGCAGGATGATGGCAAACACAACCAACGACGCGGTCGCCCCCATCGTTTGACCTTCCCACAATCCAGTTACATCGCGTCGCCAGTACAGTCCCACCGCCGCGGCCGAGGGCAGCCCCACCAAGAAAACGGAGCAAAAGTTGACAAGAGCACCGACCCCTGGTCGCCCCATGCCGCGGAAGACGCCTTGGGCATTGGTGTTGAATGCATTGAGGGCGTGTAAGGGTAAAATGAACAACAGGGCATCGCTGGCAGCCCTACATGTCGATATGACGTCTCGTGCACGAAAAATAAGGGTAGAACAATGATGGCATAAGTAGTCTTACTCGACGACATCTGGTTGGGCAAAAAAGGCAGCCGCAATGAGGTGTCGAGTGGACGCAATGAACATTATTGTAAACGTCAAACAAGCCGCAACCAGCACAAACGAGAGCCGCATGATGGTTTTCGCGTGATGGGGGCAATTGGCGCCAAGGAGGTTGCCCACGCGAACCATCGAGGCCGTGGCAATGCCAAGGTACACCACGTACATCATTGACAGCACATGGCACAGGATCTACGTGAAGAGCGTCAAACAAGAGGACCAAAGGAGAAGTATAAACATCACTCACCGTGTTGACACGGGTTTGGATGTATGGGCGGGGGAGCTTTGCGGCGAGGAACGAGAGCAGCCAAAGGGACCCAAACTCGACCCAGAACATGACCATGCCTGGTAAGCCAAAGCGGAAGAACTCCATCAAGTGGGCACGCGCCAGCGAAGGTTGCCATTGCAAGCCCCACGTTTTGTACGTCGGTTCAAGGTGAAAGTAGACGGCTGTGCCGACAATCAGCGACACGTTCGAGATGCTGCGGCCGACGGCGGCGCCGTAGAAACCCCATGTTGTGTGCTGGGTTAAGTAGTACCCCACGGTGACGTGAACGACGTTGGCCGCCATCGAAATCACGGCCATGCCGTCCACTGAACTGTGGGCTTGCAACATCTTACGAAGGATCTCGAACGCGAAAAAGAATGGCAGACCCAACGACGACAGGATGGTGAATGTGGCCGCTTTCGCACACGTCGTGGGATTGTGACCCATAAAGGCAAACACGTTGTCCGAGTGCCACGTCACGAAAACCACAGGAATCATGGCCTAGATCAGGACGATGAAGAAATGAAAATTTAGATTTGGACTATGTAATTACCACCAGGATACCAAGCGTGGCTGCGTGCAAGTAGGCGTTAAATTGCTTTGTATTCCCAGCGCCATAGGCCTGGGCACACAAAATGCCGACAGCGGAACAGAGGCCCATGCCAAGCGACGTCGATGTCATGTTGAGGAACTACTTAGCGTTATGTAGCCGCAATTACAAAAGTCATGAGCTAGAATTGATCAACAAGTACATACCGACGTGGAAAGTGCCGCGGCATTCATGTTTGTGTCCACATCCGCAACGTTGGGCAACTGGCCCACCAAGTAGATGCTCGTAACTCCAGGCAAGTAGTCCATCAGGTGAACGAACACCTACAACGATTCAAGTTTAGATCGACCTGTCTGGTGGCTGCTGGTACCGACCAGGGGAGCTGCCAGTCGCAGGTGATACAGCATTTCGTCCACTACCGAAATCGGCTCGTCGGCCTCTGGGTTCCGGGCACACAGCGGTTCATACTCCACCGTCATGAAATTGCCCCTCCAAAGTAACTTCAAATTGAAATGTCGCGAGGGGCTAGGTTTTACTTGCCGTGAAATAGGTCCAACTAAATGCATTGGATGTGAAAGACGTTTAGTTACTATAACGTCTTATTAACGTTCTTATACTCATGCGGCAGTTTCACCGTTACGTGTTGGACATATAATCATTATTGCAGGTTATGGTGCTTTCGTGAGACTGTGGAAATGAATACTCTGTGTTAATACAGTAAGCTTAGCTTTGGTGCGCGACCGACACAGTCATGGGCGACAACCGACCTGTGAAGACCGGAGAAGAAAGCCTTCCCTTGGTCCATCACAGCCCAAAGACAATCGGCAGATCGTCTTCGTCCACAGAAGATGGAAGCGCAATGGATGAACTCAAAGTCGTGACGCGACTCATTGTACCAGTGGTATGGATCGGCAACATATTGCGATCGCTAACCACGTGCATGGTAGGTATTCACACTGTTGAACGAATATCTTCCAGCCGTCACAAACATCATCTTGGTGGGGCACTTGAACTCACCCGAGACCAAGGAGCACGTGGCTGCCACTGCGATCTCGTCCATGGTATTCCCTTCCATTCACCACTCGCGGTGTCCAACCAAATCCGCCATTGCTTCCTGTCGTAGTTGTTCAACATCACTTCCATGTCAGTGGGTCTTGGACTTGCCACTGCCATGGACACATTATGCACGCAAGCTCTTGGCGCCGGCAATGCAAAAAAGTTTGGGGCGTACCTCCAAGGCGGCATGTTGGCGATGGCGCTGGTGCTTGTGCCTGTGTTTGTGGTCAACTGGTACTCGGGCTGGATATTGAAGAGCCTCCACCAGGACGCTACGATCTCGGCCATGGCCGGGACATTCACGCGCTACTCGACCGTTGGGTTGCCGTTCCTGTGCTTGTACGAACTCGTCAAGCGGCTTCTCCAAGCGCACCACATCACGTGGCCCACGGCCGTCGTGGCTGTGTTGGGCAATGTCATCCACGTCGGCGTGGGGTACTACCTTGTCAACTTTACGAGCTACGGGTTCTACGGCGCGGCCATCGGACGCAGCGTCGCATATGTGTGTCTGCCGTTCCTGCTGTTGCCGTATTTTTGGTGGCATCCCATCCACCTCGACTGGAACATAGTCGGCCAATGGTCTCTCCGTGACGCATGGGCGTCACTGCCGGCCTTTCTCGAGTTTGGCGTGCCAGGCATGGTGGCCATGGTCGTAGAATGGGGCGCGTTTGAGATCCTCACGTTGTTTTCGGGGCTGATGCCTGACCACACTGTCGTGCTGGGGGTCAATTCGGTATGAATTGTGTCCGAGTTTGCTCAATATTGTGCACTTTGCCCATGAGTGTATGTAGATCATCATGACCATCATTTCGGTCGTGTACATGCTTTTCTGGGGCGTGTCGACCGCCGCATGCATTCGCATTGGGTTCTTCTTGGGAGCGAACCAGCCAGCAAAAGCCAAACAGGTGACGCTGCTGTGCTACGCCATCACATTCGGATGCTGCCTCTGCACCGCACTATTCCTCGTGCTTACGCGCAATGTGCTGCCGCAGTTGTTCGTCGAGGATGTCGATGTTGTCCAGTATGTTACCTTCGATGGTGGCAAAGTTCATTGGTCTGTTCAACCCTCAATCAATCACGTAGGCGCACGGCGATGGCGGTTTTGTTTGTCATTCCCTGCCACATGATCGACTCCATGAACTGCGTCACCACGGGTGTGCTCCGAGCCATGGGCAAACAACATGTTGGCGTTGTGGTGCTCACTAGCGCGTACTACGTGGTCGGAGTGCCTGCCGCTGCGCTCTGCGGCCTCTACTTTGGCTGGAGTGTCGAAGGGCTGTGGGTGGGTTTCACATTGGGGACCACTGTAGCGTGCTTCACGTATGCCCTGCAACTGCGAACCATCAACTGGACCCAGCTAGCTCAGGACGCCGCCGCTCGATCTACCGAGTAACTTCACAGTAAATGCAGATTGAAATGGATGACCAAGTCGTCTTATGCGTACAATCCGGATAAAGAAAGCAATGGGATTGGCCGATTCACGTTAAAGCCTCATTCATCAATTCGCATCTCACATGCTTTTTCGCGCACTGTCTCGACATGCGGGACTCGCGCCTTGCCGCCGTCTCTCCACTGCTGCCGCAGCGCGGGAGTTCCAAGTCGAGCGTCTGACGGGCGACTTGGATGGTGTCGCGCTCTTGACAATGTCGCGTCCTGCTGCTCGCAACGCATTGGGAAAGCAGATGATGCGAGAAATGCGCGAGGCTATGGACTCGATCCGGTTCGACACCAAGGTGCGTGTGGTCGTGCTCCACAGTACTGTCGATCGTGTATTCTGCGCTGGTGCGGATCTGAAGGAGCGTATTGCCATGACACCGGAAGAAGCCGCGGCCACCGTGTTTGGCCTTCGCGCCGCCTTCACCGAATTGGAGCAATTGCCGATGCCGACCATTGCTGCCATTGAAGGTGCTGCTCTAGGCGGTGGACTTGAAATGGCGCTTGCTTGCGACTTCCGTATTGCTGGCGCCAAGGCTCTGTTGGGCACGCCGGAAACGGGATTGGCCATCTTGCCTGGCGCCGGGGGCACCCAGCGCCTCCCTCGCCTTGTGGGGCTCTCCAAGGCGAAAGAACTCATCTTCACGGCCCGCAAGATCGACAGTGTAGCTGCCGAGCGCATCGGCCTCGTGGATTACGCCGTGGACGCGAACGCGGCCTTGGAAAAAGCGTATGCCCTGGCCAGGGAAATCCTGCCCAATGGCCCCATCGGCGTCAGATGCGCCAAGGAAGCGATCACCAAGGGCATCGAAGTGGACCTCGCTAGTGGCATGGCCATCGAGCGCGCGTGCTACGCCCAAGTGATTCCCACGAAAGACCGCCTCGAAGGTCTCAAAGCGTTCCAGGAGAAGCGAAAGCCTGTCTACAAAGGCGAATAAAGTGTCGTAGACCATATAATGTAGTACGAGGGCTGGACTGCAGCTACAGTATATTGCAGGAGGCTTGGAACTCGCTTGAATTTGTACATAAATACTGTCCTAGGCAATCATGATGAAACAATGCAGTGGATCGTATAGTGCTTTCGAGTGAAATTTCGTTGGAACTTAAATCGATTTGATTGGCTACCTCAGATGAGCTCAAAATTATTAGCCAATCAAAACCTTCTCAATGAAATGCAACCAATCAGATCGATTGTGGATCGGGCGATTCGATTGCACCTCCATTTGTATCAAATCGACAATATCAATTGGGATTGTTTTTCACTTTTGTTAATGTGATTCCTAGTGTTATTGTGGATTCGATACAAATTTCCAGACCCCGTTTTGGAAGTTTATATTGGAGATTCGGTAAGAATTTCCGGACCCCGTTGAATCGACCGAACCGCGCACCAATCTCTCCCATTGGTCAATCCGAAATTACTTGTCTCTGATTGGCTACAATATCATTTTGGATTTCTTCCAGAAAAGGTGATGTGGATATTAGCCAATCAGATGTCTCCACCCGGTTGGTGCTCGATTGGAAATTTGGAGAAAATCGACAATAGCGAATTCACAATATTTTGAAGGCATTTTTTCACCATGAAAACTGCTTTTTCGCACCTGAATTAGTACGGAACAAGCACATACATGTATTTGCCACTCGCGCAGTCAACGATATACTAGTAGTGCCAAAATAAGCACGAAGTATTAATGCTCCAGAGTGAATTTAAACGCGTTTGGTGTCGCGAGCTTCGTGTTTATCTTGTACTGTAGTCGTGACTCAATTTTACCAGCGACTGAATGTGTCGTAGGTTGTGTGCAGGACGTTCCATGCGTCGTCGTGATTGTTGCCAGTTGTGGTGAATGGAAAAGTACAGCGATGGCTGGCCCTTTGGTTGAAAACTGTACTGAGTATGCTTGGCAAATAAGGTTACGATGTGGATCTATTGGCTATGGTTTGGTTGGTGGCCGTGACGTCTTTTACAAGACACATACGCGCGGAGAGGTTAGCAAAGCTGATGGTTTTGTCGTTGATGACCGTGTCGCACAGAGGCATGGTGGCCTTCCGAAGCATTGTAACGGTGTCTGGGCACTGGTTGCACAACGTGTCCACCATGGCCAAGGTCACGGGAAAGTAAGGGATGCCGTCGGTCGTAACGTCGGGGAAGAACACCCTCGCAGCAGCTTGGGTGCACGTGTTGGATGAGCCACGCAGAGGAGTCGTGCCCTGGGTTCCAAATGCGTTGTTCAACGTGGCGTACCCACAGTAGAAGCCAGCGCGGTCCATAGACGTCGGCGCTGGTGGCACTGTCACGACAGAGGATCCGTTAGGACAGAGAAGTGGGGGAATCGAGCCTATGGACCGCGTCTTGCCGTCCAAAACAGAGTCGCAAGGCAGGAACGCGTACGCCTTGAGGTTCGCGATGGCGTCGGCGCACTCGACGGTGCAGAATGCGTTGAGCATGGGACTAGTGGGAGGCTTCACAGGACGGTTTTTCACGTCCACAAGGGTGGGCAGGAAGACCTCGATGAACGCTGTCGCGGAGATGCATGATGCACCCCATGGCAACTGTGCCAAATCCGACCGCATCGTCAGCACTTGGGTCGTGTCACAGTAGTATGTAGCTGGCTGCACAGGGATCAAGGAGTCTAGGACGAGAGGCACGAGACATGAGATGAAGAAGACGGCGCTCAGCAGCGTGAAGAGACATATTCGTCGCTTCACCAGCGCCAGTGACACCATCAACGTTTTGGTGTGGCGGCCGTTGCGGCTTTTCCTACGCAATGTTGGCACTTGGCAATGACCAATTAGAACCGCGACAGGAATGTGCTGCTGGACTCATATCCGGACGGCACGATCGTTCGGATAAGTGATCGTCCGGATAGTGAGTTGAGGTTTGAACCTGCCACGTCATGGACGGCAATTCTGAGAGAATTTTCTATACCGCTCCGAAGATCGCAAAGTTTCAGTTGAGAGCAAAGCAGGAGAAGCACTCGGCAGAGCATGGAGAAAGGACTGCTTTTGTACCTAAACGGAGAGCGTGTGCTCGCGAAGGATACACAGCCTGAAGAAACCCTTCTGGACTTTCTTCGCGTCAAGCAGCGCTTGACCGGTACGAAGTTGGGCTGCGGCGAAGGAGGTTGCGGAGCATGCAGTGTGATCGTTTCCAGAGTGGACCCGACAACACAACAAGTGACCCACAAAGCCGTCAATGCTTGCTTGACACCAGTGTGCGCCGTCGAGGGCTGCGCGATCACAACGGTGGAAGGGTTGCGTCAAAAGACCCTGCATCCCGTGCAAACAGCGATCGCCGAGCAACACGGGTCACAATGTGGCTTTTGCACCCCCGGTATTGTGATGGCACTGACCGCCATCGTTCAGGACGATTCCGTCACCATGGATGGCATCGAGCATCAACTCGACGGGAATCTCTGTCGGTGCACGGGGTACCGTCCCATCTTGGACGCCGCGCGGTCTTTTGGCAGCGACGCGTTGACATTGAAGTGCGGGTCGTCCGCATGCGACCAGCATTGCATGACAGGAGATATCGAGGACATTCTGTCGGTGGACGTTGTTTCGTGCAGCGCCAAGAAAATCCGGGCTGAAGCAGCCAAGCACCTCAACACGCCGCGCAAACTACCACCGATTCCCGACGAGCTATTTTCGTATGCGACGACCATGGCCCAGTCACCGACAACCATCCACGGCACGACTCGCACGTGGCATCGTCCGACGTCGTTGGTCGAGCTCCTGCATCTGAAAGCATCGCACCCCGAGGCCAAGCTCTCGGTCGGTCACTCAGAGCTTGGCATTGAAGTCAAGTTCAAGAAAATGAGATATCCGCACTTGGTTGCAGTGACGCACGTCCCAGACCTGCATATACTCGGTCTCGTTCAGTCTCCGTCCTTCCACGGCATCCAAGTCGGCGCCGCGGTGCCACTGGTCCGACTCGCGAACTTTTGCAAGACCCACGTGGTGAAGAAGACCAACGCCGCTGTATCCCCGCACCAGAAGCGAACGTTTGCCGCCATCCGCCGCATGCTCAAGTGGTTCGCCAGTGTCCAGATCCGCAACGTGGCGTCTCTGGGCGGGAATTTGGCCACGGCCAGCCCCATCGCCGACATGAACCCGCTGCTGGCCGCCATGGGCGCCACCGTCGAAGTGGCTTCAGCCGACCAAGGTACCCGCGTCGTGGCCGTCTCCGACTTTTTCGTGGGCTACCGTCGCGTGGCGTTGGCGCCGTCGGAAGTGATTGTGCGAGTGCTCATTCCGCTGGCCAAACAGCACGAGTTTATCTTTCCATTCAAGCAAGCCAGACGTCGAGAGGATGACATCAGCATCGTCACGGCCGGCATGCGCGTCCTCCTGGCTCCGTCGCCACGCAACGAATGGCTCGTCGAGGACATTTCCCTTGTCTACGGTACTATGAGTCGACTGGTGTGCCTCGTTGGACACTTCAATCTGGGTTTTCTGGGGCTCTGAAGAATAAATACACGTTGAAACGACCGTGTGTAGGGGGGATGGCTGCTACGGTCAAGGTGCCCGTGGCCACACAACGAGCACTGGTCACGTCCAAGTTGTGGAACGTCGCCAACGTCAAGGCAGCATGCAACGTGCTGGCGGATGAGTTGGCGCTCCCGGCCTCCGTCCCTGGAGGCATGTCGGCGTACCGCACGACCTTGAGCGTGTCGTTCTTGTACAAATTTTATCTCCAAGTGGTCGAAGCGTTGGGCCACGAGAACCCCCAGGACCCTCTTTGGGTAGTACATGCATACACATATTACCCCCTCTCTCCATCCTATACGACGAGCCATTCATTTCCACTTCGGGACACGTGTAGTTGGCACTCGACGCCCGGGAACGATCGGGGGCGACCTCGTACATGAGTGTCCACCGCCCGCTATCCTCTGGCGTCCAGCGCTTCGGCGTCGACAAGGGTGGCCTGATGACGTCCCAGTTGAAGCCAGTGGCGGGCGACGACGTCCGGGCGCCGGTGGGCAACCCCCTCATGCATCGGTCCGCATATGGCCAAGTGTCGGGGGAGGCCAAGTACGTCGACGACATGGCCGACGTGCACAATGTCGTGCATGGGGCACTGGTGCTCTCGACGGTACCCCACGGAGACATTGTCGGCATCGACGCATCCACGGCGCTGAGCATGCCGGGCGTCGTAGCGTTCCTCGACGCGACTGTTTTCGACATGGAGTCATTCGGAGTGAATGCGATGGGACCTGTGATCACCGACGAAGAGTGCTTTGCGTCGAAACGGGTGGTCACGGTCGGCCAGCCCCTCGGCATCGTCCTTGCCGCTACACATCAACAGGCGGTAGCCGCCGCGGAATCGGTACTACTACATGTGCAACTGAGGCGGCATCCATCGTTCGTTGGTGCCTTGTATATGGGATGAACGAGGTGTATTTGGTTGGTGTACATAGGGGGTGCATGTCCAGTACAACGTGCTGCCGTCTATTGTGTCGATGGACGAAGCCATCGCGGCCCAGTCGTTTCACACCAACGGCCGTTCTCTCGTCCGAGGTGACGTGGACGCGGCGCTCGCAGCCTGTGACGTGGTTGTGGAAGGACATGTGTACATTGGCGGCCAAGAACACTTTTACCTCGAGACGAACGTGAGCTACTGCGTACCCATGGAGGATGGCGCCATGCATGTCACGAGCTCGACGCAGGCGGTTGCCAACACGCAGACGACCGTCGCGCACTGCCTCGGGGTGCCCGCGCACAAGGTGGTCGCGTCCATCAAGCGCATGGGCGGCGCGTTTGGCGGCAAAGAAACTCGATCCGTACGTACCTACTGTCATTGTATATAAACAAGTCGATGATGTGGTGCAGATGTTTGTGGCGTGCGCGGCGGCGGTGGCGGCCAAGGCGTTGAAGCGACCGGTGCGGCTGCTCGTGGAGCGCAATGTGGACATGCTGACCTCTGGCACGCGCCATCCGTACTTTGCCAAGTACAAGGCGGGCGCGAGATCGGACGGCACGCTGGTCGGATATGACGTCGAGTTATTCAACAATGCCGGGTACTCGCTCGACCTGTCGGAGGCTGTGATGGACCGCGCGTTGTTTCACTGTGAAAACGCATACTTTATACCCAACCTCCGAGCCGTGGGCAAGTGCTGCAAGACGAACTTGCCCACCAACACTGCGTTCCGAGGGTTTGGTGCCCCACAAGGTAGAGAGGCGTACCGATTAGCTGGAGGCTTTAGCTAGTGGTTATGTGAGACCAACTAAACTGGTGTTTGAATGTAGGGATGATGGTGGGGGAAACCATGGTGGAACACATTGCAAACGCCCTGAAACTACCGTCGCGAGTCGTGCGCGAGAAGAACTTGTACCAGGCCAACATGCGGACCCACTATGGCCAAGTACTGACGGACTTCCACTTGGACGCGTTGTGGCACCGCGCGATGCGGGAGAGTCAGCTGGTCGAGCGCGAAGCGGACGTGGCGGCGTTCAACCGGCAGCACAAGTGGAAAAAGCAGGGGCTGTGTATCCTCCCATCCAAGTTTGGGATCAGTTTCACCAATCGATTCATGAATCAAGGCGGCGCACTTGTGCACGTGTACACGGATGGGAGTGTGCTCGTATCGCATGGGGGCACGGAAATGGGCCAAGGGCTCCACACCAAAGTGATTCAAATTGGTATATTATATTCCCATTATTAATAGTGATGGCATGGAATGACGGCGGTATGATTATTGTAGTCGCCAAGGCGTTTGGTATTTCATGCGACGACGTTTCGATCCATGACACGTCCACGGACAAGGTGGCCAACGCACAGCCGTCGGCGGGATCCATGAGCACCGACTTGTACGGCATGGCGGCTCTGGATGCATGCGAGCAGATCCTGGCGCGGCTCGGGCCTGTCGTGGCCAAGCTCGGACCGACTGCCGCGTTCGCAGACGTGGTGCGAGCCGCGTACTTTGATCGCATTTGCCTCTCGGCGCATGGGTTTTACATTGTTCCGGGCGAAAACTGCGGCTACGACTGGTCAAAGAGCAGTGATGAAAACAGCGCCACTGGTCAAACGTTCAACTACTTTACGACAGGTACAAGACATAAATATCATCCAAGAGAATAGAGCACTACTCGCAGGGATTCACAATTCCTTGTAGGGGTGTGCGTGACCCAAGTGGAGCTGGACGTACTCACGGGGGACACGCACATGCAGTCGGTTGATATTTTCATGGACGTGGGGGCGTCGATCAATCCGGCCATCGACATTGGCCAGATTGAAGGCGCGTTTATACAAGGGTTTGGGCTGTTTTGCATGGAGCAGCATGTGTGGGGGGATGCCAACCACCCGTGGATTCCAAGAGGCGCGTTCTTCACACGTGGACCCGGCACATACAAAATCCCCGCCTTCAACGACGTCCCTCTCCAGTTGAACGTGTGGCTCGAGCCCAACATGAAGAACAAGCTGGCCGTGCACTCGTCGAAGGCCATCGGGGAGCCCCCGCTCTTCCTCGGGGCCACCGCGTTCTTTGCCATCAAGGCCGCCGTCGACGCCGCGCGACTCGAACATGACTCAGAATTGCTGCCGCCAACATTTCACGCGTTGGAGTCGCCGTTGACCCCTGAGCGAGCCCGTCTGGCCATCCGGGATGCCTTTTGTGCATCGTCGGTTGCTCCTTATGGTTGTTACTAGCAGCCGTAGGCTTTTATCTTTGTATATGGCATGTGTTAGTTATTGAGTGTATTATGAGGCACTAATAAATACGATAATATTCGACGACTTCTAAACATATTTCAGGCAAACTTTTCGGAATGGTACTCGAACCGGGTGCCGTTGCTCGTGTGTTGTCGACATAGCCGGTCCAGCTCGACGTCAATGATATGGGGGCCACAGAAGAAGACGCCGATGGTCTCGCCGACATGCGTCGACGCAATCTCGTGAAAGATCTGGTCCCATTTCGGCCGCCCAAAGTGCGTCAGCTGGCCCGTGTGCAGGCCCGACACGACGTCCGTCCCCGTTTCTTTGTGCACCATGGCCTGAAACAGCTTCATAAACTCAGGGGTGTCATGCTCCTTGACGCTGGTCAGGTGCTGATGCGTCTCAAACATGTTGTCATCGTCCAGCGCATGCAAATCGTTCATCGTGTCTTCGAACCACCGCAGTGAGTCTTGTTGGCGCGTGGTCCAATGAAAGTAGAGCTTTTCCAAGTGAAAGTCGGGGCACACTCGGCCGCCAGCCTTCCGGCTGCGCATCTCGGTCACCACGTCCTTGAGCACGGACGCAAACGGAGTCACGCCAATGCCCCCCCCGACCATGAGGATGGTTTTGTACTGGCTGTACGCCTGCGTGGGGGCCCCCACAGGTCCATCCAAAAACAGAGCGGGAAACTGGCCTTGGTCAATCAATTCGTGGAGGCGACACGTCCAATCCCCTGCGTTCCGAATGTGCAAACTCACATATGGATCGCAAGGGGCCGACGAGATCGTGAACGGGTGCCACTCGTGCGTCGAGATAGCCGGGACGTTCACAAACGTGTACATACCCGGCGTGTACCGGAAGCTGGGGGGCTTGTCGAGAAAGAGGGCGAGGGTGTCTTCAGATGACGACTGCTTGTAGATAGTTGTCCGGTCGCGTTGAATGGCCACAGGGACGGTCTTGGTGGCGACGGGGAAGTACTTGAGGAAGCGAACTCTTCGCTCGAGGAGGTAGATTGAGAGCGGCGGCAGGATCCAGAAGAACGACTGCGCGGTCGCGAGCCAGGACATGGCGCCGTGGAGGCACCCGGCAGCCAGGAACAGCCCGAGGGACACGTGACAGTACCAGAACACGTTAAAGTGGCGTTGGCGCACCCACGGAATGAGCGCCGTGGATAGCACCATAAGGGCGATCACGAGCATGACGACGCCAGTGAGGATGGGCAATGTCATCACAAATTGGTGGAACGGGGGCACCAGCGCCTCGCCGTTCGGACCGCGCAAGGTTGAGATGTGTGCAACAAGGAACGACCGGTGGATTCGGTCGGGGGAGACCACGAGGTAGAGGCAGACCTCGTTGTACACGTGCGCGCCCGTGTGGATGAGGCCGGCGAGCAAGGACACGGCGCCTGCGACACGGTGGAACGCGAGGACGTCGTCGAACGGAATGAACCGGCCGAGGGGGGTGTGCGTCTTGACAATCTCCACGACTGAGCGACACATGGGCAACAGTGCCAGGAACATGTTGGACATCGACACTTGCGCCATACCCCGCGCGATGCGAAGGCTCCACCCCACGGCAGAGTCGACGGGGAACTTCATGGCTTTGCCGATACCTTGATACAGGCAAAACACAATGTACAGGGCGCCCCACCACAGACGAAGGCGGTTGCGGAGGTACCAAGCATGCACGTTTGAACCAAGCGACGATAGGGAGGCGTGGTCGTGACGCGATGACGACGTCGTGGTGGAAAACACGTTGGTTCGGTGGGTGGACTTGGTGGACTTCAAACAATCGGCCGTCACGACCGTGGTGGCGTCCTTGATGTAATCCCGAAAGACGTGGCAGAATTGGGCGTAATCGATGTGTGTTTTGTGGGCTGCATGGGCCTTGGCAAACAAAATGTCTGCCAGCGACGAATAGTCGGTACCCACACCTAGTCACAACTCATGTGAATACGACAGCCGACAAGTATATATGCACGAGGATGGATCGCCTTACATTTGAGCTTGACGGACGCAAACTTGGCACGAAGGAGCGTCACGACGTCGCCGCGGTCGATGAGGCCAGTGCTTTGCGCGTCCATCGTGTTGAAGATGAGGCGCAGCTTCTCGTCGTCCGCCAGGTCCATCTCCATGGCGGCAGTGAGCAGGAACGACGCACATCGCACGCTCTCCATGGCCGCGTCGGGCAGGTCCATGCCGAATGTGTCTTTGAACGTTTGTTTGTCGATGGCTCCGTCGGCATTTGCGATCGTGTGCACTACATGCTTGAGCGCATCGAACTGCACAAGTCCGGTGGGCTCGTCTTCGTCGTCGTCTCCAAACTCACGATCTTTGAACACGTCGTTGTCGTCGCCGTCTTCGAGCATGGGGACCGCTGCTCCGAGCGAAGAGCAACTGGACACAAAGCTGGACACGCGGACTCCGGCAGTTTGCATCGACGCAACCTGCCGAACGCTGGGAGCTTGCAAAATCTTGGAGAAATAATCGCTGTGACGAGGTCGCAGAGTGGCCAACAACGAACGCTGGCTCATGGCAGCAGCAGAGCACCCGCTGAGGCGCATCTCGGGCGTGGTGGCCTGTGCATACGCGCTTCGTTTCGTAGTCGTTTGCATGGGCACGCCTTCACGGTGAATGGGAATGTGTTGACCTCTGCTTGGCGCATGTCGAGGTGCGATCCATCAATGTGCCCGTTAGGTAATTACACATCCCAACGACATGTGATTGGTTGATCATAATGCAGACGGTTCTAGCGAAGGCGTGCGTGCGGCTGTTGAGTAGCCCGACTTTACCCTGAGACGGTGTGGCGGCCTAAGCAAAGGATGATGCCACAAGCACAATCAGCGGCACTTACAGGGATGGCCACGTTGCCTCATGCGGCGCGATGGCCTGGTTGAGTGACTTCCCAATGTGAAATCGTGAAATACCGTTGGGTAGGATGGCACTTTGTAGCGGCACATTGGAGACCGATTTCGTTCAATCCACCCTGTCGATTATAAGTGGTTTGTAACCTGTTCAGTAGAATTGTCAGTAAGGTGGGTCTGAGCAGAGTGTCGGCGTGTCGAACCTTCGATGTACTACTATGTTACTAATAGTTGTGCGTAGTAGTACTACGATCCGATGTGGACCGGTAGTTCTACTACTATTAATATTAAGTAATACTGTACTAGTATTGTATAGTCAAATAGTAACTCCGATGGAGAAACTTTTCACAATCAAATCAGCACCTCTGTACCGGTCTGTACCACGAGTATGATCGCGTCCAGGCGTGGAAAGTCGGGTACAGTACGGGTAGATTATAGATTGAAAACTAGGTACGTCGCGAAACCAGGCGCCATTATTGCAAACGTCCGCAGGTCATCCTTCGCATTATGTCCAGCGCTTCTTCGTTGGGAATAAACCATTACATGTTGTTGTACGCTACCGATAGCGACAAGGAATACATCGAGCGAGAGCAACTACATGATGGTAGAGGACGAATTTCTACTTGGGGGCTGCCTTCTAGCAACCATACAACGTTCGACACACATGAGACTTTCTGCATGACGACTCTTATCGATATCGTCGTTTCATTGATCGTGTTTCTACAAAGTGTGTGAAGATGGGCATGGGTTGAATGGACAACTAAATGTAAATTATCGAAGTTGTAGATGGCTCAGACTGCTGAGGTATGGCCTTCCAAACTTCAAAATTCCTCAATTGAAAAGCACCATCCACAAACAACTCCCTGTGAAACTTCCTGTTAAGTTTCACAGGGAGCCTATGTTTGACTTTTGCAAAATCACCCTATTGTCATTTTACAAAATTTGGACTTTTGTGCTGAATCGCCAAATCTATCGATCGATACTGAATTTTGCAGGTAAAGAGGTGGCCTGTGGTGATTGGTAACTAGTTTGGCGTTGATGATGGTTTCCTGCAATCTGATTGGCTAAATGCTTCTGCCGATTCTTCTCTACATTTGGTTGCGTCGATCTATTTATTCTCCATGTCCCTCCAGTTTAGAATAAACACAACAATAGCATTGCGCAAAATTGACGCGACCAGTGATGTGCTGAATTGTATACTTGAAGTAAGTATGGATAAGCATTGTGTAAAAAACAGACGAGCAGACTGGAATTTTGTAAATGATAAAGGAATACTATATTTGAACAGTAATAAGATATTGCAGTACTTTGCTTCACATCTTCAGTAGCTGGGTCAAACTCACACCAAAATAGAGGCAAGTTCCAGGCCAAGTGCTTTCCCTTCATAGTATGGGCGCACCACCACCATTTCACAGAGGCAAGCAAATTTAATTTCTCATTTTACAATTTTCCTCAACTGGTGCCCATTGCGGGTGCCTCCAGCGTAATGTTCGTCACCACCAAGTGTGCCTGCGTCCGCTTACTACCCCACGCTGTAATCCTTCTCTACAACGGAAATCGGTAAGGGGGCAGGGCAATGGTTAGCCAGTGAAGATTATTCTTCGAGGTGGGCAGGGTGCTTTTGGAAACTTGTGATACCCCCCAAATATAAATAAATATTATTTTCTCGTCTTGTGTTCACATTAATAATAACATTAATATTCTATCACCTGGACCTAAGCAAATAAATAAGAACTCATAAAAGGAGGAAAGTACAACTTTATATTTCCCAATACATCATCGACATTGGATTAAACAAGAGATGCACCGATCAGAGTCCACGACACTGACATTTGATTGATTATCCCAGGTGATAGATTTTAGCACCTGGACAAAAAGTGATTAAAAGTACTCTATTATAAATAATAACCTAATAAAGTATCAGTAGCTCGGCGCTGCTCCATTAGAACAACCGATACTTTATTAGGTTTAATGTTAATTATATCTTCTAATTCTATAACATTATTCTAGTACTTAGCTATAGAATTACAAAGTTTATCATTTTATATAATTGTAGGTGTTCCATAATTATAATTATTTCTATTTCTATTTACGAACGCAATAACATGAACAAAAATTGTAAATCAAGATATCATTTACCAACTGCTCCCTCCGTTCCAAAATAATTGCGCGAATCAGAAAATAGATGTACGCCTCCTCGAATAAAAATGCAAACCTTCCAAAATCAAATAATCCAGAATGTAATTATACAGGTGTACCGATACAATTGTCCAATCAAAGCATGCAAAATCTGTGTCTCAGGACCAATCAAATGACGGGAGTTGTACTTTTCTGGCTGAAACCTTTCGGCAGCCTGGTCATGTAGCTGCCGTTGCTGCGAAGCAAGACCTCCCGAAGGATGGCCTCGCAATCGTCGTCGGTGAGGTTGCGCCTTTCAGGTACCACTTCCGGAATGTTGGTGTTATACAGTGAGTGCATGTTTTATATGAAAATTTGTATGCACAATTTTGAACGCGGGTAGTGCCGTCAACTCTTGAGATTTCCCGCTCATCATCGCACACAGTAGAGAGCGCTGGCTACGCTAGTTGTAATGATCCAATCAAAGCATCGCATTTCGAATCCAGGCAGGCGACACCAGGTTTTCCAATTTACCTTCCAAATATAATGAGGTGTCATGTACACCCTCCTAAAACTCGCGCAATTATTTTGGAACGGAGGGAGTACTACGTAGTGTACAACATACTGTACTACTCAATCGTCATCCTTGCTGCGATCGGCTACGTGTAAAATGCACACGGGTTCTCCACGCTACATGTACGCCCACTAGAAATGATACATGCGCCTTGGAGTGGGGGTATGATGCCACTCACAGATCTTGATGTCACTCACAGATCTCCACGTTTCTCGTTTTGCACTCGCGCGAGCCACTTCAAACCCCACCTGCAGCACGCGCATTTCGATCACCACTCTCATATGTAGTGCTTAGTGAATACGATGAAATGGTCCATATTCATAACCCCCCTTGTTTCACGACAGCCTTGAACGTCGCGTTGAACACCTCGCACGTCACAGTGCTGATGTCTCGGAGGAACGGGAAGTTGTCAATCCAGTAGCCACTGGAGCAGTTGATGTGATTGAAGTATTGCCGACGATCCACCACAAACCACACATTTCGAAACAATCACAGCTCTCTGCATAGACAACACTGTGTAGGTTGCACGCGTTGTCCATGATGACGATTCGAATCGCTTTGGTTTGAGTCCATCACTGACACAAAATTAAAACGGGTGAGCCGGCGACTCATAGTCGTGCAGTACGGAAAATCCCAGGCATATTCCGTTCGGGCAGCAGAAATGGAAAATGTCTGGCATTTTGTAGCGATTGCGAGGAGCTTCTTGGTGCAGATGATATCATCTGTGTGGAGGTGGTCCTCGTACGTTCATAGGAGGTAGCGCGCCAAGGAACCACTGATGCAACTCATCATTAGCGTACAACATATTTTCCATGGGCCGTGGAAGGCACTCAACAGCCGGCAACTGGTCCAATTAGTTGCAAAATTCGGTGGCTAGGTGTCGTAATACACCCGAGAGGGTGGCCCACATGATATGGAAGGGATGGACGTCCATGTTTGTTTCACGTAACATTTGGGCGAAAGCAGGCATGTTTGACTGTAAACACGCCAATGCTCCAGGGAGGTGCTAGGGTCGACTGGATTCATTGAACCGGGGTTGCGGACAACGGTGTTTTGTACAGGTAATTGGTGCGCGAAGTCGGTCAGGAAAGTTTTCCGCTTTCGAGTACACAGGCCACGTTCGTCGGTTTCATTGGCGAGAACCATGTCAAACAAGGGCGCCAAAACAGACGCGTGGTATACGTGGCGGGCGCGTAACGCCGCATGATTTGCAGCTGTCATCAACGCGGGGGGCGATCGCCTTGTTTAGCTCAGGAGCTACAAAAATGGAGCAACGTCTTCCGGGTTGTGTGATCGCGAATGAACGTGTGGTTGTCAATCGAAACTCCTGTGTTTGGACTAGTATCCCCAGCGCATTGGACCCTGCAGAGTGAATTAGGGATTCGGGGGAGGGGGGTACACAAGGACTACACAAGGCGCTCTTACTTTGGAGATGAAAATTCACGCCGGCACGCCATTTTTGCGTTTCCGTCACCGACAATGATTGGCGCTGTATCCAAGTTTCCACAGTGCGGGCACTTGAAGCAAGACACCAGATCAACTTCAAGCCTACGCGTGCCGTTTAGAGATGAGACACACACAATATCAACATCATACGCATAGAGTATGGCCCAACATGCTGTGACAAATGTTTACTTGCTGCAGAACTCCAATCCTTTTGCGGAGTACAATCCCTGCACAAACATTGTCGCTGACAATGGTGTTGCACCAACCACCAGGTTGAGCCGAACTAGGTTGATCAGGTCAATGTCCATGAATGTGCTGCCCGTCGAACTGCGTCGCATGCTCACAGGCAGCGTCAGCACATCGGTATTGCGGCACTAACAATTGATCTGTCCGAAACACTCCGTACACCGTACAAGATGTGAGTGTTGTCCCCCGGTCGTATTCCACAGTGGCCCCGCACACACACTTCGCGCGATCCAATTGTTTTGGTACGAACATCGATGGCTCAAACGATACAAAGTGATTGAACCCTCGGCGAGACCGAACAATACTCTGGCTGAGTGCATCCACAGGGAACAGAACTTGGGGTTTCACGAACGACCTGTTGGTTGGGGTGTTGTTTTCATCCATGAACCATTCCGGGTCAAGTGAAAAATCGATATGAGATTCCTCGATGTAGGCCAGCCAAACGTTTTTGTGCGCACAGGTGACTGTCTTGGTGCAACGCAAGCATTGCCAATCGTTTTCACCGCGCAGCTGCAGCAACACGCGATTCAAGAGGTCTGTTCCGTCGTGCACGGACGAAAACACTGCTGTGCTCGTATTTCGGGTCGAAACGCCGAACTGCACACTGGGCGGAATGTCGGACAGTTAAGTCAAATCAGCTCCACGTGGGTTGTGGGCAAGATTCGTACGTAGAACTCGAAAGGCAGCAGCAACATGAACGGACTTGAAGTCGGTGAATTGCGCCACCACATCCGACCAGTTGCGGCAACGATTGTCCGTGAGGCCACGTAACATATCTCCCAGCAAATGGTTCAGTGTTGTTTTGCAAGAAGTGCAGCAGCAATACACCACAGTATCCTCTTCATCAACAAATGCCAAGGTTGCCACAAAGACGTGTGGACTTTTGGAGCCAAAACGCAGGTCCGCAAGACTACGCCCAATTTCGGGGAGACAATACAACTTCCCAGGAAAAACGGTGAGCAACATGTCTTGGCCAAGAATGGCGTTGGCATACCGCTCGTGGAAGTTAACCTCCAGGTAGGAGGATGGAACAGACCCGGGCTGCACCTCCTCGATGGACACAGCTGCAGTTCCAACGTCATCCCCACCGCGTACGAGGCAATCGACACGACTGTCAATTGAACCTGGCAGAAAAAAAAGAGAATTTTTGGTGGGATTCGAACCCCCAATGCGTGGGTTTGAAGCCTCAGCAACTAGCGATTTGACGTAGTACACTTTGAATGAAAATGTCACGAAAGCTGACATTTCACTCTACTGAATTTCAAGTATGTATAGTTGCGTGTGACCATACAAAGGTTCATCCTATCACAGGCAAGATCAACCTCAACCCTGTGCGATGAGCCAACCTTTGTAATGCTTAACCTCGACCCTATGTCATGCAAGGCTGGTATGAACATTCATCGTAATATATGTATGAATGACGACATGACCTTCGACAGAAATAATTGCCTTTAAAGCTCAAAACCACTTAGCAAATCAAAGCGAGTTTAGCACGGCTTTGGCACCCGACATGAGCGATACGATTGTTGAGCGATACTCGAACTCAAGCTCGTCCGTAGGGAAGCTTGTTGCTGTACTTCGGTGGGCTAATGTCGCGGCCAACAGGGGAACGCTGAAAGCAGATCTGCAACTCTGTTGGGGAACCAAGCTCTTTCATCGTCGACCCCCCCTACTCGAGGATGGCGAAGACTTACATGGTTTTTCCGACGGCACGCCTCCATCGTTGGTTCGATAGCTGCAAGAGCACTTGCAATAGCAAGTCATGCGTTCAGAGCCCTTGGCCTCGTTTGGGGAGCTTTCATTTGCTCACGCAAACCAGCCACTGCATTCAGATATAGATCTGTTTTACGTATTAGACAAGACAGCCAAGCGCTTACGCCCTCACTTAGCCATTGGAACTGTCTACAAGTTGTTCACTGCAAGGGAAATCAACAAGAACGTTTTCCAGCGAACGCCAAAAGGGCAGCTGCAATGGACTTTTCCACGTCCCCTCGTTCTCGTGCGGTGGTTTGGTTTGTATGGAGTTCAAATGCATCGACAGCAACATGTATTTAAAATTTACGCACTCGCTAATACTTCCTCTGTTCCAGGTTACTGCCGACATTTACTTTGAATTGACAAAGACAATCGAGCCCTCACTAGATACTTTTTTTTAAGGGAATTGCATGAATTTTCGCAAAACATTGATATATAATCAGCGCTTAAAGCAATTGTAAGCCAATGAAATGTCATAAATGGTTTGATATTGGTAGAAATTGAAAAATTGCAGCCAAAGAAATGCAAATGTCGCCAGTAACTTGGAACATGCGAATTTTGAAATGTCGGCAGTAACCTGGAACAGAGGAAGTACATTCAAATCTTTTGCATAGAGAACCGAACCCTTCTGGACTGGTATCTTCCCGGCGATTCATTGTTCGACATGGCTCGGACGATAGCATCAGAGTGCAATGAACTTGGCGTCGAACCAACATGTACGATAATGCAATTTCACAGTGGTCAAGTCAATCTTTCTTGACGAGTAGGCTTCCTGCTGCAAAATTTTTGTCGCAGCATTACAATAATCATAAAACTGTACCTTTAATACAAACAAGTACTACTACACCATTTCCCGTTCAAGTTGAAATGAATTTCCAGTCAATGTGAAATGAACACGTTCGACACACGACGAATTTCAAATCAACATGAATTCTTTAAGGGGTCGCGGAAAATTTCTGTCCATGTTTCAAGATATTCCGAGCTTTTGATTGGTTAGTACCCAAATTATCCGGATAACACAATCGTTCACGCTTTCCGGAATAACTCAGACATGGATGCGAGTTTTGAGGCGTGGATGGTCCATCGACGCCTGGAATAGTCTGTTCATGTCTGGCACTCATTTTCATAAAAAACGAGAAAGTATTGATCGACATTTTTTGGATTGCGAAAATATTTTGTCCGGATACGTCTCAGTTTCGGACATGGACTTTACTTAAGATTTATCATTCAACTTGAAACATACTTTGTTTTATATATATTATTCTGCTGTATGATTTGGATTTAGGAGGAAGATGGGTGAGGGAGGGTAGACATGACAATTGAATCACTATTGTTCACTGAAAGGTAGTATAATTCAATACCTTATGGTAACTATACTATAATTGAAGTAAGTTTAACGTTTCACTTTGACGTGAAAATTTTTCATGTTGAGACGTGAAACTGCACTTGTGAAATCTTATAATATTTCTGCATTTCACATTGACTGGAAATTCTTTCAATTTGAACGGGAAGTGGTGTAGTAGTAGTTTCTCTGGCTGGAAATTTTTCCGCTTGAGATTGATTGATTGCGTAAAATCCTCTGTGTATTTTGTACTAACGGGTGACCTCCTAGTTTCTCGCAAACAAAACAAATATTAATATTATTATTGTATTATTTTGTACAAGTATTGAGCAAATAATGTTACAGTAGAGAAGTTTCTAAAAATTCCGATCGTTTCCTCTTATGCTTCCCACCACTTGTTTTTCGAAACCCTTGGAAAATCAATAAGGAAACTCTTCAAACTTGATTATGGTTCCTCTCCGAGGGGTGTCTGAGCAGAACGCAGTCCTTTCCTTTCGTGTTTGCAATGTCAACTCCTCAGAAGCGTCGGCAGTTCACCGAGCGCTAAGACATCTTGCTTCTGACCCAAATCAGCGTGGAGATGCCATTCCTCGCCCGTCGTGGAAAAATTATGGATGTGTGGGACTCCGTTGCACTCCGTTGCACGGAATCTGGCTACAGTGTGTGACTTTGACCGTCCCCAGTTCGATGGCAAGAAGGCACAAGCCCGATTTGCCATATTGTTGAGTGATACTCGTGACGACAACAGAGCTTCAATGCGGGCATCAGGCGTTGCCGAAGACGTCACGGAGAAGACCATCCTGCTGGACGACCTCGCAACCCAAGTGGATGAGGCCAAGAACGAAGAAATGCGTCGTGCAAGTACAGAAGAAAGCACAGCAGCACAGTCCAAAGAAGCCGGTGCTCGTGTTCGTGACGTAGCCATGAAATCTCAAGGTAAGCGAAAAGCCGAAGAAGGTGACGGGGAGTCGAATGCGTCGGGTGGTAAAATGCTGAAAATCCTTACACTCATGAACGAAGGCAACCGAAGTGAGCTTGATCTACGCAAGTTCATGTTTGAACGTGAGTTGGAGGAACGCAAGAAAGACCGCGAACGTGAAGTTGAAGAACGCCAACGTGATTTTGAGGAGCGCAAAATGGATCGCCAACGTGAAGTTGAGGAACGCAAAAAGGACCGCGAGGTCCAGATGCAGCAAATGCAAGTTATGCAGTGCGCTATGACTACCGTGTTCGATGCACTAGTGAAGAAGTTGTAGAGTAATTGTCATTGTGCTAGCTTGGCCCACAAGCTATATTGCACTAGTAGTAAATATTTCTATTAATGTACTTATTACTATTAGATTGTTTCAACATGCACTGTGTCAAGATACTCTTCGAGCGTTGGTGGGGCTACTTCAAACTACATACTGATTTGATTACCCCGGAAATGGCAGCAGTGACAATTCGTCAGCAACATGGCAACACAAACGATTTTCGCCACCGGTGATTGTCGAACTTTTGCAAGATTCTTGATCATGATTACGCCCGCAGTGTTTTCATGATCTTGAAATTCCATTCGACTGACTATCGCACGCTACTCATGGCTTTGTTGAAGTTTTGTTTTTGGATTGAAATGTTGTTTCCCTTGTAGCCGCTAATAATGTGCCTGGTTACTCCATATGCTGGGTCGCCGTAGATGTATTTTGAGGCAAACATTGCCGGATGGCTTGAAGTCGCTTGTAAGAGGCCACTGTGCGCGAGCATCGCTGAGTCGTGGCGTCGACCCTCAGTTGGTCCCCAAAAGTAATTACAAATGCCATCTGGGGCAGCGACGGCTTGGTAGTTGAGGCAATGGATTCGTTTGTGCCCACTGTACAACTGTTTTTGCAGATTTAACCCGTCTCCAACTGCTGCAATACGACACGTTTGGACCTTCGTTCCGTCAATGAAGCCAAAAACACAGCTGAGCGGTGATATTTTGTTATGGACGGCCACACAATACTTGTCCATGTTGGCACGCAGCAATCTCAAATTGAGAAACAAAACCTGTTTCCAACGGTCGTACAGATCATGCACCATGTGGTTGAAAATGTCAGATAGGCGCCCTCGTGAACGACCAAACATTCGTCCCATGTCGTGATAACGTCGCGGGAAAGTCAAGCGACTGAGCAACACACACATGGCTTCATCTCGACAGATCCGGGAATTGTTCGTTGTTATAACGACGGCGGGGACCCCGGAGCAGGTAGCCAAGTCGTTTGATTCCAACCACGTCGAACCGAAAGTCAAGGAGCGCGTTTGCGTGGGCATAGCTGTCAAGGGAAAATACTACCCTTGGGAGGAGTGGAGGCTCGACGTATTGGTACACGTACATGCACATCAACATGTCGCGCGTTGACTTTGTCTTGGCAAGTGCCAAGAGCATGGTAATGGTGTGCACCGACAGGGCCATGATTGAGAAGCAGTGTGGTTTTCGTGGTAAATACCGTTTTATCTATTTTTGGCACGGATTCAATTATTGTCGTGCAACAGGAACAAGATCGGAAATTCATGAAACTTAGAGAACATAATTTCCGATCACATCATGTGTTTGTTGTCTGAAGCGAAGTTGGAGCCGAAAGGATTTTACGGAAACCTCTCTAGTACCTTTGAGTACGATGGGTTTAATCTGCTAGTATTTATTTTACTGTTAACAGTGATCGAATGCATCGAGGGTATATTTATGCATATCTCAAGGTCCAGGTGGCCTTTTTCAGTGAAATTTCGTAGGTGCTCATAAGGGGGAGTTCCAAGTAGTTTTCAGAAATAGCATGAGGCAACCAAAATCAATTTACCTCTTTTTTTTCACGATTTAGGAAAAGACGTCAAGGACCTCTTTTTCTCTTTTTGGTATAGTGAGTTGTGTAAAAAGTCACAGAAAAAGAGGTAAAAAATTAGGAAACTAGCACTTGGAACCACTTTCTCATTTCCTAAAAATATCTACTTGGAACAGACCCTAACTAAACGCCATATAAAATGTACTTTGGATGTAAACGGAAATTAGACAATATCTCATTTAGAATTACTACCAAGTAACATATATCGTTTAATAGTATTTATTTTGACTTTTATAAAGCAAAGCTTATACGAGTACTCTCAAATATAATATTTTGAAATAACCCTAATCCGATACCATAGATGCCATGTAAAATGACATACCTGTACGGTCACCAGCAAGTTGTGTTAACTTGTGAAGCACAGAGCATCCAATCACCCAACTATTCTACTACACATAACCATGTGCGAATTCCTATCAGATATCCCTGGGATCTGGTACAGAGAACCGAGGAAAAACTGGACCTATCATGCAGGTCGTTTTGTATGGGAAAACAGAATGCCAAGAATTTTAATTATATATTGCAGGAGAACGAGGTCAAGATTATGATTGGATTAACTGTACTGGAATTTATCCATATGAACCATTACAAATACATGTTTCGCGTTTTTTGGGAAAGCTCCAATCCACGACTTGAAACACATTCCAATCGATTCAGGAGGGGGGTTTACCTCGAGAACCCTCCTACCGAGCACAATAAGAACAACCAAGTCCTCAAGACAAAACATCACATTATATTATATGCATTTCTGGTCGTGGCAATGCCTTTTCAAATGATCTTCTAATGGCATCAGGAGTAATCATTTTCCACGCTTTAAATGGATCGCTTTATCATCGCGAGACGCTTTTCAGCTGCAGAATTGACTGGAGTCTCTTCCAACCACAGCATACGGAGGATCCGATTGAAGGGACCCATGACCCCCACGTCTAGCGGTTGGCAAATAGAGGTGCTGTTGGGTGGCAGTGGCTCCAAGATACTATGTAGGTCACCTGCTATCGCCTCAGCAGACTCTTGGGAAACATGGGCATCGAAGTTATCCGCCAGAATAACTGACGGGCCATGAATGTACGGCGGCAGCATGCTGAGATATGCCTTCCACACCCTGGAGTCCATCCACCCGGACTCTTGTACGTCGTAATAGTGCCCACTTGGGTACGTCGACAACTCATTGGTGTCAATAGTCCCACCAGGCCAGGCCAGGGGTGCCATGGACAATGAACAGGAATGGAAGTTTTTTGCCTACATTGATACATTAGTTTAGATTAAAAAATGTAACCACATACCATCCGCCCGGCATGACAGCACCGCTGTGATTCTATCCGAGTGATTTTGAGTCTTGTCCGTCTTCGATGACCCACCGATCTCGGCCCAAATCTTGCCGGGGGGGGCATGTCATAGTAGACCGCAGTTTCATCCACATTGATGATGTCGTGGGGACGGTAGTCGCTGTACTTGCCCCAAAATTTGGCGGCAAATTCATCTCTCACAAGGCTCACGCATCTTGGAATGACAAGGGACACGCTGGGAAAATCGGTGTCGACGGGCGAAGGCCTGGCAGAGTCCAAGAATAGCCTTGTAGGGGTCCTTTTTCGTGGCCTTGTACTGGTCCAGCCACTGCTTGTGGTGCGTCTTCATGTAGGTGATCATGTGCATGGACGTCAGGATATGTTCCTCACGTCACACGTCCTTGATGAAGGCCAAAAGCTCGTTCTTGAACGGGATGATTGTTTTGGCGCCTTGACTACCCAGGGACCTTCGCTTGAGGTTGCGCTGAGTAGTCGTAAGCTTTGCTCGGAGCTTTCGCCATCGGGCCCATGTAGCTCGAGGGACAAGAAACTCCGCGCAAAACTTACGACTACTCCATCCAAGAGTGTCGAACTTGATGAGGAGCTCCCGCTTTTTTCCCAAGGAGTACGATCGCTGTAGTCTTGACGCGGGCATTTGAGTTGTGGGTTGTGGCGATGTTGACTCATGGATTTGAATTTCATATTTGAACTGGCCAATAGTTGAACAGCACTTGAATTGACGAATTGGATTGGCCAAAATCATTTGAAATAGTAAATATTAGAGGTCTTGAATGAAGAATTAAAATACGATAAAATTACAGAGGTGGCCCAGTTTTTAGGGGGTGTCCACATTTTCCTCGGTTCTCTGTACAAACCACATATAATCGACATGGTGGATGTCATTTACGCTATGTCGCACATTGCACATGCCAGTGTAGAGTAGATTGATGAGTGTAGGATCGTGGTTGACATGCCATTTATGGGGGAGTTGGTTAATTGAGTTTGGATTATCATTTTTAAGACATTCCTCCGTGAGGGCCGATACTAGAACCACATATGGGGGAGGGAAAATAGCTCAGTGGTCGAGTTTTTCTGGCAATCACTGTAGAGCATCGGTTTCTTAACTCAAAGGTCGTGGGTTCGATCCCCTGCTTCCCGGATTATTTCCGCAAGGATTTATCCGTCCCTCCAGCTACAGTATTCCCCCCCCCTTTATGGGGGAGTTGGGTATGGCGTGTGACATGCGATAAGTTGTTGGCGATACGGTACTAGTAATGTCACGCGCTATGTGTAGGTCGATTCTGATGTATAGAATCGATGGATTGCCGCATCGTCCATACCGGTGACATGCGATATGTTGTTGGCGATAATGTCACGCGCTATGTGCTGCTTAGGTAAATACTACTGATGTATAGAATCGATGGATTGCCGCATCGTCCATACCTGGACTCAGCAACCGGTGGATGCTCTTATAACGACAAACTACTGTAGTCACGCAAGATACTCTTTGGTCGGTCACATTTCGTACTACTGTCACGCCAATGTCGTTCTCAGTTCATTGGGTACTATTATACATACTGTAACGTTAGAAGTATTTCACAGCAAATTCCTTACACTAAAAGAGACCGCTTTAACACTAAATTGAACTTCATCCGTGAGTGATAACATATGCACACTATTTTCTCTTAACGTCCCGTGACACGGAATATGCTTGCTGGCGTAGATGGATTGGTGCACAGGACTTAGTTTCTAGAAAGTCCTCATGGCATCAGTCACTTGAACGTGTTGGCGAGAAACTATTGACAGTGAGCTCACCATTCAGGAGCCTCAGAATTGTGGTCGCCATGGACGAGTGCGTCCAAGAGGCAACGATTCTCTTTGACCGACAGCAAGGCGTGCCGCAGTACCTGCCCGTGCCGCACAAAGGCCAGCCTGATCGGTACCCTGCTTACACGATGCATATTCCCCACGGCTTCTTAAACTGGCGCATGGACCGACGGGATGTGGTTGCATTTCCCACGCAAGACGTCGCGGGATCGATCCTCAACTTTTGCCGCTGCGGAGTTGTGCGGGGTGGCATCTTCTTCACCCGCAGCTCGCCCGACGCCGATGCCGCGTCCTCCGACGATGCACGGTACATGGTGGCCGTCAAGATCATGGACAGACACCAACTCCAGCTGCAGCGCGATGACATTGAGAACGAGCTCAGTGTCATGCGCGTGTTGCAGCCAGGAGGATTTACGGGTGTGCTGCAGAACCCTCATATTTTACAATGGGAGGCATCTAGTGACAGCGCGAACGAGTACATCGCCACCGATTACGTGTCGAATGGCAGTCTCGTCATGTATGCGCACCACCGCTTGCAGGAACTGCGCTTCCACGTGAGCATGGAGCTTCCGCAGCACCCCGAGCTGCATGAAGCCCGGTTGGCCCAGCTCTGGACCCATGAATCACTGCATCTGTTCCTCGGGGTCATGAAGGGACTCACGTACATCCATGCCCAGGACGTTGCGCATCTCGACCTGGATCCGAACAATGTCGTGATCGACGACGACCGAACGCCACGCATTCTGGACTTTGGTAGTGGCGCGTACTTGCAGTCGGCAATGGGTGCGGGGGCGGCCGGCGGCGGCACGTCCTTAGTTAAATGCAAACCACTGTATGCCCCTCCAGAGGTCCGTCGTCACAACCAAACGCCGCCGCCACGCACACCTTTCAACGGTACCGCGGCCGACATGTGGTCTGCCGGGACCATGCTGTACCAACTCGTGTGCTTTGGGTACCCTGCAGGCGAATACGCGCTCATCCGGGACGTCAACTGGCGGCGGAACCTCATCGCCCACGCCAACGATCAGCCGCATGCAGGCCATGAATGCTACATTTGCGTGCGAGAAATCGCATTCCCACCCGTAGCCTATGAGATTTTCCGCAGTTTGCTTAATGAGGACGACCCGGACGCTCGAATGTCCGCCTTTGCCGTCGCCGGGCTCCTAGGACAATACCTGTCGCAAACCACCTAAGTTATAGACTCCACTTCTGTCTGTGGCTAGTAGCCCTACTTGGTTGTACTGATGATGCAGCACACTCCCCACAGAAAGGTGCTGTTTGCGGTACACTGTACTGTGTACATATATTACCGGCAGGAGCCCTGATCTAGACCAGGTCGGGGCTGATACTTGCGTCGACACGAAAGAAGTTGAACGTGAATTTAGATCGCGCGAGATCAAATCCTCCGACTGCGTCACAGACTTGGACAGCCATGGCCGACATTGCAACCACTTTGGCAAACTCGTACGAAACATAACGATAAGATGACATTGCGCTCAAATAACTAGAAAAAACGACATTCAACAAGGGTTTCACGGCAGAAATGCACCGAGGATCCTGTTGGCGCATTGAATGAGCTGCACGAGATGCGATTCGGACAGCATCTTGTACGACGAATCGAAGCGTGGCAGGAACATCCGAAGGAGGTTCAGCACGATTGTCCTGGCCATCGCACGCTCGCGCTTGGGAATATGCAGCAAGTTACTAGCGAGAACTTCTTCCCCCCATGAGCTCTGAATATCTTCCATCGTAAATGCCACGGAGAACGGCGCGGCGTCGTCCTCGTCGAACGTGGAGCTGGCTCTCGACCGCCCCCGTTGGTTGCAATTGTCTTCGTTGTCGCCTGAGAGATGGTCCCACGCCCCTTCTGGAGTTTCCAGCATGCTGGAGAAGTCGATAGCCTCGAGGGCGGAAATGAGCTCGTCGATGCTCTGGCTTGGCGTTCGCATCGTGTTGATGATGTCCTCCAGGTCACCCCACTGCGTCATGAGCTCTTCCAGTGGCGAAGGCATCCCGAGGGATTCTAGCTCTTCCTTCACCACTGCGGATTCACTCAAGGTACCTTCGTTCCACGCCGTAACGTCGTTCAAGTAGGGACCCTTGGCATGCACTACGTCGCCCTGCCGCCTGGCCACCGTCATTTGTACGTCTGTCGGTGCAAGGGGGCAGCACCATTCTCCGAGATATCGACTATCCAATCAAACGACGTTATGGTTCAACCATCCACCAATCAAATGTCGTGTCGTAGAAGTAGCCTATCAAACTCGTAATTGTTTTTCGGTTTGCCGTTTCTGACGTTACATATCCGCAGAACTTACTACAGTACTAGTACTACAGTACTACTTCTTCATACTATGGGTATAGTATGGTAGTACAATTCGTCCTAACTGTGCTCACTGTCAATCGCCAAATCTATCGATCGATTTCTGTATTTGTACTGAATTTGCATGTAAAAAGGTATATTGGTATCACACTAATTGAAGTCTCACTCTAATTCGACGGTGATGATGGTTTCCTGCAATGTGATTGGCCAAATCCTACTGCCTATTCTTCTGTACATTTGCCAGTTCGGTTTACAGTTACTGTAGAATAACTATTTAACACAATAAATTTGGAAGCTGATCCTGAATTACTGACAGGGAGCTCGTTACTGTAGCTCATACATCGCCTTAGATTGCGTTCCCAACGTTCGTGCGCTATAATATCCTTAATTCTAGCTACTACCTCGTTGCCTTGTTTTTATCTTGTTCAGCTTTCGCTCGATTACGATGCGATTACAACCGGGAAGCTTCCTTCGTCGGAGAATTTGCACGACGCTTACTGTTAATCCAACTTAAAGGACACAGTTGTTCTCGACATCTCCACCCGTCAGGCTTATACCAGTATTGATGGCAAAAAGAGTAATGAAGGGAGCTTTACGTGCAATTAATGTCGAAGAAGAAAAAGGCCGTGCCTACTCGCCTTCCACAACAAGTAGACAAGCGTTAGCGAGTTTTAGACGATTGAAGGTCACAAATGGCCGCTGTTGCGTGAGCTGGTACTGCGAGTATTCAACTTGGTCGCACCTAGTGCTGCATCGGAAAGCACCTCTTCCTACCATGCAAATATTCATTCCAAGTTTCGCAATTGCTTGACTCATGATAGAGTCGGAAAGCTCGTATACTGTACATCAAGTCGAACTCTTGAGCGTTTCAATATTGTGCTTTCGAGTGAAATTTCGTGTTGTGGCGTGGTTTCTCGTTGGAATTTAAATCGATTTGATTGGCTACCTCAGATGAGCTCGAAATTATTAGCCAATCAAAAACCCTCTCAATGAAATTCAACCAATCAGATCGATTGTGGATCGGTTTGGTCGGCGCAATTCGATTGCACCCCCTCCCCAAATTTGTATCAAATCGACAATACGTAGTTTTGAGGCATCATCTGATGATAAGGTACAGTAGCCAAACCAAAACAGTAATTATTTTCAGAGTTCAAATTAGGTTTTATTTAGGTTTAATTCCAAAAAGAAGAAACCAAACACAATTAAAAAATAATTTAGGTTTTTATGGTGCACGTCATCTATAAACTACCAACTTTTCACAAAATTTTCTGACTTCTATTTCATATTCATTACTCAAAATTTCAGCAAATTGAGACGTAGAATCGACAGATCTCAATGTGGTGAAGAAATTCTACGTCTCAGATTCAAATTTGGTGATGAATTGGTCCAGAAATAGATATTTAACCTAGCGGTATTTTACATGGGCGTTTGGATATTTGGCCATAGGGGTGGCCGCAGAGATGTATCTTGATTTTTGTATGTGACTGTTATCCGTATATATTATCCGGAGGCAATTGGCTGGTCATTCCGGTAAACATGATTTTTCAGATATCCGGCTTGCGAAAAGGAATACTATCAATATTAATATTAGTAACGTTACGTATTAATAGTACTACATAGTACTACTATACGTACTAGTAGTACCGGTAGTTTGTTGCAGAAATCTTGACACAAGGAATTCTACTTCGCGCTTTTCGTCGAAATTTCACAAGGAATTCAACGTTTGCAGAAGTTCTCTATTGTCCTCACCCAAATTTGGACTATTTTGTTAGTCCAAAAGTGAAACCGTTTTTGAAGGAACTTGGCAATACATCTTGTATTCACTATAGTATACAAACATGATGTATTGTACGCTCGAACTTTCTCTCAGTACTTGCCAAATTTCAATCGACGACTGGAATGAATACAAACAATTTATGCACATGGTAGACATAACGTTTTTGACACAAGAAATCACTTTGCATTAAGAATTACAATTAGTCCTGTCAACGCAATTAGCAATCACCACGAAGGCGAAGCACAAAAAGTGCAGAGTCGGATGTTGTACTCACTCAGAGCGTCACCGACTTCCAGTTGCTTCCCCACAAATATGAGTCTTTACTTCTCTAGGGGAATGCCTTCCTTGTCTAGCACCTTCTGTTGGACGTTGTCGATCGAGTCCGAGGGCTCAAAGACGCCGAGGGTAACATGGTCTTGCCGGTGAGGGTCTTGGCGAAGCATGATTCGCTGTGAGCTCTGGCAAAATCGGAAGAATCAACGACATACACTCTCAATTTAAAGGGTTGTTTTGATGCTGATTGATTATCCGAAATTCCGGATAAGAACGCCCCACCATTCTTCCGCCACAGCGATGAGCTTTGGCAAGACGAACTATCGCTTCGGCGGCACCCGCGGTGGTCAAGATCGTAAGTTTAGACGGAGTGATGAATGCAGATAACATCACCATGGCTTAGAGTTTAAGTGGGACGACGTAAAGAACGACAAGTACCGCGAAAACTACCTGGGGCATTCGCTCAATGCGCCCGTGGGCCGATGGGTCAAAGGTACAAGGATTCCAAGCACCACCATGATTTCTTCATGGACAAGTGTAGGCAAGGACTTGACCTGGTACTCCAAGGGAAAGGGGGGGCAGAGCGCTGTATTGGCCGAGGAGATCGCTCTCGCGAAGCAGCGCGATGAGGATCGCATGAACGAGGCTCTGTAAGCCTGGTGTACTTGCTCCACGTCGTTTCTCACCTTTCGTTTCTAGAGGAATTGCACCAAAGCGCCATCACGAGCCTACTGGTGCCCTCGATGCCAACGAAATGAAGACGTTGCTCAAGCGTGGAGAAACAGAGCGCAACGACGGCGATGCCGAGCGCGTGGAAGGGCTTGGGGCTGCCACGTTTGTCACGGGGTATGAAGATCCAACCGCGAAAAGACGAACGATGGCGGAGCGATACCAAGACAACGTGGGCAAACAGGATCTGACCCATGGCCTTCCGGGTGTCCACAACGACGACGAGGCGGACGAGAAATCGCGGAAAAAGGACGCCAAAAAGCAAAAAAAGATGAAAAAAGAAGCCAAAAAGGAGGCCAAAAAGCACAAAAAAGAACGAAAACGGAGCAACCGATCGCCATCCCGCGAACGAGAGTCGAAGCGGTCGAAACGCGACCGATCTCGCGACTAACGTTAATCAACGTTGATATATGGACGTCAAACACGCTACACTTGGTACTATTATCAGTCATAGTCGTTAGTATTTGAATACTACATAGTAGTTCTAAGTAGACGAAAACGATATCCTATTCTCGGTTGACGGCATCTTGGGCTACGGCGACCCAGTTGACGCGGCACAGCAAGAGTTGGTACACGACAAAGGCGGTGAGCGAGCCAAACGTGAAGCCGGCCCACAGCCCCTCGACGCTCCACTCCAAGTACACGCCAAAGAGGACGGCCACGGGCACCCCCACGAGGTAAAACGCGGCGGCATTCACGCCACTGGCCACGTCCTGCTTGCCCATCGCTCGAAAGAAGCCCTGGCACGCAGCGTTCATGGCGTCGACGACGTGCAACGGAGCGATAAACCACAGCGCAGTGCTTCCTCGTCTACAAGATGACCCATATAATAGTCGATTTGATAGTACAAATTTGGGGAGAGGGGTGGGCAATCGAATCGCGCAAACCGATCCACAATCGATCTGATTGGTTGAATTTCATTTAGAAGGTTTTGATTGGCTTATAATTTTGAGCTCATCTGAGGTAACCAATCAAATCGATTTAAATTACCACGCCACAACACGAAAATTCACTCGAAAGTACAATAAATACAAAAGTTTATATTGTATCAAGTCGATTTAAAATTGGAGAGGGGCCATCGATCGGCCAATCAAAACCCAGAACATGAATCAAGTAGCCAATCAAACTCAACTCTCATCAACAACATTAGTGTGTGACTGAAATTCCAACTATAAAACACTCTCAACGCGGTAGACGACGTACGCGATGACGTCGACGTCGTTGATGACGAGTCGGGGCAGGACGGGGGAGAGGAGGACGATGGCGGACGCGGTCAAGAGCGCGCAGGCAAAGCACAGGCGCAGCGTGAGGAACATGACGCGCTTGGCCTTGTCCGGCTGGTTGGCGCCGAGGAGGGTACCCATGCGGATGGTCGCGGCCACTGACAAGCCAAAGTACGGCATGTACGCCAGGTTGAGTGTGCTGGAGAGGATCTACCGACACATCATAGAAAGACACGTATGTATACCTCACAGTACCGAGTTGACGCCAATGGTCAGGATATGGTTGGGTAGGATGCCAGCGACCAGCGTGAGGATCTCGATGGCGCCCCATTCGATCATCATCATGAGCATGCCGGGCACGCCGAACTGGAAGAACTGCGCGACATGGGACCACGCCGCGTGCCAGCCCCACTCGATGCACCAGCCAGTGTACATGGTGTTCCAGAGCAAGACGTAGCCCAGCATCCCCAATAGCACGGCGGTTTCCATCACTGTCAGAGCGACCGCGGGGCCGAGGTACCCGAGAAAAGTGTGCTGGGACAGGTAGTACCCCATCGAAACGTGCAGGATGTTGCCGAGGCCGGTGAGGACGGCCATGGGGGTGGTCACGCCCTCGGCTTGCACGAGCTTCTTGAGCACTTCAAACGCGTACAAAGCCGGGTACCCCACGGTCATGACGCGAATGAACGCGCCTGTCAAGTCGGCCAAGGCTGGCTCTTGGCCCAGGAGTTTCAGAATGTCGCCACTGAACCAGTTGAGCAGTGTCACAGGAACCAGCGTCTACGAAATCGGCATTGGGATGCTGAGAATGACAGGAGTTGGTATACTATATGTACCAGCGCCATGCCCAAAAGGGCACTTTGCAGCAACACGCCAAACTTTCTGAGATTTCCAGCGCCATAAGCTTGTGTGCACAGCGTGTCCAACGCAGTGGCCATGCCCAACCCGACGGAATACGACGTGATGTTGGTGTACTAGTGCAGCATTGGGGGGGCATGAGCATTCACGAAGATAGCATGTACACATACCATGACGGCCATGGCGGTGGCGTCCACGTACTGCTTCAAGTTTGGTGTTTGCATTTGACCGACCAAGATGATGTTGGTGATACTGGGAATGAACTCCATGAACAGGGTAAACACCTACGATATGGTGTGATGCGTGGGGATATGCAGCCTACGGCGTACGATGGGAGCAGCCAAGGTGACCAAAGAGGACACTTCATCCCACAGCGAGATCGTCGCCGCCTCGTTGCTGGCGCCATCTGCACGGTCCACAAGCGCAGACTTCTCTGAGACCACGATCGTCGTCTCGCTGTCCATCGTTGGTAGCGACATCGCAAATGAATTCCAGCGTTCAATGCAACGTACTATTTGATTGGCTGGTTTACACACACTCTGCAGAATCCCACCAATCAGAGAAGCGTATTTTCCTGATACAGTTACACTTGAAGGTTGCGATGCGCAAGATGTGGAGGACTCGAAGCGACATGAATAAAGCAGTGGGGATTAAACATGCAAGGGCACGATGTGACACCCCAACACGCCTTGACCGATCCAAGAATGCGGAACAAGGGAGAGCCGGAATTGGTCGGCGGTCCCCCGTCGCTGGACCACGACTTCAATCGGCGCGTCGAGGTTGCGCATGACAATCTCTCGGATCGCCGCTAATTCGCGGTGATTGTCGGCCGTCGCGGTTCCAAATTCGAGAACGAGGTCGCCCACTTGCAATCCTGCTTCGCTCGAGGGGGAACCTGCGAGAGCATGTAAGGGATGCGATGAAGAGATAGATATGTACCATCTTGGATTGATTCCACTCGGGCAAATGGAACGGATAAGACCACTACATGAGACGAGATATTACATCACATTGAAAGTCGGAGAATCATGTATATACCTGCATTTCCTTCCAATTTGACGGGGACTGTAGAGTCGGATACGACATCGGCGGCATGGAGCTTGCTGTGAGCGGATGGACCTGCGGGAATAGTCGCTAGATAACACATACTCGTCAGCATGAACCTCAGGTCTCAGGTCTCCAAACACTTTGGAGGTCGAGGTAAAGCGTACGTTGTTTCGGAGGGGGCGGGGGTTGCTGAGCTTTCTTCTCCGCGTAAATGCTACAAGTCCCCGATATTGATGCAATTCATTGCCAACATGATAACCAACCTCGTCATGACGTCTTCAATCTCCTGCATCTTCCACTTGAGGTCGTTTTGGAGGCAGGCAAAGCGATGTCGCTTGTGGCGCACAGTGTACACGTCGATGTCCGAGCGAGGGAAACCTTCGTCATCCACGAGAGGTCCCTTCAGACCGATGGGGTTGGGTCCGGCCGTCAGCTCTTCCACGATCAGTTGGATCTCCGCGTCAATCGCGGCGCGCTCCTTGTCGAGTTCCTGGAAGCGTTCCATCTTGAATTTGACCAGGAAATGCATTTCATAATTATCCGGATATTTGTAGGTGCCTTAACCGGATATTTCCAGAATAAGAGTCGAAAAAAGAGCAATACCAACCATTGCACGTTTTGGCGCGATCTTGGGCAGGCGCGGTGAGACCGACGGAGTCACATGAAGAATGGAACGGATTACACCAACTCCCCACGAGGGACTGTGCACTCTGCTGCTTCCAGGAAGACAGCATTCTCGTCCTCGTCCAAGCTTCAGATCAAGCGCCAAACTTCGTCATCGTCGTCGGTAGTGGGGCGCACACGGCCGCTAGCAAGCAACGACGACGACGACGACCGTGACTCCATCACAAGTCACATGAGTACAGTGAGCGGACGGTATGGGTCGAACTTTAAAGTGGTGATTCGTGTCCGTCCGCCGCTGCCTCGGGAACTGCAAGGCGACAAGCCGTTCCAAAACATCGTGTCGGTGGATTCGTCTGGCCATTACTTGACCGTCTCCGACAGCAACCACCACCACAATCCGTCGTCAAACGACGACCAACAGGGCAACTCCTCATCGTCATCCTCTTCGTACTCGAACCATTCGTTCTCGTTCGACCACGTATACGACCAGCACAGCACGCAGCGCGCCGTGTACGAGAACACGGCCAAGGCGGTGGTCGAGTCATCTCTGGAAGGGTACAACGCGACGATCTTCGCGTACGGCCAGACGGGCACGGGCAAGACGTACACGATGGAAGGGTTCAACAGCAGCGGGGGGTCGTCGTTGGAGGACCGCGGCATCATCCCCCGCGCGATCGAGCAAATCTTCATGCACATCCAAGCCAACATGAGCGCGCGCATGCGGTTCCTCGTGCGCGCGAGCTACCTTCAGATCTACAACGAGTCCATTTCCGACTTGCTGAAACCAGAACGCAACAACTTGACGATCCGCGAAGACAAGAAGCGCGGCGTGTTTGTCGAGGGGCTGTCCGAGTGGGTGGTGCGGTCACCCGAAGAAATTTACGGGCTCATGGAGCGGGGCGGCGCGATGCGGGCCACGGGAAGCACCAAGATGAACGAGATCTCGTCCCGATCCCACGCCGTGTTTATCATCATCGCCGAGCAAAGCCAGACCACGTACGTCGACACCACTGGCAAGGAGGTCGCCCCGGACGAGTTTACAGCGCTCGTCAACACGCAGGCGCGGGACCGGACCAAGCTCGAGTCGCTTGTGCGCCAGAGCTTCAAGGTCGGCAAGCTCAACCTGGTCGACTTGGCCGGGTCGGAGCGCGTGCGGCTGTCGGGGGCGACCGGTCAGCGCCTCGAAGAAAGCAAGAAGATCAACCAGTCGTTGTCGGCCCTTGGAAACGTCATCGCCGCGCTCACGGATACCCGGGGGCGGCAGCACATTCCGTACCGCGACTCGAAACTGACGCGGATCCTCGAAGACTCGCTGGGCGGCAACTGCAAGACCACAATGATGGCCATGATTTCGCCGGCGCTGGAAGCCATCGTCGAGAGTCTGTCGACGCTCAAGTTTGCAAATAGAGCCAAGAACATCAAGAACGAGGCGCGGGTGAACGAAGACTTGGACCAAAAGTCGCTGCTGCGCAAGTACGAGCGCGAGCTCAAGCGTCTCCGGGCCGAGTTGGAGGAGAAGAACCGCAACGTCGTGGACAAGCGGCGGCTGCTCGAACTGGACGAGCAGCGGCGGCGCGCCGAAGAGGACAAGATGGCGGCGATCCGGGCGCTGGAACAACGCAGTCTCGAGTTCATGCTTGAGAAAGAGGAGAAGAAGAAGCTCGAGCAGCGCATCGTGATGCTGACGTCGCAGATGCTCATGAGTCATGGCAATAAGCCCCGACCAGACAACGATAGTACCACCGACACGAGCGAGTTCTCGACCGAGGACCCGCAGTTTCGCATTGCGTTGAAGGAACAACAAGACCGCATTCGAAAAGAGTACGAGTGCCGACTCGCGGACTTGGAAAAGGAGCGCGAGACGATCGAGGAGGAAAAAGCTCAAGTGGACCGATACAAGCAGTTGCTGCTCAAACAGCGAGACATCATGATTGCGTTGACCCAGCGCTTGAACGAGCGCGACGAGCAGATCATGGCGTTGCAGGTACGAGTAATATACAGCCTCTTTAAGTTAGTAGCTCGAGGACGCGTGGTAGGACGAGCTCGACGCGTATGACAGGCACCAGAAAGCGCTCGAAGAAAAGCTCGACGAGAAGACGGCGCAATTGATTCATCTCCAGAGAGTCACCATGGAGCACAATGCGACGTCGCCCAACAAGAACGCAGAGCTCATCCGGGCGCTGGGCGAGTGGGGGTTCAAGCAGACCCAGAGACAGCAGCTGCTCCAAGGTCCGTCGTCGTCGGTCGATGGAAGCACGCTGTCGCCGCACCTGCTCACAACGCACAAGCAGTTTTTACCCCACGAACCACCGTACCCCATGAACAACAACCACCACCCCGAGGTCACCAAGTCGCCGCCCAAGGGTCTGCTGCTCTCGGCCGATGAAAAGATCCACGAGCTACAAGACGTCGTGACAAGTCAGAGCCTAGAGCTGGCCAAAGCCGCCAAAGAACTGGACGAAGTGCGCGCGGACAAGGTCTGCGTCGAGTCCGAAGTGCGGGAACGCGTGGAGAAAATGGTGCAAATGGAACTGCACCAGCAAGGACAAGCGACGTCGGCCAAGTACCAGCGCCGCATCCACGAGCTCGAGTCGACCGCAAAACTGTGCGGTGCGTTCAACATGAGATATGTCATATGTTTGAAAATGATATATCATGTTTGAAATAAATATATCACGTTGATAGCTATCCTGATCAAAAGTGATATATACATATACTACAATCAAAAGTGATATATCCTGATCACAAGTGATATATATATACCATATACATATATATATATAGGATCAAAACTGATCCGACGGTATACATCATGCTTGAAAACGATATATACATATATATATATATATATATATATATCATGATAGACCAATATCGGATCCAAACTGACTCACATGCATGTAGGAGATTTGCAAGGGAGATGCGACACCCTCACCAAGGAGCGCAAGGCGGTGCAGACGATCATGGAGCAAAAGATCAAGGCCCTTGTCGATGCCATCGCCCGAGCCAGTGACGCCACGCTCGAGACAGTGGGCGGTGTCGCTCACGTCGGCGAGCCCGCCAAGTGGCTATGCCGCGAAGTGGCTGCGCTGCAACGGCTGGTGAATGCATCGATTGTGGCGCTTCGCAACGCCAACAACTCTGAAAAAAGCTCGGCGTCGACTGCATCTACCGAAAAGCAGACCCCAGTCCAACCCCCAGCAGTGCCCCCGTCGCCCCCGCAGGCCGACACGAAGCGACCGGCGCTGTCGTCGTACGTGACGGGGGGGCTGTCGGTGGAAGAGTTGATCCACAAGCGACGACAGCAGATGCAGCGTGAGAAGCACCAGCGCCACCACACTTGAGCAAGCCACAGGCAAAAATATATATGGCAGCGAAAGTGTTGGATTTGACATTGCCCAAACAACAGCAATATTATCAATATATCATCCAACAGAGTCGATGACAATTATTATAATATAGTGTATTATCTTGGGATGAAAATACTTGTAGGCAATTTTACATGCCCTGGCTTGTGGGAGCCAAGAATATTTACAGCAACAGGGGGGTATGGGGACGATCTTCGTCGATGGTGTCGTCGGTGCTGGGAAGGCGAGCGAAGGTCTTAGGAGATGTGGGGATCACGATCGCATGCTTGAGGTAGTTGTCGAGGACCCAGAACTGCACGACGTTGACAAAGCATGGCCCGAGGATCATGACAACCACCAGTTCTGCATGACGATGGTGGCTAAACACGGAAAACAGGTACGTGCTTGCGGTCGCCAACGGGATGTACAGGATATACACGAGAACAGTCACGACCACCTTCATGGCGATCAAAATGACCAGATACACGACCAACTGCTTCAGCCACACACTACAACACACAATGCCGTCCTGAGACGGTACATGACGACGACGAACCAACTTGACGTACGTGAACTGCGGCGGGTCGCCATACTTCCCCGACGCGAGAATGGACGACCATCCCATCCACGTGGCAACTGCTTTAACTTGGGCGAGGAACACTACAGCATGCATAAAATCAGGTCAAGTGCGACTAGCATGTGTATGACGTGTACCTAGAACTAGCGCTGTGCCAAGTGTAACGTCAATGAGGAACGTCGCGAAGTACACAGCGCACTACGCACCGATGCAGGTAAACACTTGAAGATTCTGGACGGAATATGGGGAAGTGCGTTTACTTGGTCGTCCTCGGCTTTGGAACGTTGGGTCAGCAGGATAGACAAGAAGATATTGACCACGTGCACGAAGAGCGCGCCCAGGCCTTGCTTGCTTACATCAAACGTCCACACCTACGGCATTCCATGAGATGTGATGGACAGCACGAACGTACGTTGAATGCACGCTTGGGTATCTCAATCTCCCGCTTAACAAACAACACTCCAACCGCGCACACCCCCAGTAGCATTTGGATGAACCTGGAGAACCCATCTGTGAGGAGGAGGCACTTGTCGTGTTCGTCCATGTACTCGAACGGATCCAGCATCATCGTTCGGTCGAATATGCAATAGTGTGTGTGTTCCTTTACGTTTTATCCGTATCTATTCCAACAGAAGTGGGAAGCTGTTGCCTTTTGTATACGACGACAATATCCGGATAATAGGCAACCAACATTCCGCGTAGGAATGCTGGTAACCAAAACAACCAACAGTCGCAGGCGTGGCAAGTCCAAACGCCCGTCACATTGCAGCAGCGTGACAAGACATCTATAGAGTGTTGATGGGATTGAAAGGGTCACTAAGTACCAGTTTACAGTAGCAGTAGCAGCATGCATCCTTCATAAGCTTGTGTGCTACTGGTATTAATACTAGCGTTGTGTGTACATCCGATAGGCATAAAGATGTACAGTAAGATGGTCATTTCATTGAAACACACTTTAGGGAAGGGTGCAATCTTGACTAAATTTAGTGGGAGGTGTCCAATGGCTGTAGTGGCGGATCCATTCGGAGAGAGGGCAGCTGACACATCCGAGCCCGGGAGTGGCCACCACCCGCTCGTTTACGGTGATCTGCACCAAGGGCTCCGTTGAGTTTGGACACTGATAGAGCACGAACGCAACATTGCCTCCGAAAGGCGCTAGCTTTGCCGACCGAAACAGTCGGTCGTATGGGGCCGTGGCCGATGCCACCAGTTTGGGCTGGTCCTGGTGAAAGCCCAAGAGACTCAGCAACGGCAGCAGGGTTTCGGCATGCGCAAATCGGAAATGTCCATCCACACCATCAAGACGCGAGGTGATGTTGACCATTGCTTCCACGACATCGCGAAGCAGCGGCGACGCTATGGCCACCGACAGGGGATTCCCATGGCTTTTGCGGTAGTACTGCTTGAGTTCTTTCCAGTACTCCATCGTTTGGAGCAGTCCCGGTGGAATCAACGTGCACCAGTGATGGGAGATCCCGTGCACGGCAATGTCAAACCTACAATCCACCACGAACCCGACCATGGATCATGACATGTCTTGTTGTCGAAACAAGACACAGCTACGTACGCACATGCATCGTAGACGGCACTCAGATCTTTCAAAGTTAGCGATGGAAGGTTGAACGCAGTTTGAAAGTGGAGCAACGCGGCCAGCACGGAATCGCTGGTGGCAAACGCGTCGTACTGCTCCGTCGCGCTCTGGTTTTGCTCGACGTGGCGGTCGTACGCGGGACAGTTGTCAAAGAAGCGCAGCTCGTGGTCGTCGCCTTTCGCTGCCACTTCGTAATGAATGGGCTGGTGACCCCCAAAAAACCCAAACGCAAATCTACCCAAGACTTATCAGGTTTCGACTTGCGAAACGTCGTACGACGTGGCGCTTTCTCGCGTGCGATCTTTCCACGTGTGCTCAAACGTAAAGCTCGACTTTGCATACGCTGATGGAAACGTCGCGGCGTACTTTTGTCGAATGCGGCGGCCCAGTCCAACCATCTCGGCCACTCCTGTCGCCGCCAACATGCCGCTCTCGTGGATGGGATAGTACGACTCGACCTGCCACGACTCTAGCCATGATGGCAGAGGTGGATGACGTGGGCCGATAGCTGCTGCTCGAAGTTTTGCACTCACAGCTCCAATGGCTTGTATCACTTTTGTGGTGGGGAACCTTGTGCCATGCCTCACGACCATGTTGATGTGCACGGGACTGCATGACGGTGGCAGAGGCGATTCTTCCGATGGAAGCTCCTGTGAATAGTACGGCGTCTTGGATCCTAGGCTCATGCTCCTCGGGTCGACTTCCGACGTAGATACCTCCAGCAGCAAGACGCAAATGGCATGGACGACCGCGATCGCTCGCATGATACAAATCTATTGCACATGGGAATCCGGATAAGGTATACGGCCAAAGAGATTTTATCCGAATGATAAACACAGTGATTACATGTGAACCTGGGGTAACTTCAAACTTGTCAGCAGTTGGGGATTTGAAAGGATGTGGTCCAACAAAGCTACGACGAAGGACTCGAAGGGTCTCCTTCCTGGACGCGCCACGTTTGGCCCGCTGTTTCTCATTGCATCAACACCAATCGCCGCGATCCTCTTCACCCACATCTTCGTCGCCGAGGGCGGAGAATGGTGGCCTCTTGCGGAGAAGTTCTCGTCACTCGGTGTGCTCCCAACCCTGCAAGCGATCTGGCCCAGCCCGTTTGATCCCACCGCGTGGCAAATCATCCTTACGTTCATGGCGATCCAACTGGCCTTGATCAAACTGGTGCCCGCGCCGACGGTGTACGGTCCTGTGACCCCCGGAGGCAACATCCCTGAGTACACGGACAACGGCTTCCGCAGCTACTTGATCACGTTGGCGTTGTTCGTTGGCGGTGCGTACGCGGGTCTGTGGGAAGGCGGATTCGCCTACACGCACATGCTGCACATCATTTCTGCGCTCAACGTGTTCAGCTTCGCGTTGTGCCTGGTTATTTACATCAAGGGATTGACGTTCCCTACGTCGTCTGACTACGGCGTCACAGGCAGTCCTCTGTTCGATTTCTTCAGCGGCATTGAGCTGTACCCTCGCATCTTCGGTACTGTCTATACCCATGCTTTGAACCCCTTCGTCGTCTTATCTTGACATGCCCAGGCTGGGACGTCAAGCTGTTCACGAACTGCCGTTGTGGCATGATGTTTTGGGGCGTCGGCATCGTCTCGTACGCGTGGAAGCAGTACGAACTGTACGGCTACGTGAGCGATTCGATGGCCGCCAGCGTCGCGCTGCAGTTGGTGTACGTGGCCAAGTTCTTCTGGTGGGAAGCCGGCTACATGCGGTCGATTGACATCATGCACGACCGCGCCGGGTACTATTTGTGCTGGGGGTGCCTTGTGTGGGTGCCTTCGGTCTACACGTCCCAAGCGATGTACTTGGTGCAAACTCCCATTACACTAGGCACGCCGCTCGCCGCGTCCATATTCTTGACCGGTGTTCTCATGGGTATATGCATTCCTGCGTATTACTACATACTACTAGTATGTACTAAGCATGAACTATGTTGTTAGTGTGGATCAACTACTCGGTGGACTTGCAGCGCCAAGAATTCCGCGCCACGAACGGCAAGGCATTGGTATGGGGCCAGAAGCCGACGTTCATCGTCGCCAAGTACACGACGGAGAAGAACGAGAAGAAGGAAAGCCTCCTCCTGACCTGCGGCTGGTGGGGTCTCTCGCGCCACTTCCACTACATCCCCGAGATCCTCGCATCGCTCTGCTGGACGTTGCCGGCGTGGAACAGCTCGTTCGTGCCGTACTTCTACGTGTTCTACCTGTGCATCCTCTTGACCGACCGCGCATTTCGTGACGACGCTCGTTGCCGCGCGAAATACGGACAAGATTGGTCCAAGTACTGCGAACGCGTGCCCCAGTTGATCATCCCTGGTGTGCTGTAATTTGTGCACCAAACACCCAACCAGCGTAATGATACAATCAAACTTGTGTTGTACTGGAGTACGTTCAACGCAGCCTAAGCAGCGCTTATATGTCCAAGGACGTCGCAGTGTGGCATGCCAACACCAGGCTGCACGTATACGTATAGCTCCCTCCATGCCCTTGTAGCCAAAGCAAAGCCACCCCGGGGTTGTTCCATGATGCGAAAATGGAGATAAGTGCTCCTAAGTGTTCGCCGAGACAATCGCACTTAATTGGACATTTTGTGTGAGGTGCATTTGGGTTGGTCGTTAGTCAGTTCTACGTCAACAGAGGCCAAACGATGGGAGCGCACGAGTCCCGCATCAAGGAAGACGACCACACCAAGCTCAACCAGGAGCAAGACAATGACAACCGTCAACCTGTCGTGCAAGTGCGTGTGTCGGCCGACCTCGTGAAGAGCCTGAAGGAGCCGCAGCAGAACACGGCCTCCAACACCCATGCTGCGACGTAAGTGGGTTGTTGTCAACCATGCGTGTTCCCGCGGCAACGAAAGATATTGGGTTGTTAGGTCCAAAGGTAGTATCTCCCTGGAAGAATCCGAGAAGCTCCAGAAGGAAGCATACTTGCGGGTAAGAGTGTACACAACGTGATCGGGAGATTCAACGCTCGAATCTGTATCCAGGGTTCCGAGGACGCGTACAAGCGCGTGGAAGCGGAAGCAAAGAAAAGCACGGCCAAGCCCGTGGACTTGAAGAAGCAAGAGGCCGAAGAGTTGCAGCGTGTGAAGCAGGTCGTGGACGAACTGAACCAGAAGCACTACAGGTACACACTTGGTGTTCACGGGAATGAGTGGCTCACTGATGTTGTCGTAGAGCACCTGTGAATGACGTGCAATGCTCAAAGGAGCGAGAAACGTGTTTGCAGTGCTATAGAGAAAGCGGAACGGATGTGCTCAAGTGCAAGGAAGTGTCGGATGCTTTTTTCCGATGCGCCGATGCCGCCACCACCGTACGTTCCTTTGATCGCCACATTGACATCGAATGACATGCTTTACCATGCATTTCGTGAGTAGGAATTCGTCAAGAAGTAAGGAATGTGGTCCTTCGCACCTCCATTGTTAGCCCACGAAGTAACAGCTAAAGCACCTTACTACTTGCAGTGTTTCCTTAGCTCGTACGTGACTGACGATGGCCAATGCTTGCAACTGGAATACTAATACCGTTATAGTATGAGAATAGTATGGAAAAACGTTAGTACTACCTAGTTTACTCACACGATTATACGTGAGCTTATGCTTAACTACAGTAGTATTCTCGATGGATTTCACAACTAAAAACAGTGAAATGGTTGTGTGGTGTTGAAATGGCTGGTTAGTATGTTGTTGATAGTAGGACCTCATTAGTAAATAATTGTCAGCTAGTGGCTCCACGGAAATCACCCCGATCTGCCTTACAGAGAGAGAGTCATAACTCATGAGTATCATACTCTGTGTTTGCATCATTCCTACTTTGTGTACATAAATGTACACAGGTAAGGATTACCTACTAATGAGTTAATTAATCTTCCAGAGCATTGGATTAATACCTATAATTCAAACTCCCGTCCGTGAAAACATTCTTCGTGACGTACTCTGATTGGATAAAATATAGACCCTCGTTAGTAGTACTACTGTAGTATTCACTTTGAACGAGATACCCGTACATACTGGTAGAGCTAACGAGAATCTACCTGATGTCACCCAGCAATGTATACATGCACACCGGACGCGATATAAAGTCCAAGAGTGGCCTCGGCATCCTAATAGGACAACAAACTTGCCTTTGAACGTGAGCGGAATGAACGCCGTCCTGGCCGCACGTTCGAAGGGATATACGGATAATATCCGGAATTCACTGATTCTTCAGACGTCCCAAAAGATCGAATAAGATCTGATGGAAACTTCATTTTGAACACTGACTGGCATGGTATTGTCCCCTATTTCGATGCAACCCAGCGCGTTGGCGGCGGTACTGCTTGTGGTGGCCGCGACCACCGAAGTGGACGCACTAGTCAACAAGTGCCATCAACGCCATCCTAACCGCACGGGTGTCGTCACGTCGCCCTTACCGCACCAGTACGTGACCGACTTGCCCAAGAATTTTGACTGGCGCAATGTCAATGGCACCAACTACGTCACTGTCTCGCGCAACCAGCACGTCCCCCATTACTGCGGGTCCTGCTGGGCGTTTGGTAAGACCTTTCTTTCACTTCTCCATATTTACCTCACGATTCTTCGCAACGCTAGCGGCAACGTCGTCCTTGAGCGATCGCCTACGCATCTACCGCGAACGCAACCCAGGCAAACACAGTCGTGTGGAAGTGACACGAGAAATCAACATTTCCCCCCAAGTCCTTTTGAACTGCGAGCTTGAGAGCCAGGGATGCCACGGCGGCGATGGCCTCAGCGCGTACCGCTACATTCATGACCACGGCATTCCCGAGGAAGGCTGCCAACGCTACCTGGCGACCGGCCACGACGTGGGGAACACTTGCACCCCCATCGACATTTGCCGCAACTGCGACCCGTCCAAAGGCTGCTTTCCCCAAAAGACGTTCGACAAGTACTTTGTGTCCGAATTTGGTGAAGTGAAAGGAGAGAACGAGCTCAAGGCCGAGATCTTTGCACGCGGACCCATCGTGTGTGGGGTGGCCGTGTCCAAGGAATTTTTGGATTACTCCGGCGGCATCATTGACGACAAGACAGGCGCCACGGACATTGACCACGACATTTCGATCGTCGGGTGGGGCGAAGACGAGCACGGGACGCCGTACTGGGTCGGACGCAACAGCTGGGGCACGTACGTTCATTCTTGTGCCTTTGAAATGGATGGCTGACGTGAACTGATGCATCTTACCATTAGGTACTGGGGTGAAGACGGGTGGTTCCGCCTCCGCCGTGGCAACAACAACCTGGGCGTCGAATCCGACTGTCAATTTGGCGTGCCCTCCAACGACGGATGGCCCAGCGTCACACCTGAGTCTGATTCTGAGTCTTCTGAGTCTGCCGCGATGGTCCACGCCCCTGTGTGGTCGGCCTTCAAAAGCCCCGCCGACGCCGACTCGACTCGCATGTGTCGCGCAGCGGCCGTCCATTTCCCCAAGGGCGAGAAGATCCTGACCGCGCTGCCCCACGAGACGCTCGACGCGAGTGCGCTGCCCAAGGCGTGGGACTGGCGCGACATCAACGGCGTCAACTACGTCACATGGGACAAGAACCAGCACATTCCGCAGTACTGCGGCAGTTGCTGGGCCCAGGGCACGACCAGTGCCTTGTCGGATCGCATTTCGATCATGCGAAATGGTACGAACCAACCAAACCATCATCCTCCATCTTGTTTTCATGGGGACATGCCGCGTAGCCACGTGGCCCGAGATCGCATTGTCCCCACAAGTGGTCATCAATTGCCACGGCGGCGGGTCCTGCCAAGGCGGCAACCCCGGCGCCGTCTACGAGTTTGCACATGATAGGGGGATCCCCGACCAAACCTGCCAGGCGTACCAAGCCAAGGACGACACATGCTCAGCCCTCAACATTTGCGAAACGTACGTTGCCATCGTACTATTCGTGCTGAGATGGGTTTCCATGTCACTTTGCCCTTGTGCTGACGAAAAGTTCAATGTGAAAGGTGCTGGCCGTCGAACTCGTCGTTCACACCTGGTGAGTGCCGCGTCGTGCCGACGTTCACGAGCTACTACGTGTCCGAGTACGGCCACGTGCGCGGCGCCGACCACATCAAGGCGGAAATCTACAAGCGCGGCCCCGTCGGCTGTGGTATGCATGTGACCGACAAATTTGAGGCGTACGCGGGTGGCATATACTCGGAGAATGTGCTGTTTCCTATCCCCAACCATGAGATTTCGGTCGCCGGATGGGGGTTTGACGAAGAGACGCAGACCGAGTACTGGATCGGACGAAACTCGTGGGGCACGTACTGGGGCGAGAACGGCTGGTTCCGCATTCAGATGCACCACCACAACCTTGGTATCGAGAACGACTGTGACTGGGGCGTGCCGATTCCAGACGGGTCCAAGCCCCCTTTGACCAACTAACCCAAACAGATGTCGTTCTACCATTTTGGTTAATTGAACTAAGTACATCGTAATGCAGTCACGATGCCTGCGATTCAAGCGAAATATAGTCAACTATAGTGTCTCTGACGCAAGAATGAAGTTACAAGTGAAACATTATTCATGCATGTACTACTACTACAGCTAGAACCGGTCGATTACACGACCAACTATGTGCCGAGCTCATACAAATGGGATATGTAGTCGTTCGCCACTTGATTTCGTGTTCGAGTATCCCCATCCTAGGTTAAGAGCGTGCTGGTCAAAGCAACTACAGTACGTAGTTCGACTAGTAACTTTTTAGCTCAATATATTAACTCCCCTACGGGGTAAAGCAAGGAAATGACCGCAGATTTGGGAGCGAGTCCATGGCCGCCATGGCTCTGAGAAATGGCTCGTTCACATTGAGCCACGTCTCGTCCAGCAGTCCCTCCGTCGTGGTCACGCGCGTGTTGGACGGGTTGAACTGGTAGGCGGACTCGGGGTTGAGCGCCCAGAGGTACCCGCCAGCGTACCCCGGTTGCTTCATGATCTCAATCAGCGCTTCCGTCGCGCGTTGGGTCGTCTTCATCGGATGCAAGTCCTGCGAGTACAACCCGCCAAACTCGCCCATCACCAGAGCCCCTTCTTGGGTTTTGCGCAAGTGGCCAAACATGTGCTCCGAAGTCGCTTGGACCCGAAGTGCTAGCGTTGCATCGTCGAGCTCTTCGTAGTTGATAATGGTGTCGCCGGCACGGGTGCCGCTCTTCAGGTAATACAGCTGCGGGTACACGGCCGGGTTGTAGTAGTGCGGGGCGTACACAACTTTCGATTCCAGCCCGAGCTCCACGGGCTTGTCGCCCGCCTCTTCGAGACCCCCGCCCCACCAGTCTGAAAACGCAAACGATTTCCCGTCAATGGCGAGGGTGCGGGGGGCGTTGATGCCTTCGACGAACGCCAGCCACGTCGGACACTTGGACAGCATGCGGTTGCCGATGCGTTGGGCCATGAGCTGAAAGTCCGTCGCGGTGCCGTCGCCCCACGTCGCCAAGTGGGGCTCGTTTTTCAGGTCCAAGCCGATGATGTTCCAGTGCTTGGCGTTGCACAGCTGGGCGGTCAACACGTCGACGGCATCGAAGAACGCGGTGGCTTCCGTCGGACTCGTCCATGGCAGTCCGCCAGATTCAAATGGCGTCAGCGTGTGCATGTCGAGCAGCACCGAGATGTTGCGGAACGCCAGCGTTTGAACGATGCTCGACAGAGCCGACATGTACGTGGACGCGTTGATAGCTTTGTTCTCCTGGATGTTGATCACGTCTTGTTGTGGCTTTTGGTTGGTCAGGATGTGCGACACACACAGCGGCAATCGCACGCTGTTGAACCGGTTCTTGGCCAGAAACCGAGCCACTTCGTACTACAGCATCAAACATTATTATATTGCCAGCATTCTCGAATTTGAGAACGACAAGACATGTTTACGTACGACGGTGGTGCCGTTCATGTCGTTGGCCCACAGCCCAAACGGGATGGCGAGCCCTGTTTCCATGCCAAACCAATTGATGCCTTTGATCCCCAAGGCCACTTCTTCGCCGCGCGGGCCGACCGCAAAGATCTTGCCTTGCTTTGACTTGTAATTCGGCATTGCGCACTCTGCCCAAATCACATGAATATCTCACTCACAAGGCAACAAAAGGGTACCTCGATTGGCATAAGTCGCGGGGTTGCGCAGGGTTCCGTCTTCGCCGCCACCGTCCCCTCCTTCACTCCCGTCGTCTCCCCCGATAGAAAATCGTTTTCCCATGCGTGAATTGAAGTCGCTGCGTCGACTGGCCATGGCGTTGTGGGCTTTCCAACTGTACACTGTCGTGAGCACCACACCAACCACAGCTAACACCACCAGCAAGGCAACTCCAGGCCAAATCTACCACAGCAACCCATTACGCGGAGCGACATTTGGAAGGGCAAACCAGGTAACGGCCTCTGTATTGCGACTCGTATTCCCGCTTGGTGCGGGGGATCGTGGGCAGCGATCGCGGCACTTCCTCTCGATCCGACTCCACGTCTCCATGACACTCAACTGCAGACGCGCCGTCCGATGTCCGAGCTACAGTCACCTCCACCGTCATCGGATAATATCCAAATCTGGTCGACGATTGCCATTGGATTCAATCGCAAAACGACTGGGCTATTTATAGCCCACATTATTCTTCTATTTTTAGCACCGAAACCGCTACGTCGAGTGAGTGCCACTTACTACTGTAGTAGTTACAAAGCCAAACCTCGCTCCAAAACGAGCCATGTTGTACTGACCAACCTCACGTCGTGATGAAATACGTATGAACGCCATTCGCGTGTTCAATGCTGGATGTCAATGGCGGGAAGGTGCTAATGAGATTTGATACTGTAGTCTTGCTGTACTGCAGTGAAAATTGCCCATGGACAGTATTCGGTACGATTCACTCGAAAGTAATATGTTCCTATCGTCAAGGTATACTGTAGCCCCGAAACAGAACTGTCAGGAACCTAAGCCATGCTTGCATCTTGTGGTAGCCCTGCGATAGTCTTCCAAGTGGAACTTTAACCAGTCGTCGCGCGCCCCTGCAAAATGTCGAAGGATTCGTGTCATTCTTCGATAAGGACGGTCGTGTTATTTCAGCTTTGATGGCGACAAGTCCCCGTGTAACGAGCCCCCGCGCGGAGCCCGATGAGGATGAAAACCAGCCCCGCAGCCCCTCCGAGTATAAGCGATACTCTAGCTCGAGCATCTTGACAGATTCGTCACAAGAAGACTCCTCGTCCGACGTGCAAGTGCCGGCTTCGACAGGGGCCAAGGGCACGAAGCAGCACAAGGGTGGCAAAACTGCGCAAGAGCGGAAGAACCAACCCACCGCTGGGAAGTGCTTCAAGGTATGTCCGACCCATCAACATCGATAAGACTGATGCGAACCGGTGTAGTCGTGGTGGAAGCAGGTTCTGTTCATTGTCGTAGTGGTCGGGAGCGTCGTAGCTGGCACGGTGATTGTGATTTTAAAACTCGTGCAGCAAAAGGACTCTGCGAACTCTGGTTTTAACGGCAATGGGTACTTTCCCATCCCCACGGCTGAGGTTGATTCGCTGGCGCAAACCGCCGGTCGCATTGCCGATGGGACGTCTGTGACGTCGGAATCACTGCCCCTTGGAGTCAACCCCACCAAGTATCCGCTACAATGTACGCTTCAACCTTTACCCCTGATCTGACGTTTTGCTTAGCCTGCAAATTGCCGCAATACACGACTTCAGGCGGCAAGATCTTTGTCCAAGGCCCCAATAGCCTCCCGCAGCCGATATCTATCAAAGGCATCAGCTGGTACCAATGTTGTCTAACTCCAACAACTCTGATGAACATCATCGTGATTATTAGGGCGGGCATGGAAACGGCAGATGCCATCCCAAGTGGGTTGTGGCATACTCCCAACAATGGCACCACTGTGGTAAGTTGTTTTCGTCCTGCCTGGCTAACGAGAGCTAACATTTTGCCTAGTTTCAACTGGCTGCCTTTCTCGCACGCAACAACTTTAACAGCGTGCGCCTTCCATTGTGCATTGAAAGCATCCTCAACGACCGCCGCCCCAACCCAGACTTGATCAACACGGCAGCCAACCGAGCCATAAACGTCCAAAGCTACACCGGACTATTGTCTTCTATTATCCGCGCCCTGGCGTTCCGCAAGATCAGCGTATTGCTCGATTTGCACACGCTTACCCCCACGGACGCCGGCGGGTCGTGGACCAGCGACAACCTCAGCGAAATCTCGTACTTGGCCGCGGTGGATGTCCTCGCCACAAAACTATGCAACGACCAGCACTGGAATGTGATTGGCATCGACTTAAAGAACAAGCCGTACGCTGCCACGTGGGGGGACAATGGTCCGAACGACTGGGCTGTCGGGGCCCCCAAGATCGCCAATCGCATGCTCAAGGGTTGCCCGAATTGGCTCGCGTTTGCGCAAGGCACGGTGTCCAAGCACACACTCCGGTCCGACGACAACACGCAAGTATTTTCGTACACGGATTGGTGGGGGGGTGGGTTGCAAAACGAGGCGACCGCGCCTTTGAAATTGAGCATCCCAAACAAACTTGTGTACGCGCCCCACTACTATTCCCCGGTACGAACTCCCCACCACATCAAGTACGAGTGTATAAGCCGGCCGACCTGACATGTTGTGGATGATCGTAGTCGGAATACCCTCAATCGTACTTTGTGCTCAATGGCATCCGAGACCACGACCTCATGGTCGGTTACACCGAGTACACCAACGAAACGCTCAAGCGGCGCGTAACCGCCACGGCCGCCGACATGTTTGGATTCTTGACGCAGTACCAGCAAGGGGCGATTGTGTTGGGCGAGTTTGGCGGGTTGTACACCAAGGATGCGTTTGCCAACTTGACCAACCGTCGCGTGATTGAGCTGACGATGGACGTGGCGTCCCAGCCAGGGTATGCGGGGGGATATGTTTGGGGGCTAAACCCCGAGACGACCTATGAGTACAACCCTTCCGACACCAAGGGCTCGTGGAGCGAAGGGCTAGTGGACGAGACGTGGGCGACAGCCAATCAACCGTTCTTGACCGCACTCAAGAAACTGGACGCGTTGCCGAATTTGCAGCCATGGCCGTGTCTAACTTAGTTGATTTGTATGTCGAAGTACTACTTCGTAACGTTGATAAACAAAGTCCGATGGCCCGTATATACATACTGTACATTCGTTCCATTGTTTGCATAGCCGTGGTGCGCAGGTTGACATAGATATTGTTCGATCATCGAAAGTGAAGCATATGGAACCGAAGGGACAATTCTTCGACGACTGTTGCACATATAGGATATCGTTTGACAGACTGCAATTATGTCGACGACCCCACGACACAATGTGGCGAGGATCGAGTCTCTGGAAGCCCCCGTTGATTACTCGCGATTAGACTCGTCCTCGGCGCTGGTACAAGATGAAGACGAATCGAAAGAAGACGACAACAACGAAGGGGGTCAGGTAGCCCTAAACGACGTTGCCGACACCAATTCGATTTCATCGCGTTGCCCCAATACGTGTCTCGAGGTACTGCTTAGTAATTTGACCCTCGATTTTGTTGTACACGTGAACTATATAGAGTGCTCATGAGCTTCTGTAGTCGCGACGAACCAAAGCCATCCTGCTGTTTGCCCTCACGGTGTTGAGTATCGGCGGCGTGGCGGCCGTGGTCTTGGTTTTGTTTGGCACGAAGGGCGACGCTGCAAGCCATTCCTCGGCGAATGGCTCCCAAACATCCCTCACGACTGACACCTCCACCAACGTGCCTTCTGTGACGCCATTTGCCACATCATCCAGCATTCCTTCCATCGCCATCCCTACAACCACCACTCCGTCCACGATCGTCGCCCCTTCAACCACTCCCCCCGTCACGGAGCCCATCACTTCAACGTCCGCCCCATCGATGACGCCATCGATGTCCCCTCCCTTGACACCCAACATCGGTCGGATTCTCGATGGCACGAGTGGAACGTTGCCTACCGAAGAAACCAACCCGACGAGCTTTCCAGATCGAGGTTCAAAGTCTCCGCGACTATCGATAGAGTATGCAGCATAGACGGCTCAATCCGTTGTAGGGTGCAAACTGCCCAACTACCGAAGCCACGACGGCCAAGTGTTTATTCAAAACAGCGCGAGTGGGGTCGAAACCCCCGTAGCGATCAAAGGCATCAACTGGTTTGGCTTGGACACGGCGGAAAACGTGCCGTTTGGTCTGTGGGCCAACGACCAGAATGGCACCAACATCGTACGTTTGTTTTCCGTGTTTTTTATCCTTACGATGTTTGTTTCTGCGTGGTATGGCAGTACGAGATTGTATCGTTCCTGGCGCGACACAAGTTCAACAGCATCCGCCTGCCGCTAAACGTGCGTGGTATCTTGGCGAATGGGCCCACGAACGAAAACCTCGTGAATACGTATTGGAGTCCGAGCGTGAACCTCACGACGTACCTTGGCACGGTCAGCTCCATCGTGCACGCATTTGGGTCTCGCGGAATCTCCATTCTCCTCGACTTGCATTACTTGTCCCCGACCGACAAAGGTAGGTTTTGTACCCTCGTTTCAATCTCAAGTTTCATTGTTGTCTTTAGGAGATGCGTGGTTTAGCGCAACAACTCCCGAAAGCAACTCGCTGGCGGCCATCGACGCGTTGGCGACCACGTTGTGCAACGACAGGCACTGGAACGTTCTGGGGCTGGATTTGAAGAACGAGCCGTGGGATACGACGTGGGGTGACAACGGGGCGCGAGATTTCAAAGTCGGGGCAGCCACGCTGGGCAACCGCATGCTCAAGCGATGTCCGCAATGGCTGGCGTTCGTGGAAGGAAATGCCAAGCCGCACACGATCGACATCAAAGGCCAGCGCTTCGAGTACTACGACTGGTGGGGTGGGGGGTTGCAGAAAGCGGGCGACTTCCGCTTGGCGTTGGATGTACCGGCCAAGATCGTATGGGCCCCCCACTACTACAGTCCGTCCGTCTACCCCCAGACATACTTGGTCAAGGACGCCACGCGCGGCAAGGACGTCCTGTACGGGTACTCGGAGTGGACCGACAACGAGTTGAGCGACATCGTGCGGGCCACGTCGGAAGACATGTTTGGGTACCTACGTCATGTCCAAGACAGCGCGATTGTGTTTGGCGAATTCGGGGGGCTGTACGCGCTGGACGCACATCCACTGAAGACGTCCCGGCGGGTGATCCAAGATTGCATGAAAGTGATGAAGGAGCCAGGGTACGCAGGGGGATACATGTGGTCGTTGAACCCCGAGAGTGGCTATGCATTCAACCCCAGCGACACGGCCGGGTATTGGGAAGAAGGGCTGCTCAAGAACGACTGGGTCACGGTGAACATGGAGTATTTGCACGCACTGGAGATCCTCGACGACATGCCAAACCTCCGTAGCTTTCCCTGCTTCACTTAACTAAATCATGTATGTCTTCCTGTTACACAACATCGAGGCAGAGTCGAGGGAAATGCCGCAATTGGCGTCAACTATGTTGTTGGTTCACCAAACTGCACTTCACAACCAACTTTGGAACTCGAAAACAACAGTCAATCGGAGTACAGTAGAAGCAGGGGTTAGTATTTGGACGATCACAAAGTTCGCTCGGACAAAGCGCTCGTTACCCTTCTTAAGGTCGCGAACCGAGGGGTCCTTTGACCAAAACGATATGGATTTCTGAGTGATACTGACTCGGTGTGATGATTACGACTTCACAAAGCACACGGTCATTAGGGTTTGCATCAAGTGCCAACCACAGCACGTTGTGTGTCGCGCCTTTGGTTCCAAGAGTATACCGAGGAGATATAACATAAAACCTGCCCTTCTAGCCAACAAACACCACATCATTCTCACCCATCATGCATGCCCCATCACGATCAGACTGTCTGGATGTCTGAGAACCTGACATTCTCGGGAAATGCAGAAGTCCACTAAGCCACCCATAATTCTAGAATATCCCCCCTGAACAAAGCAACCGTTGCCCTCCATGACGAACCGAGGCGTGGGGGCGACCGAGGGCTGGCTGCAGCTCATGCGCAACTCGCGCTTCCCTTTTTCGACCCCTTCCCCACCCACGCCCCCCCACCAACTGGGGCAATGACACCACGGAGCGCCAAGCTCGGGTTTTGTATCAGTTTTTCGGCCGGGAAGTCAAGTACACGGCCACCGCCACGAGCTAGAACCAACTGCTGGCCGACGTCGCCCAAGCCAACGTCACCAAACCCGTCATCCGCAAGCAGATTGTGCACAAGTACTTTCCACCGTACAACATCACCCAACTGCAGCAGGAGCTGGTGTGGGACCAGCAGGGCAAGTTCTGCAGCACCTAGGTCGGTTCGTCCGTGAGTTTTGAGAATGTCCTGGACGTTGTCGTGTACAATAACAACCTCATCAAGCGCGTGCAAGTGCTGGAGGACTAGCTTCCAGTAGCGATCAAGGTATGGTAGGTAGATGGTAATTTGTAATAGAACTGAAGTGTCAACGGACCCCCACACGTGAGCGACGAAGGAATGGGCACCGAGAAACCATGGATGACCCAACAGTACATATGCAAAAATTGGCTTTTGAACGGAGTCAAATTGCCCCCGTAGACATTTGCAGATCTGGCCTCATGAGAAGTCGACATGCAAGAATTGTCTCCCCATCAACCGGCTTCCATCCACCGAAGCACATCATGCATGTCATGGCCGATGGCTAGATTCGTGCATGTGTTGTTTGATTTCACATGTCTCAGGCACGACAATTAAGAAAACAATTGCGGTCGTTTCAGAATTATTAAAAGAAGGTGGTCAGTTTAGCGATACTTTGGCTTAGTTTGAGGCGTTTATGGTCATCATAAGCAAGCGCAAGGGCCGCGACGGTCCAGCTTCTGGCAATGCTGTTTATTGCAGGGACCCTAGCCTTCAATTGGGAATTGGATGGAGCAATTTGTACATGTGAGGATTTCACTTCCCTCGAATATTATTCACTCGGTATTAATAATAGAATTGGGATTTAAAATAATCATCTACCCCTCAGAACAAAGTCAAGCACACTGATCAACAAGGCGAATGGACGAGCACTTGGAGATCCACCTCTTGGCCAACCGCACTGTGACAGACGACTCGACTGGCAAGACGATCAAGTACACCAACTACACGATCTACATCAAGAATGTGTCCACGGGCCAGAAGTACTCTGTCCAGCGACGGTATTCGCATTTCTACGAGCTACGCAATCAACTCGTGGCCATCGTGAATTGGGGCCATTGTCCATTCTGCAGCCATTGCTGCTCCGTCGTCAAATCGTATCCGTTCCCAAAGCGAACTCCGCTGTCTTGGCAACTGAGCGTGGTCCAGGAACGGATCGACGGCCTCGCGCTCTTCCTCAAGGTCATCTTGCGCGACCTCCTCGGTGGCGCGTTTCGACAGTGCACCCATGCCGACACGAATATCCGCCACAACGTCATCCGGTCGTTCCTCGAAATCGACGAGCAGCACTTGATGCGGCGTGTGCCGAAGGTGCCGGAAGTCAAGGTCGAGCGCATTCGGTCGTACTTGGAGCCGCAGCGCACGACCCCAGACATCACCCCCAAGCGCAAAGTAGCTGCCGACACATGTCCTTCGTGCATGTCCAAATGGATTGACTGCTACTGCAACGACGACGAAATGTTTCCCGAGCGAATACAAGAAATGGAGTCGCCAACCAAGTAGTCCATCCGCCCAACCTGTCACGACGTTAGTACCATAATGTTGCTATCGTGAGAATGTGTCAGGTTTGAGTTTCAGCTGTGAATTCAACCTCACGACACTCAACAACATATATACAGTCAGCCTGGATGCAGTCAAGCTGAGCTGAACAGCATATGCATGTAGAGTGAACTTGCTGCAAAGGGCATCCCGCCTACGGCAATGTGAGCGAATGCGGATATTAAAGGGGGGGTTGATATAACTATAAATCGCAATCAAAAGGTAAAAGTCTCACCAGGCGGAAATAGTAAGTGTACCCTTGACAGCTTATTAGGATATGTATTTGATCCAATCAATATATGAGACGTGGTTACGTGCTACAGGTACTACTAGTGGTCCGACGGCAGGGTACATGGCCACTCACAAACTTGAATTGCCTCCATACTGCTAACAATCCAACGACAATCCACCGACGTGTACCACTCTGTAGCATTCCGTCATTCGAAAGGATGTGGAGGTGCATATACATCCAAGCGGATGCTAGCCGCGAGATTGCACGACCCAGGTGCTGGGCAGTCGACTTGGCTCGAGTCCTTTGCCCAGCATGTTCGAATGCGAGCCAGTTGCCCATTGGAGCAATCAATTTGCACCCCACGGCGGTACAGTTGGGCGATGTCTGCTCCAGACACTATGGCCGATTCGGTAGCAGCCCACGCGTGGATTTGTGACGTGGCAGCGCCGACTGTGTCCGCCACCGCCATCGCCGCCGTGAAGTAGCGGGCGGCGGCCGTGTTGAAATCCTCGCCCGCGCTGGCGTAGCAGAGACCGTGTTTCTGAAACTCGTGGTTCCACAACTCACAGAGGGCATCGTCGCGGGGCTGTGTCGGGTCGCTCCAGCGCTCAGTCATGGATCGAACCAAGCCCGGGTGCTGAGCGCGGAAGGCGAGGGGATCGAACGGGTTGTTCCGAATGACAGAGCTGACGTTGCAACAAGAAGGGTAGCCGCCGTCGTAATTGGGCCAAAGGCCATGGATTGACAGAATCGACCGCACCGGAGCGAGACACCGAATTCCACTTGGATAGGGTGCCACTGGACGATGCGCGACGGTGCTGTCGATGCCGTCGAGGAGATCGCGGCAGTATTGGGGAAGGAAGATCTGTTCTAGTATCAACGTATCATAGTCCCCTGGCTCCTGTTTTTTGTCAATACAGTCCGTGGTGTTTACGAAGCAGGTTGGAGTTGGGGATGATTTGGTGCAGATGTCGACGCACTGATTTCTCTGAGGAAGTATCCATCCCCCGGGATAGTCGATGACATCTCCAGACAAAGAAATTTGCGAAGTCGTCGAGGCGCTCCATACCGGCGCTTTAGTCACCACTCCTTCGACGCCGACATGAAGTGAATGCGCCACCGCTGAGTAGATCCATGCCCGCATGATCGCAATGGGCAACCGGATTTACCATCGTGCGATTGGGAGTCAATCACCCAATCAGATTGCTGGAAATATTTTCGATGGTAGGAACATAAACATGCTTTATATATGATACTTATTACTTGATTAAATTATTGTATTATTAAAACAAGTATTAAAGTCTCCACATATTGCACCTTACCTATCACAAAACTTCAATTCAAGCGTTGTCTCATTCATGAGGAAGAAAGGGGAACACGTTGCAAACACTCAACGGCGGGCCTTCTCGCAGAGCGGCAACCCGGGAAGTTGCTGCGTGAAGCATGGTAATGATAGTTACATAGTGTCGACGGCTTTAATGCGAAAGCGACAGTCACATACGCGTCGTTGACTTCAATGACGTGTGGCAATAGGAGGTGGACAAAAGTTTACTAGACAACAAGTGACGAATTCAATCTAGTGGTCATCCTTGTCGCAATGTTCTTGGTACGCGCTTTCGTCCAGCAAGTCGGAAGTTTCGCTGACATCGTCAAGCTCAATCTTGATGAACCAACCAGTGGTTTGGGGACCGTCGTTCACCAAACTGGGTTCACTGGTCAAGTCTTCGTTGATTTCAACGACCTTGCCAGAGGCGGGGGCATACACGTCACTGGCAGCCTTCACGGATTCGACCGAGCCGAACACTTCGCCCTTGGTCACTTGGTCGCCGATGGCAGGCAATTCAACGTACACGACATCACCCAACGCGTTTTGGGCAAAGTCGGTAATACCGATGGTGGCTTGGTTGCCGGCGATGGTGAGGTACTCGTGCGAAGGCGCGAACTTGGTGGTGAAGCATCGGCGGGAGAACGCGGACGCGGCAGGCGCACGGGCAACGGAACGGAGCACACGGGACAACATGACTGGAAATGTGGAAATGGATGGCATCAAATCTTCTCCAACCTGCTCACTTCATACGACCAATAAACCTGCGAAACATAATACACGTGATTGCCGGATGGTGCGTTGAAATAGAATAGTGCAGAATTTTGTGAACCAGAATTAGCTTCTATTTTGTATTCCCCAATAGTATTAATATTACAACGACAGCTATCCGGATAATTGTCGTGGCTCTTGACCAACCAAACAAAGGCAAAATTGAGAATGAACTCTATAAAATTTCGCCAGGTGTGGAATGGAAACGCAAACGTTGCATGCAAAATGGACGGTGAGGACACTTTCCCAGTGGAAACGGAGCCATTCAAAATGCTGAACTGAACCTGTCATGTGAAATAATTCCTAACGACCAAGATGCGTCAGGTATGGCTGAATTGGGATATTGGTATGTGACTTGTTTTGACACTTTGAGAATTTCGATGCACCAATTGAATTGTTGGACTTGCCTGTATCATCGAAACCTCTTATACATAATACAATATGGTGCACCATACGACATTCACAATAAAGAACTGTGTCTTCCATTGTCCGTGCACTTTTCCCGCATCAACTGCTTCAGCTTGCCGCTACATTGACGCAAGTTTGATCCTTTAAACATGGCATTTCCTCGTGGAACTGAACGAGCGCTGCTAGCAACACAAGAATTTCAGTCCGACTGGTAAGTTATGTCTGGTAAAAAGTGCGCCGTACTACATCGAATCTCACGATCCACAATATTGATTGGAAGCTCAGTCAACATTAATTGTCACGACTATCGAATTATAGAGTTAATTCAAGATACCAGGTTTTTTCAAAAGATCGTTTCCAATTATATCTTCGAACGACGCAGTTTCGTCGGTGTCGGCACTGACAACGCTTTGTGTCGTCGACATGAAGGTGCAGCATCCGGCGTTGACCTTCGTTGTCGTCCTCCTGTTGTGCTTGCAAACCTCTGCGCTTGCTCTTGATGATGTTGGCAATGTCGTCCAAGTACCCCAGGTGACATCAGAAGCCTTGGCCGAAACAACCGAGGACACGTCCCTGCAGGTGGCAGCTGAGGCAGAAGAAACACAATCGTTGAGCATCGGTTCTGGGGTCATATTCGTGGCTGGCGTAGCCATGCTCGGCATCATCGGCTACGTCGTATACCGTCAACACCGTCGAAATGTGGCCAAAGAACACGACAACCAGCTCATGCAGTCGCTCCTCGACAGCGAAATGGACTACGCAGCCATGTAGATTAAGGCCACCCCAGTGTATATTATAATTGCAAAACACCCTAAAGGACTTTCATTTATTATCGTTTGTGTTTGGGGCTTTGACAGAGCAGCAGTGTGTCATCTTCGTTCTGGCAGTCGTCGTCGCGTTGGTTGCCTGGCGATTGAATCGTCACAAACGTGCTCTTGGCCGGGCCCTTGTCAATCGAAGTGTGCTTTGGCTGACCATTCTTGGCCAGCGTCTGGGCCATGATGAGCCCAAACACGACGCCCAAGAGCAGCCCCACAAACACAAACAGCACGAGCGCTTTGAAACTCACTTGGGTGTCCACGTCCTCGTCATTGCCGACGTCGAACGATTCGGATTGGACAGGTTTTACCGCCACTGCACAGATAATTATTTAGTCGACACATATACATACATGTATGTGTGTATCCACACTACTACCTTTCAACGACGCCGCGCAGATGGCTTTGTCTGTCGCGAACGCAGTCATGTTCGTGAACACGTCCAGGGGGCACAACTTGTCGTCTGCAACAAGACAATTCAATCGTGTTATATGGTGCAAAGAAGCAATAGTCAACGTTGGACCTTGGCATCCAGGTACGGTCAACGGTTGTCCTTGGTACACGAACCGAACGAAATGGGATCCCGAGTTGTTTTCATACAACTCAAACGACAGGTACGCAGCGTACGGAGGCCAATCTTGCAGCCATTGGCTGCCCCCCAAGGCCGCGAGCAGAGGCATCACCGTGTCGTCGTGGCCTACTTCAAGTTGTTCACCACCTATCGGACCAACCACAGCAACTAACTCGTACCTGAATACAAAGCAAACCGACTAGTATTGGCGCCACCACGCACCCGCAGCAGCATGCGATTCCGAATCGCGAGCATCACCTTGGCAATGCTGGCTTTGGCGTACACTGCGTCCGAGTCGACGTAGATCTTCATGCGCTTGTCGCGTTCGTACGTGACGATCTGGTCGTAGTGCGATGACGACAGCAAGTGCGGAAGACTCTGGGGCTGGCTGCATCGCGAGGTGACGAGGCAATCAAATAGCATGCGCGCGTCGTAGGATTGAAACGTCGCTCTAGTCAAGTCCACCACGGCCGACTGGTTGGCCATCCACGCGACGTAGCCAGGACTGGCCTCAAACTGCGCTTTGATTTCGACCAATTTCGGACATGCCGTCGGGTTCGGCACGTACGACGACAGCGCGATGTCGCCCACGTGCCACGGCACAACCGCGGAGGACGATGGCGGCGGGAACATGGCATCCACCACAAGCTACGATGATAAAAAGGTGGGCACACCTGAGGAAAGGGTATGAGAATCATGAGGAAAGCCATACCTGGCCAGACATGACCGTTCGATGCATGTCGGTGCTGCTCAAGAAGATGTCTACAAGTCGAAATGACGAGATGATCATCAATCACCACATGGGAATGTCATGATGACAACCGAACCGTCAGGATTCGAGAGATCCGCGGGGTTCGAGGCGGGGAACAGAGCGCCTGCATCGATGTAGGCCGTGCGAAATGTACTGGACATGTCCATGAGGTTGGCTAGGGAGAGTCATGGGACGTACCGTCCGTTCTGGAATTCCTGTGCGTATCCTTCGTCCAGCAATTGGCCCACGTGGCAGTTGCCCTTGAGCTCCGTTTCGCCTTCCATGTATCGCATCTCGTATACGTGATGGGGGTTGCTGTCGCCGTCTAGCTGAGGACTCTGTCGTACACGGAAACGTTCAGCACGAGTCGTAGGCTCATGATAGCTGTACCACTCGCATTTTGGCGTTACACGACCACGTGACGTTGTATCCTGTCCAGCATGACGAGCGAGCCGCCAACGTACGAGCTCCATGACGCATGACGATTTGGACTTGCTGGAGGGTGTACTGGTCGGGATTGTCGAGCGGCGCAATTACATTTTGCTCGACATGCTTGGAGCAGTACGCGTAGTCGGCGAAAGCTTCAGTTGCAGCCACGCGATGTCCTGCTGTGAGGCAAAGGTAGACAGCCCACGCTTTCATGTGCAGGAGATGTCCTCTTCGAGCACGCACGATCTTTACTTCCTTACATTCCATCTTGTGCTGGCACGGCGCTAAAGATTTGATGACTTGCATGTGGTATTTTTCCGTATGGTATTTTTATTTATTCGTCACTCAGTATACAAAATGGCTGTCAGAATTAATCATGCGTTTCTAAAGTGTCAACCTCACCTACAGGATATTATAATACATCCTCAATAGTTATTAAATTCATAGGACGACTGTGATTGGCTACAACTTGTTTAGCTCCAGCCAGTCGTGGGCGAGCTTCACAAAAACAATCATGCAAGTGCCGTCACCAACAGGAACATCGTGGACCGTCACACCAACGTCACCTCAAGAACGAGCGATCGATGGGCCAGCGCCAATCGTAAAGGACAAAAACTACCTGTACTCGGGTCGTAAATCCTTTGCGGTATGGTTGGACTGGACCGAGTGGCAGACAGTGTATGCCGACGTGTTTGCTAGTGAATTGAACCTCCTCGACGACGGTTCGGACTCGCCCCACACTAGAAAACTTCGAGCTCTTTCGTACATGGCTGCATGGCGAGCGCGGAGCGATGTGCCTGTGGCCGTAGAAGTCACTGCGCAATTGGTCGAGATCAGCTGCCACGACAGTCTGCTTGGCTTGGCGCTGCCTGGTCGATCGGCGTATCGATCCCACGAAGAACTGCGCCTGCTGTACAGCGCCACCGTCGTTCGATGCGTAAACGGCCTCGTGGATGCATCCCAGCGAGGCGCGTACGCCCAAGCCGTGAGTTCGCTGGCGTTGCGCATTGGCATTCCGCTCTGGATCGTGGACATTCGCCACGAAGCTGCACACACTAAGCTTCCATCGCTGCCGACTTTGCAGTTAGCATGCCAGACCCTTCGTCAATGGCTGTTTGAACACTATTGGCATCCCCAAGACGCAGCAATCAAGCAACGGGTAGCTCAGGTTGGGTCGGCGCTCTCGCGGCGATTGCGTACGTGCTTACTAGTTGATGAAACAACGACAAATCTTGACGACATGGGTAGATTTCAACGAGCCACTGCGCCAGTTGCTTGGGCTGGATGTGGCGACATTGAGCGGAATTGTGGTGCCGCTTCTGGTCCAAGGCCACCAGTATGGCGAGAGGGTTTCCTCCGGTACGGCACTCGCTGGGTTGATAGCGCTGAACCTGGATGTAGATGGCACGATTGTGGATCTGCTGCCGAAAGATGTGGCGTTGGATTTCACTCGTTTCGACGCCGAATGGTTGCAACTGTGTGGCCAAGACTCGCTGCGCCAGGTTGTCGAAGAATGCCAAGGAGTTTGGGATGACTTTGTCGGATGGTTCCTCGTAGCCGTGGCTCGGGAACTGTGTCGCATCTGCCAAGATGAGACCCAGGACGTAAAGAGCGTGTTGCTGGCCAAATGGATCGTGCACGTTGCTTCCCCTGACACTTGGACGCTGGATCGACGTGGACATCGGCTGCCCGTCGCCGCTTCGTACGCGTTGGCTTTGCTTCGCAACAGCCCCGAACAAGACAATGTTTGTACACACAGCTCTAACCGTGGTCAGCTGACGGACACTATGTTGTAGCTGCTGGGGCACTACTGGAAGGCAGCCGAAGCAGCATTAGTTGCTTGTTCAACTAACGACCACCCAGCCAACGTCGAGAATGACGTGATCACTTCTTGGAAAAAGTTTGAAGTGTGGACACCAAGCCCCATGGGTACCCAATTGCCGTTTGGTTCCATTGCGCGGGACTTGTCATTGACCGATGCGGTGGATGAGTGGGATTCAGGTTAGCAACCCATGGGGATTCTTGCAGTTGTCGTCATGTCGATTGCGAGTAGGCAATCTCATTGTGCTATCGGAGCTTCCACCTGCAGACACGAGCATGATGGCCGATTTCGACGCCAAGTACTTTGCCAACGTGGCAGCCATTGTCGACGCTCGAAACAAGATTGCAGATGAGATCGTGGTTGCAGGACATACAAGCCATAACGAATCCATTTCCCACGATGAAGTCGTGCGATTGCAAAATGCAATTGAAATCTGGTAACAGTTAATACAACAACTCATGATTGATTTGGTACGAATTTCCGGACCCCCTGTTACGCCAACCAAACCAATCACGCATCGCTCCCATTGGTCAGTCTAAAGATACTTGTCGCTGATTGGCTACAATATGTTTTCTTTTACATCGTGCTTTCTGCGGAATTGGGCCCAAATTCATAATAACGGTAACGGTTATTGTGATTGCACTTTACATGTTACTGTAATCACTTTTATAATTGTAGCTTTCTATTAACGTTATGACTCACTGACTTCCTATTGGTCGAGCCATAATTCCGTGGATATGATTGGCTATAATCTTGACAGATGTTTACGTGCGTTGTACGAACTCTCTAGAAGTGCCATATCGTTTTCTAGAATTCTGTGGCACGACAAGGTCACCACGCGATGCATTTTCGCCATTTTCAAACTTCTCTCATCATGGAATCATCAACAACCAGCCCAAACAAAGCGCTAAGTCAGCTCCAGAGCGTCGCCAAACGCGCAAGCGACATTGAAGAAGTCCTCGTCCGCCGATTGCCAAACCAACGGAAGCTCGTAGCTGCCACCGCTGCCGCGAAGAAGTGGCTCGCGTGCTCCGTGTGGAAAGAAGACAACGATCGCATTGAGTTGGGACTTCGTCAAGCCAAGTTGTCGCTGAAACAGTACTGCCACCGTGTCCTTGTCCAAGCGGAGGACCTTACCAAGCTGCTGTTTGACATCGACCTCATCCTCAGCGAAGGGGTTGCCACAATCCGTCAAGAACGAAAGGCGGTCGTAAAGAAGATCCAAGAGCTGCTCTTGATGGCAGACACGATGTCGATTGAGAGCGACAGCTTGACCCACTTTGTCCATTCGTGTACTCGTACAACTCGCCATAACAAAGCTCCCGTTGCTGTTTCTGAGGACGACACGACGACGGAAACGTCCAGCGTCGGTGATGACTTTGAGCTCGTGGAAATGGTAGACGAAGGCGCAACCTCGAGCCAAGGCAACGTCGAAACAGAATCCTTCCCAGGCCACGAGCATGTGGACGATCTTATGAGCAACGGCAACGACGACGAACAAGTAGAATCCCCAGTCGACAACATGTCCACGTCGGAGCCAGTGGCAAACCACGACACGTCCACAACGAAGCCATCTTTGCCATCAATCGCTCCAGACACTCAAGAAGCTTCGTCGATCTTGCCCACGGTGACGGCACCCAGTGTCGCCACTGCCGATGCATCACCCGAGAAGCCGCATACGATCCATGTCCACGTCAACGGCCATACATACGTGACGCAAGTCCAAGGAGACACCACACACATCTACATCAACGAACGCCACGAACCGTCCATGGTGCCATGCTGCCCAAAAGTCGCTCAATCAAATTGCATCCCACAAACCCAAATGTGCAGCCAAGTGCCAGTGCTGGAGGTGCCGATGCTGCGGCGTCGGGCGTCGTTCGTTCGTCCTGCGCTTGTTCGGGAACAACCCGTGCTGGTCTCGTCGACCTTGGCCCCATTTGGACGATTCCTATGGTGAAGCAAGCGCGCACGACAATGTACTCCATGACACTTTGCGATTACAGCTTGCTATAAATAATATCATATACTACTATTAATAGTACTAATCTATGACTTTTTTACTTATTAATAGTATCGCTTATTATTGTGGGACATCCAAGCTATTGTTAAACTGCCTGCCTTCCAACAGTGTATGACGATTCCATGGACGATTTACAAAGGCTTGCTTTGAAAAAACGTATAGTCCAAAAAACTAATAAATATATCGAATGTTTTTTGCTTTATAAATACTACTACTAGTAACTGAAAGATTCACAGTAAATCAAAAACATCTCAATCACAAGGCTATACCAATCATAGCATTAGTTCCTTTAGCAACTACCGCCACGGAGGCGCAACACCAAATGCAGGGTCGACTCCTTCTGGATGTTGTAATCGCTCAGGGTGCGACCGTCTTCCAGTTGCTTTCCCGCAAAGATGAGGCGTTGCTGATCAGGAGGGATTCCTTCCTTGTCCTGGATCTTTTGCTTGACGTTGTCGATCGAGTCCGAGGGCTCAACGTCGAGAGTGATCGTTTTGCCCGTCAGTGTCTTGACAAAGATTTGCATCCCACCGCGCAGTCGAAGCACCAAGTGGAGCGTGGATTCCTTCTGGATGTTGTAGTCGCTTAAGGTGCGGCCGTCCTCGAGTTG